CGGAGAGTTTTTCGTTTACTCATTTGATCCGGGCCACTATCGTATCGATCAATGTTGCCTGCCATGTCCGCCAAAACTAGCCCCTCGTCTGGTTTGCATAGAGACTTGTTCTTTGCTTAAAAAAAAATAGGAGACGCTTGTACACAGATTGTGAAACTTCTCCATTTTCTTATTGACGACGGAACATTGAAGATATCATGTCGTCCCTTCCTCTAAACGTTATAAAAAAAACGCTGCCTAGACATGGCTCCGAATGAGAAGATAGACAATGAGCTGACAAAGAAAAAGGAATCCAACAGAGAGCCCAGATTCCTGCATGAGATCTCACGTGGGACACGATTCCTAGACACTTGTCACAAATAATAGTCATTGTGCAAACGAAGTCTACTCTCATGGTACTTTTCGTTAGACTCATGGTATTTGTTCTCTCAGGAATGTATAGCTAAAGGCACTGATATTATCGCACAACACCGAGTTTAGGCAACCACGACGCGACGGCAGCAAAAAGGTGAAAAATTCACTAGGTTCAAAAAGTCAAAAAAACAACTTTCTCTTGCCTCACGATTTTAGGTTTTCAATTACGCTTCATGCAAGATCATAGTATTATTTCTCTCTCTGGACTTCAATATACTCCTTCCACACACAAAGCCCAAACAATGTGTCACCATTCGACTGAGAGACCTACTGAATAGGTTGCATTATTTGCGATAAAGATGCAAATGCACTTTTTGCAATAACATCATTGTTTACTGCCATCGAGTTTTGGTTTCTCGAACCTTCTAACGACTTCACGACGAGACAGTAGCCTTAACAAATAAATTAGTCTTCTATCTAACCTCACATGTTTATAGATATTCGCTCAAGAGTCGATTTTTACACCATAGTGCACTGTTTGCAGTCTAGCCTCCATCTACAAAAATCTTTTATTGCTCACAAAAAGAGGTATTATAATTGAATGATAAGAACTTTTCTTTTTAATTGGTAGGCAATGTTTTAAAAAGCATAGTTTAGTCATGACTGGAGCCTAATGGCTGAAGAAACCGTGAGGTTTTCCAGCCAGCCTCTACCCATTGAAATTCATTAAAAAAAAAAAAAGAAAAAAAGACCAGAGTAAGAAAGAGAGAAAAAAAACATACTTTAAAGATTATGTAGTATTACTACATAACACATAAACACTACAAATGATATTCAAGTTACTTATGTTGTTGTTCTGACAGCAAATAACATTCCACTTCTTTGGAGGTCTACTGTCTGATATGAAAGAATTTGTTTGGATATGTTGTTTCGATGGCGGGGTTTACAGAAATTTTTCTTTGAAGCATACCTTGTGTTGGATCTATGCAGAAAAGAGGCATGATTAAAAAAAAGTTATCAAATTCAATCGACCCCGAAGAAAAACGGCCATGAAAACATAAACCAATCAATGTCACAGTGCTGTACCTATCATAGTTACAGAGCTAGGTTCATACAATTTACGTCACCGTTTGTGCTCTTTGGAAAGCTTTGCTTTTATTTTTCAAGTTAGTCATTTACAATCCGTTTCAATCTTCTCCATCTTCAGCCAACCTTAATTGTTCCTTGTGGTTTATTATTGCCTTTTTGGTGATTTTCTATCTTTTTCAGCTGATATTTTGTAATCATTTGCAATCTGTATCGATCCTCTTCATCCTAAGCCATCTCTTTTCGTTCTTGGTTTCTTTCCTATTGTCTCAACTGTGTCTTTCTCTTTATATCAAACTCTGATTATTTCTTAATCATTTACTGACATTCAGAGTCATTCTTCTACATCCTTCGCCGTAATTTTCCTCTTTTGGTTGATTTTGGCCTCTTTTGTTTGTTTTTTTTTCGTGCGACTTCGGATTACGCATACTATTCGTGTCTCTTCTTTCTGGATGCTGTGCGATTTCATAGTTTGAGCGCCATCTTGAACTGGCTGATCACTTGCCTGGATTGCATGCAAAAGCTTTGAATCCCGATGGCTGTACGTGAAGTGTTGCAGTTGACTCGATTCTACACTACCATGCGATGTTCGTAGGTTGAATTATTAACCGGATTTTGCTATGAAGAGACAAATATATCCACTCTTTAGTTGGCAGATCGAACGCACTTTGCTAATCCATGATTATTATACTCATTTCTATCTGAACGAATTAACATTTCGTGGCCCTTTCAGAGTTTGAGGAAGTTTTAATCTTCGCTAAGAATGACTCAAAGTATTGTCGAACTCCTTAACTGACCAAAGTCAAATTCTTTCGAAGCCGATATTCTTCAGTACGAATGTTTTTCTCATGCTTTAGCCCCTCGACTACAAAGGTCTGATTGTCAATTCTCCCTTCTAGCTGTTAGAAATTTCCTTGTAAATTAGGTCATAGAGTTTAATGCTGAATCAAAAAACAACTTCTACCTGACAAGTTTGAATATTCTCATTACCTGTCTCCTACATAATGTATGGGATTTTATAGGGAGAAGTATCAGGTGAATCGCCTCTGGAATTCAAAGGGTTAAGTGTACGCAAGGTAAAGACTACACTCAAAAGCATAGAGACGTTTCACCCGGTTAGTCGTTGTACGATATAGACATAAAGGAAAGTATCCACTTCAAAAGCAATTTTATTATATGGAGTTAATAGAAAAACTAGTTATTTTTCTGGGTAAAGGACTCGAGATCAGCGACGTGTTTCAAGAAAAACTTGACGAAGGAAGTAACTCTTCTCACTGTTTACTACACAATTAACCAAATGGGCAGCAATACCCATTCTAGACATCCTAACTAAAAATCTATCGACTTTATTAAAGAGATATGTAATAACAGCACAGACAATTTTTTTAAAGTACACAACTTTTTCTATGCGATATTTGAGGGTCGGTTATTCAAACGATATTAAACTTAGCCTGCGGTTATATACTATCTATAAACCTCCAGATTTCTTTAAAAGCGAGTTTTTTCTTTGTAAATGTGTGGTTTTCTGGGGCTAACGACGGCTAACTACCAACGTTCTTGACCCTATGAACAAAGAACGTTTGGGTAACACGTTTAGACGTTTGGCTCTATTGAAAATTAATTACATCGCGTTTAAGGTTGTATTCATCTAAAATGAATCTTCCTGTTTGGACCTAAATTTTCAGTTTATAAAGTTTCATTGAAATTGATTAACTAATGTTTCCATGTTACCTCTGTAAACTACTGTCGTCAGCATTCTACGCTACTTGTTTCTGTTTTTAATTTTTTCACATCAGAAGACAAGAAGAGATACACTAGTTAAACAATGACACAGCGCTTTTGACTTTTGGCAGAAACGCGAGAATTGTTCGTGAATGCACATGGGGTGGTAGAAGAAAGCTTGCGGAGGGCATGAAAAAAATATGGGATTCTTTCCTTCTCTCTTTTCCTTACAACATTACAGCATTACCACAACAACAATACACCCTGAATCTTTAGTAGAGCAATTCAAGCTAGGCTATTTTGGTCGCCATGGCAAGATGACAACTGAAGAGTTGCAGCGAAAGTCGCCAATTTGACAACCGGTGTTCAGTGGTCGGTAGCTGTAACTTTTTTAGTAATTCCGAGTAATTTTTTGTTTTAATCATAAGTGAGATAACTATGAGCTTTACTTTACCATCAATGCTTCTTGGTTTTTTTTTTAAATAAAAACAATTGCGACTGAAACATAAATTCTGGCGACCGTGTCATGATGTAAGGTCGTCACATTGTGACCTTGGAAAAAGTTAAACTCGGTGTACTATTCCTTGAAGCAGACGTCCAAGCTAGCTTCCTATCCATGACAAAATCTGTGCACTGATAGACTTCAACAGCAATACTTCTGAAGCATTTAACAGTCCTATCGATTGTTCATACGCCTCATTGTAAAGTCTCTTTATAAAATTCAGTTCTGTCCGGAATGTAACGGTAATTATTCCACATAGTAGACATACGCATCCTGTGATCCGTGTTAATTGAATAACCGTTTGTGGTAGGCTTACTTTTTTTCTGGATTAACCTGGAGAAATAAAAAAAAAACCAATAAGACCACTTGCTGTCCGTCAATTTGTTTTTCTTGATTTTGGACAAAATGTGCTTAGCCGCTTTTGAAGTTGAATGGAAGGCATTTCAAATTCTCATCAACCCAAATTATCAAAGAGAATATGGATATTCAAGAAACCATTCAGTTCAACTTAGGTGCAACATACAATGAAGGTTTAGAGGAGGGGAGGAGGGATCTGAGCAGGCATTTACAGATAAATGAAAATACACAGAATAGGGCTCACAAATCTACTTTTACCAATTAACAAGTCACTTTTGCAACCGAAAAAAAGAAGGATAAATCTCATTACCCATGTCATCTTTCGAGACAGTTAATTTCAAGACGTCTCCCTCTTGAACAGTTCGATTAAATAAACCAGGGAAACCAATGAAAGTTTTGACGCTCAGAGGAAAGGGAGATGGAGGAAAAATAAAACTAGGACCCCACAGTATGAAGGGCCTTCGAACAGATCAACCGCGACGGCCGCCCGCAAAATTATGAGCATCGAAACTAAGAATTCGCTGCGTCAGAAAGCATGCCAAAATCAATACCCTAACCAGAAACTTTTAAACCGATACCACATTAAAAGGACAAGAATTTGGAACATCTATCTTTACTTCCGATTCAACGACTTAAAAGGCCTGAAACTGGAAGATATTTCCAATGTTCACTTCTTGGTTATGTCACATATACAAATCGGCTTTGGGTCTCCCGTGCGATACAAAGAAACCGCTAAATTGTCGACAATTTGATTGTGATAATTGCTAATAATTGCTAAAATGTTTTATTTTTAGGTGCGTGGAAGTTTCTAATATTAGGAGCAAATTTCAAAACAAAGGTCTTTCTAGGTAGAAATTACCAATCAAAGTCACCTACTGAAAACCGTTAATTTGTAAGATAACTCGTAATCCCTCCACAAATACACTGAACAGTTTTACCCATTTAATTAAAGATAAATTAATGCTTTAGACAACCTATATCATTGGGCTATAAAAGAAAAGTCATAAATTTTATATGCTGGCTATATCATGGTTGTTAATTATATAGCGATCACTTGAGTCACGCAAGAATAATTTGTAAAAATATTGAGATAGACTTTCAGTAAGACTTACGCTCTTTGGACCGTGACAACTCCTAACACCAACAATTTACTGCTTACACCAGAAGAGAGTTTCCCACGATCTCTGGCTTGACAATCTATGCTCGATTGATTGTCGTAAAACCAACTACTAACTCCTTACAATGACCAAAATGTCATGTGGAGCCAGTTTGGATTTTAATTTAATACAAATATGCCGTAAACATGAGTCACGATTTTCACTTTGAATCTTATTGGTTGAGTAACGGCGCAAGTTTTCGCCACCAATAACAATAAAATCCCAGATGACTTTCAACACTTTGTAGAAAACTGCTCAACAGATCAAGTATACGTCGTTCAATTTTTCTCCACAAAGTCTGATACAATATTTCTAATTAGCATTTCCCGATAGTACTTTTCAAGATTAATTTTCAATACAAATTAACAAATATCTAACTAATTAAATAATAATACAGTGACAAAAAGTGAAACTCCTACTAATATCAGTAATGTACTTTGAATTGTCAAGTGCTGATAAGATAATATCAATAATATATATTTTCAAGAACCGACCGGTTAACATTCAGGTTCAAGGTTTTTCAGCGCACAAGCACTTCAACTTTATGGCTAAGTCTCTTAAAGAAGCAAACATTATCACTTCCTGACAGTGCAACCCGACAAAACTGAACAGAATTATTGATCAGCGCAGATGTGAAAGCTTCAAAACAGAGACAAAACAAAAACGAACTCACTTATCAGAAGCCAACAATCTTCGAATGTTGCTAACAACGTTCTTAAAGACGACTGACGTCTTCGCAATCGACACCAATACAAATGTTTTAATTGTTATTCAAGTCTTCGCACTTCAATCAATCCCGCGAAACCATATCATGGTTGCCACAGTAACTGGTTACCTAAATTCATGACTCTTCCCAGATAGAAATATAATTTCCGACCAAATGTCCAATGCCTCTTTACAACGTGACGCATTCACACTCATTCGACCTCATCACCAGAGAGTTACAAGAAGTAGGTACACTGTGACACAAACAATTGCGACAACACTGCATTATTCACTATGAAGAATATCTGCAGCCTTCTACGATATTAAGCACAAATACTACATACAATAGCAGCCAGTTGACCTCATCGCCCGAAGAAAGCTAGCAATATGCAGTCCAAACGTCGCGATAAACGTCGGAAGTAACTACATCGCGAGACAAAAGATAGACGAGAGAGTTTATTTTTGCGGGCACAAATATGTTTAGGGCCTGACTCAGAGTCATTTCAGGCCGAGTCGTTGGGCGAGGGTTAAAATGAGCTTTGAGAAGGACCAAAAACATATTTATGCCCACGAACATAACTGTAGTATTATTATAATCACTTTGGAGGGCATCGAGAAAATAAAAACTGAAAAAACGACAACGAAACGGTCTGGACGATCACGCGAGCGTGTGAGAGAGCTACCATGTACCGCAAAAATCTCCAACAACGTTTTTTTACAATACAATATGAAGAATAAAATGTTACGTAAAACAGTGGCGTCCATCCTCCCCTTAAAGGCGGAGTGCTATCCATTGATACAATTTCACAAATTACAACAAGAAATTTGTATTGACGACACAATAATACAACGAAGACAGGTAAACAGACGCGTCAACTACATATAATTTTAGTTTCCGTGACTTTTCGTTAGAGTTTCAACTTTCCCATGAATTTCTCCTGACCTTGAAGAATTTCTCTCTCCGGATCATTTTTCACTGTTTATAAAACAAGAATAAAAAGAAATATGTTGATAAAGGACCATGACGAGACCATAAAAATAGCAACAGCAATGCGTGAACTTTTAAAACTCTAGGATTAGCGATAAGTTCACAAAGAAGATGACGAGCGGAAATGGTTGAGTGTCAGATTCTCAGTGGCGACTATTTTTTTTATCTTTGTCCCACACTTGTCGGTGCCAAATCAACAGACTATTTCCGAAATGCCATAAGAGTCTCTGTTTGATGAGGTGAAGCATTTGATACAAAAATAACTTTTAAAAGTATTGCTTTTTGGAGCCCGAGAATGGCGTTTGTTCAACAACCGAGTTCAAACTTTAACATCCTCCTCACTCTTTCTCCCTACAAAACGCTGTCGGCCTCGCTGATCCTGGCAAAATGCAGAATATTTGTCACATATGAACCTAGAGTGTCGCCTGGCACATCCAGGGCTCCAAATTGCGACTGTTATAATCGCCATGGCGAATAGATGTAAATCTTGGGGACTTAGACGCCAATCTCGCGACCTGTAATCGGCAGTCATGCATTGCAACGTTTTTCTTATTTGGTGTTAAGGATCTTCCGATAAGCTGAGATAAACATTTGTTTACATCATCTTCGCCCGTCGTCTTCTCTCACCAAAATTTGCCCCGTTTCTCCTTTCTTGCTTTATGCCTCATCATGATGCTTCATTTAGTTTGCCATGAATTTAATTATCAAGTTACACGTGTAAAAAAATAAGACACTATATGGACGGCGAGGACGCCCTTGAGGAAAGCCAAGATTTTTACATGACAGGATTCCTTAAACAAATATTATAATCACAGTTTAAAGTTAGACTGGCTACGAAACAAAGGCAGCGTTGAAACTGGGTCGAACTAAAATGTTGTCCAAGTATGTAGCTCCCGTGAACCTCAAAAAATGGTTGTCAGACAGCTTGCTTATTTTTTTTTAGCAAATTTATTATTTCTTTGGCGACCACTCAACGATTTTTGATGGCCAAACGGGAACTTCTGTCTATTTCTCCTTGTTTATCCAAGTATGCTGCCACTGTGACATTAAAAAAACCATTGTCAGACGGGTTTTTTTTTTTTTTTTTTTTTTTTTAACAAACTAACTTTGTTTGGCGACCATGTTTTCATGTTAGAGCGCCGAATGGAAACTTCGAAAAAAGGTGCGCTTGAAGTGTCAACATCAAGAAGTCCTCTGTAGATCCGCGGTTAAGCATCCAACCAAGAGATTATAAACAGTACATAATCTCTCGATCCAACTCATTTTCGGAACAAGCTGCATGAAGTTCGTGTCCTTGTAGGAGACCCAGTTCTCTTTTTTTTTTTCTGGTTGTGAAAAATGACTCTGAAATCAACTTTCTTAATGGAACCTCTTCAGCTCATTAATTTCCTTAATTAAGCACATGTAAGTAACTGGGATCGAGGGGTCAAATTCATTTAAGGTGGCACGCAATCTTTTCCTATTGCAAGCATTTCCTGTCCACTTAACCAATGAAATCTAAATTAAATTAGGCGCACAGACGATGCCTGTCAAATATGCATGATGTCAGGAATTCGTGTTGGGCCGCTACGGAATGGTTACAATGAACAAAAATAAAGCTTAGTAATTTCAAATTTTTGAAGGAAATTGACTGGAAAAACAGGTTTCTTCTCCCTCATGAGGCCAACCACAAGAGTAAGGTAAGACAAAAAAGCCTCAAAGCCTGCCAATAGGCGTACTTTTTGCAAGTGAACGCTCAGTATTTCAGGACACGTTTGGCCGCCAATTTAGATTTCAAAGCAGAGGAAGGTTGGGGAGAAGTGACATTTCTACCGCTGGGGGTGAGGGAAAGTAAAAAGGAAAGAAAGTCATCTCGACGTAACTCGCCCCTCTCCTCTTAGTCAATTCTAACCGCACATCAAAGATGGCAACTTAGTAACCAAGTAACTAATAAAGCAAACTATTTGGGGATCTTTCCTGTAAGATGCCAGCACCGAGGGCTAAAGATAAGTGACTCTACACTCTATGTTGACGCACGATCCATTAATCAGGAAAAAAAAAAGACATGTTAACCCTTTAACTCCCACGAGTGACCAAGACATAATTTCTCCTTGCAATATCAACACAGTATCAAACAGACAAGTGATGAGAATAAAGAAACATATCAGTTAGGGGATTATAAGTTGATCCTATACCAAATTCTGCAAACTAACATCACAAGAACTGTATGGCAGACAGTAAGGAGAATTACTTATGAGATCTTGGGAGTTAAAAGGGTTAATAACTCACACTTTTGTTGCTTGACCCGCCCAAGCCAAAGCCTCGTCCAAACACCCCGGACCATGATGACCTTGTGCCTTGCTGCGGCAGTCTGGCCTCCTCTGCTTCTCGAAGCCTAGCCTGGTTTCGTTTGAAGGCTTCAATTATGTCATCTTCTTGCCGATAAAAGTCTAAAACCGTGCGGATGTCTTCAACATTTGAGGTGGCAATGGCTGTAAGAGGATGACCGCAAAAGAGGTGAGACCATATCTATACTCGAGGATTTCATTCATGCCAAAACACCGCATTAATTTGCATACAATTGTGTTGTTAACTCTGCACCCTCATTGCAGGAGTTTTGTCTAAACTTCCATTGTAGGAAGCGAAAAAAAGTATTGTTATTCCTCCCCCGCCAGTCCATAACAAATTACCCTTCAGCATTTTGTTCGCTTTATCAAAAATTGGGCCAGTATCCATTTATACCGAGTAAATTATATGGAGTAGGGTGTTACGTTCCTACCACTTCAAAAACAGTAACAGAAATGTTTTGCACAAGAGCACAGCTCACTGACCCGACCGGGACTCGAATCTAGACTTCCTGATCAGGAGTCCACCGCGCTGGACACCAGGCCGCCGGCCCTCGCAAACTTCCAGAGTCAACGCCTTGCAGGTAAGCATTTTTCCCCAGCATTATCCTGTAGATTACAGCTTTTCTTTTACTTAACTGTTTTTGGAACTGAATGATAGATACTCACTTAGAAGAAAAGGAATAAGATCGAACAACCTTCTGTCGGTCGGGTCACCTTCCCATTTATTGAGAATGATGGCATTTCGCAGGTTGTCCCTTGGGGCTTTTTCGTCACAGTCGATCATAATGACTTTGGAGAGGTCTCGGTTTAGAGCAGACAAATCCTGAAAATAAAATGAAAGGGGTATGGATATAGGCCTGATAACCAGCCGTCGTTCGGAAAATGAGTCCACGCTCCTTCCTCGGAGGCATCGAATACTGGACCCGAAAACACGACAGAAATTGAATCAAGTTTGGAGGGTTTGCCAATGACAGAGAGAGAACTTGTTTAAAGGATAAGGGGACACCTTTCCATGTTCAGATCTAAACAGCACGTTACATATCCCTTATCCCGATCTACTCCTCCCTCCTTTTACTTCCGGGCTACATATCCTTATACCCTATCCACCCCTCCCTCCTCTTACTCCCACGCTACATATCCCTATACCCTGTCCACCCCTCCCCCCTCTAACTCCTGTGCTACTTATCCTTAATCCCTATTCACTCCTCCCTCCTCTTACTCCCAGGCTATATATCCTTGATCCCTACCCACCCCTCCCTCCTCATACTCCTGGGCTACATATCCCTAATCCCCATCCACCCCTCACTCCTCTTACTCCCAGGCTACATATCCCTAATCCCCATCCACTCTTCCCTCCTCTTACTCCTGGGCTACATGTCCCTGATCCCTATCCACCCCTCCCTCCTCTTACTCCCAGGCTACATATTTCTAATCCCTATCCACTCCTCCCTCCTTTTACTCCCAGGCTACATATTTCTAATCCCTATCCACCACTCCCAGGCTACATATTTCTAATCCCTATCCACTCCTCCCTCCTCTTACTCCCAGGCTACATATTTCTAATCCCTATCCACTCCTCCCCCCTCTTACTCCCAGGCTACATATTTCTAATCCCTATCCACTCCTCCCCCCTCTTACTCCCAGGCTACATATTTCTAATCCCTATCCACTCCTCCCTCCTTTTACTCCCAGGCTACATATTTCTAATCCCTATCCACTCCTCCCCCCTCTTACTCCCAGGCTACATATTTCTAATCCCTATCCACTCCTCCCTCCTCTTACTCTCTGGCTACTACAAATAGCTCAAGCTCCAGCTGTGAGATGATCATATTGGGTAGCAAGAATCAAGCTGAAAATATAAGAGTTTGTATAGGAATATTTACGACCACTCTTAGGAATAAAAAATATAATCAAATTCTCAATAAAAATACCTCACCTTACTTCCACAGTGCTTTGCTTGTTGTCTAACTGTTGCTATGTTGAAAAGAAGCCGTTTCAGCAAGTTATTAATTCTAGGTTTCCTACTACTAAGAGAAGGACCTTCCCTTAGGAGTAGTAAACCTAAAAATGGATAATTCGCTCAAACGGCCCTGTTGCAACAAAGTAAGCAGTCACAAACAAGCAATGCAATCAGGAAATAAGGTGAGGTATTTTCATTGAGAATTTGACTGTACTTTTTATTCCTAAGAGTGGTCATAAATATTCCCATACAAACTCTTATATTTTCAGCATGAGTCTTGTTATGCAAGATGATCATCTCACAGCTGGAGCTTCAGCTGCCTGTGAGGCTACATATCCCTAATCTCTATCCACTGGTATTCTTACCTTAACATGTGTCCCATCAGTATATAGTGTAGCATCTCGATACAGTCTGTACATGATAAGTCCATTTGGATCTAATCCATCCACCACAGGTGCTGCACTCTTGTTACAAAAAAAAAAAAAAAACATATTTAAACAATTTACCATCAATTCTTCCTTTATTAGCTGATGCATTTTTGTGTCTCTTTTCAGCACAATAATCAATGAAAAATTAAAGTTATTTATCAAAATAATTAGCACTGAAAAGGGTTGATTGTGGGCTTTCCTTGCAGTCCATGGTCATTACCTATAATTTCAATTTCTACTTTTAACAAAGTTGAAGTCCACAAATGATAGCACAAAATGAACACTCTGAAATCAAACCAGGCACCTCCCATCATATTTATTACTTGTAGTTAGAAAAAGCAGCTTCAACAAGTGTGAATCATACAGCACAAACCAATTTGCATGTACATAAGCTGGGACCTTGTCGCTTCCCTCACTGTAAACCAGTCTAAGCCCTGACACCCCTAAGACTGACCAGCATCTAATTTCTCTGTACAACTTCACCCCTGAATCACACATTCAAGTCACGGGAATAAAGAAAATGATCACCACTAATATAGCTCTCGATTGTCACACAAATTCTCCTATTCAGCACCTTAGGAGATGGTAGGAGAAAAGTAAGGAGAATATGCATGTACTGATGTTAGGGTGTAAAGGGTTAACTGTGGTAGTGGAGGTTGACCCATAAGTCATGCCAAGGGAGATTGGTTTCAAGATCAAAATCAGCATATCAACTTTTCACAGAAAAAAAGTATAAATATCTAGTTAGAAACAAATTAACTCACAAATCCAGCTTCATGTGTGTATATGACGACTTCAAATAGAGGTGGCCCAAGCTGATTGAGAAAAGCATCCACTCCTGGCCTTTTCCTGAAACGCCAGCCACTTTTACGCTATGAAAGAAAGGATAATCACTGTGTTGATCAATTGTGGTGGCATTATATTTTTATTGAAAAGAAATGATCCCACCAGCTGAGCTGCAATAACTGAAATTGCATAGAAAAAGTCTGGAAAGAAAAAAAAGGCTTTGACAGGATTTAAATCAGTGTCCACCAGAAACTAACTAGGTGCTACTACCAGTGGAACAACAAAATCACATGCTGAGCATGTGACAAATCCTAAATGGTTCTTTATCCCCTGAGGGAATCTGATCACAATCAAATGAAACTCATAATAATTTGATATGTGGATAATGTTCAAGGAAGGAAATGATCCTGATCCAATAACTAAAATTGCATAAACGGTTTTCAATTGGATCAAAATAGTTCATCATCTTACTTACATCATACTCTGGGTGAACCAAAACATCTTTTAGCTCAAGCACCAGTGTATATGGGGGCTGAAAATAAGGTTCTTGAAGGGGATCGGGTAATAACATTTTGCTTGATGGTGCCGCAAACATCTGTCATGAAAATGGAAAAAAAAAACAAAAAAAAAAAAACAACTTTGAACTGAGACAAATCTTTGGCTTAAAGAATAACATGATATGTCAAAAGGATTATTCTGAGTAATTTGAATAGTTTACAACTTCTCTATTTTACAGACATTACCTAAAATTCATACCCATATGATTCAATCTAAATCATAGTTAAAGACAACAGCGTGGAGATATGATTACCAATATGAAAGAGTTAAGGGTTAGGGAAAATGTTTCTTCATTGCATCCAATTTTTAAATAAGCATCACCCCCAAATAAGCACCACACTTGACAAGGTGCCACACTGGAGACGAAAAATCGAATGTGAACCATCATGGTGTTTATTCAAGAATATAAAATATATCCCTACTACTAACTGCTCTTACATTTCTTAATGTTATATCTTAGGATTAAAAGTGACAACTACCACAGCAACCACTTTCAAAACTGTAACTGAAATTTTTGCTAGAAATTCCGTGAATAGCTTGAGTTCTTCACTTTCTCCAGCAGTGAGAATTCTCGTCTCCTGAACTTCTGAGGATAGCAACAATGGCCAAATTGAAACAAACTCAGAGATAGATTTCCAAATTTCCATGTAATTTTTTGTGTACAAATTTTATTTTTGCCACATGGTGTTTAAAATCCTTACCTCATAAAAATCCCAGATTTTGTCTCTTGTTCTATAAATAAACTGCATTGGCACCAACTCTGTAAGAAAGATGATCAACAGCTGAAAGCCTTCCCTCAAAATGAGAAAAACTGACTTAAATAATCCATAATTTCCATTTCCAGCACTAACCATTTTTGTATCCATCTTCAGGCTGAAAAGAGAAAATAATTTTGGGTCAGATTTTAATATTTCAAATCCTAAATTTCATTTTTATGGGGGAATCAGTTTCATTGTTGACCTACTCAGGGCAATATTTGTTTCAGATTACACTGTATTGGATATTTCTCTCCAAAATGAGAAAACAAACTCTCTGTTCTCAAAGGTTCTTGAACAGCTTACAAGGTTTTCTGATAAGAAATCCCAGAGGTGAAAAAAATTTTGACTTTGAGTATCAGATTTCCTTCTCTTTCTCTCAATATATACATATTTCTTTTGATTGATAAATGCTTCTGTTCTTCACTCCTTCATTCCATTTTGTGTTCACAAATTACTGCCATCAGTTGGTAGATAAGAAATATTTCAGACTGTCTCATGTACCCTAAAATTCTGGGTTGTGATTGGTCTGAGATCTGAGCAAAGTTGGCTTCTTTTGTACTGAGTTTGTCTTTGTGGTAGCAACAGTTTGGATGGCACAAATGAATTTGTTGCACCAAACAGAAGTGCATAAGCTTCTACAATTTGCCAACTGCAGTACCAGTTTACAGAGAAAAATATATCCCTCTCTAGATCCTGTTATATCATCTTCTAGAGACACTTATAAAGGTTATGCACAACTTGAAATCATATGAATATAATTTCCTACTGACTAGATAAAAATGTTTAGAAATATTTTCAGAAGTGTTATGTGTAGATAATGAAATTTTAATTGTAAACCTTGTGACTTTACTTACATTTTCTGGATCAGGTAGCCCTAAGAAATATAGAAGTAAATATCACTGAAATTTATCATTACTTTCCTTTGATGTTAATCTTATAACTTATATGAGTGATCAAAACAGAAGTTCTCCTAAGTGATACCAAGCACATAAGTGATAAGGATAAAAAAATATCAATTAGGGGATTATTAGTTAATCAGATACCAAATTCTCCAAACTAACATCAGTAGAATTGCATGGCAGAGAGTAAGGAGAATTGTTACTGAGATCCAAGGATATACACTGGTGAGGTGAGCAGGGTTATCATAAAGAAAGGATGTAGCAAGAGAATAGTGAAAAGTAACACAAAAGTTTTCTCCATGCCTGAAGAAGAAATAGCATAGACCATCAAAATTTCGCCTTTAATTTTGTTTAATGATTGGAGAATTCACTGATGCCTGATACCTGGTTAACAACCCAAGTGAGGGGCTGTAAGTTCTGATTTCACTGATACTTTAACTCTGCAACTACCAGCCACACCCTAACCCAACTCCCCCCACCTCTGTCTGTACAGTTGAGCATAGTTGGCCATTGGTTCTTATAGACCATGAATCAAATTAACCTGGACTTGCATTCTAACCAGGATAACTGTTTTATGTTCTTAGGCAAGAAACTTTACATTCACAGCACCTTTCTTCATCCAGATGAATATATGTTTACAAAACATAGTCAAAGGAACTAGGGAAAATATTTGGGATTATTGGCAGATGAAGACAAGTCAACTCAAGGAGGAGGAGTCTGTTGAAAGTCACTCTTGTAAGCATCATTTGCCTTTTCCTCATTGAAATTTTAACTGGATAGGGGAAGTAGGACCAGGTAAGATTTTGAAACACTTCTATGGAATGTTTCATCCTTTTACCATACCCCTAAAGATAGTAGGCATCTGAGCCCTTAAGTTTTTGTTTGCAGCCTTGGTAAAATGAAATTCAAAGGTGTTTGGTTTTAGTCAGCAGCTTTGTGAAGTCAGAGGGCTCCACATTCTTCAGCCTCTTGGACAAACAAGATCTCATCTCTCCTTGCTAAAACCAGCCATCTTCAATCCTTGAGTCCCAGAGGTGATTAATATATTACTTCTCCTTATAACATCCGTACAATATCAAGCAAACAGGTAATGAGAATACTCAACCTTATCAGGGGGAAGTTATCTTGATCTGACATCAAATTCTTGGAACTAATTTACCAGGAAATGTGCAGCAGCTTGAAGGGAGAATTAACAATCTGATCTTGGGAGTTAGATTTAAAGGGTGGTGGGTAGGTGCGAACGAAAAATCCGCACGACCATGCGAGCACAGACCCTCTGGGCGAAACAATATCCAAATTAGCCTTTAAGTTTAAATTTTAAGCCACAATATAATAACTCCTACCTAGATAAATCACAGCTCCTGAGATCACTCCAACACCGCCAGCTCCAAAATATAACCAACCCTTCAATGTAGGACCTTTCTTCTCTTTTGGCTTCACGTAATAGAATGCACGTGGACAACGCAAAGGTAATCTTGTGACCGGTCTAAATAATCTCGTTGTACACGAGAGGGAAGAGAATTGTACGGATGGAATAATCAAAGTTGTACTGTGGCATATCCTTGCGCTAAGCCACCGATAACATGAGGAAAGTGCAGAAGACGACAGAACCGCCATGATGAAATGTGAACAAACAGTCACAGCTGATCAGCGGACATACTTGAATGGTCAGTATCGTCATCCAGAGAGAAAGCGAGCCATGTGAGGAAGGGAAAGCCAGAGTGATGCAAAATGTAGCGTATGACAAAGAAATTTTAGCGCTGAATGTAGAGGAGTGGGGGCATAGCTCAGTGGTAGAGCATTCGACTGCAGATCGAGAGGTCACCGGTTCAATCCCGGTTGCCCCCTTTACTTCTTGTAAAGAAATTTTCTTGTAAGAGAGACAAGCAGTTAACAGAACATATCCGATTCAGCTACTTTTTTTTGTTTAATTAGAATGGCTCGTCGTTCTCTTTGACCGAACTTTTACTTAGTGATTCCTCGTGGACGGTCCGGGAATGCTCTTTGTTGAAATTTTCCTTTAGTGCCTGAATAAACTTTGAAACGTTTTACTTAAAGACAAGTAAATTTTAAATTCTTCTCATTGAGAAGTGTAATATGCTCCTGCCGTTAAAAGAATTTCGGTGTCTTGTGTCGGAACAGTAGTGCATAGGGGGTCCACAAAGGACGTCTTGGAATGTTGCTGCATAATCCTCTGCACATGGTATTCATTAGACATCGGGGATGCAAGATCTTTCCTGCTTCTAAACTTAATTCTCTATGGAACTTTTTCCTTTGCATGAGCTAATTTTCTTATTTTTCAGTTACTTCACACTAATCCTCTGCTTTTATATTTTAAGAATGCTTCCACACCACTAAACATTTATTTCAGAAATGCACCCTGACAAGTCAAAATGTTTTAATGACCACTTTAATACTACATTGAGATCAGATGTACATGTACAGGCATTACAGTGAAATAGTTGAACTTTTTTACAGCAACTAACAATGTTCATGAACTAGACTTGCACAATGAGCCAGTAAGAGAGCAAGAAGGTTAAAAATCACCTTTTATAATACACTTTTGGCTTCTGTTCCAGAAGAACTCTCAAATAAAACAAAGAAAAGGCTTTCCCTCTGATTAAAATACCTGCTTCCCACTTTTCTTATAACAAAAGCTGGTTTGACTTTGTAAACATCAATTAAGAATCGCGAAGCAGTGGCCGATGCTAAAATACTATACTGAACATTTAAGTTGAAAAGAAAAAGGGCATCATGTCACTGACAGTAAATGCTGCATATCAGTACAAAAGTCCATTGAGTCAAGAGCAAGTGAGAGATGATTTACAACACTGCTACGGTACTTTAGGATGACTAAGTAAAAAGCTACTACACTGATATGCAACCTTGACTTTCAAGAGCCAATCCACAACAACAACAATGTCCTCTTTAATCAATCTGCTAACCTCTAAGGAGACTTCCCTAGAAGCAGAAACCTTCTTGATGGATAGAAGCCATGTTTGTGCTAGATTTAGGGGTAAGTATGGAAGAAACGACTGTAAAATGTACATGGCTGTATCTAGAAATTCTATCAAAGTTGCACGGAACCCTTGACACAAGATTCCTCTGTGAACTCAAAAAGGTTCCATCCATGAAAATCTGTACACAGTTTGCCAGAGTCCTTGAGAATAGCATTTTATTTCCCTCCTTTTGCATGTGTCAAGATATGCGACTTGAGATTTGTTGACTGAGCAAACCTCTTGTTACAGGAATCAAAAGGACAGACATACGGTCTGTCACCAGTGTGGATACGAACATGAGTACGTAGGTTGAAATCCAACGAGAATCTCTTACCACAGCCTTCAAATGTACACTGTTATGAAAATAAAAAAAATATTACCACACTAATGAACATGGGCATTTTTTTTAAGCTACATTATGTCAAGGATATTGTCTTGACATGACACCCTACTCTTTGGGTTTTCCAACCAAGAAACGTATTATCATAAACAGAGGGATTACACCCCGACGTCGCTACACATATTATCCCTACTTTATCTCTATACACTTCCTAAGGGGCTTACAAGAAGAATTTGTTTATCAATCAAGAGCTTCTCTCAGGTGGTGATCATTTTCTTTATTCTAACTTGTGATCCTAATGTTCAATTCAGGGGTGAGATTGTAAGGAGAAATGAAGTGCTGATCATGCTTAGGAGTCAAAGGGTAAAAATAAAAAGGTGAAACCACACCAAACAAACACTCATACCTGGAAAGGTTTTTCACCAGTATGAACAAGTTGATGTCTCTTAAGTTTCGAACTCTCCACAAAAGCCTAAAACAAGAAATTGAATGAACTGAAATTGGCAATATCAGATGTGATACCAAGAGTGAGTGATAAAAATCACTCATTAACTTCAGACAGAAGGGCTGTTCACTGATGAATATTGCTTACAAATTCCTCAGCATAATTTTTGAAAAATTAACTAAGGGAAGAATGACCTTTGCATTATATCAGGAAAGATGACAGTGAATTCCAAATACATTATAAACAAGGCTACATACCTTGCCACATTCAGCGCAGACATGGACTCTTGGTCCATGCGTATGTAAGTGTTTTCGCATGGCTGAGTTATCTCGAAACATCTTTGTGCAACCCTAAAACAAAGCAAGTACAAACTTAGTCAAAACAGTTTTGTGCACACCACCTGTGAGGTCTGGGCACAATTCATTCAACACACTCTTTTGTTCCCCGCTGCAACACAGTTCAAGGATTAGATTTGCGATGAAAAGCTTCTTACTTTATGCGGACAAGCTATTGTTCTTGCTCCTTCTTCCTCTTTCATCTTCTTTGGTCTCATCCTGCAAAACATATAAACCTTTCCTTACTAAGCAGGGGTTCAGGTATGATTCTGCTTTAAATATTTCTTTCAAATAAAAATCCTATTTTGTTTTGGGTAAACTGACAGTATATACTTTAGGAAAAAATGTGGCATATCAATAGACACTTCCTTGAAAAAACACAATCCAGCCAAAACAAGGAGGAAAAAAGGCAAAATATCTAGTTTCTTTGAGGCTTTTGCCACTACAAGCCTACAAAATTTATAGCTTAGAATAGGGTTCAATTAAAAGGCAGCAAACTTTGCTGATTTCTCTGCAAGGTCTGACTAACTACCTTAGATGTCATAGCAACAAGCCAAGTAAAAGACACAAGTCACATGTGACTAATCTTCACAAATCCTCCTGGTTTCTGCAGCATGAAGCTACAAGAAGAGATGCAGACTTCCCTGGAAGGGATGCTAGTCCATCGCAGATTACTCCCCCACCCCCTCCCCCCTCCACTCCCTTTGCTGATACCCATTTACATTCCTAAATGGAGAAAGGCACTGCAAGAGTCAAAAGTCTCGCAGATGAACACAGCACAATCAACCAACAGGGGTTAACTCTTCATCTCCCACTGGAATACATAATGAACTAAGGATAAAAAAATTGAAATCACAGGCTGATTTCCAGTCAAATATACCCCTTAAAAACTTAGAGAAAACCCTGCACAACATAGATAGACATAAACAATGGGGAAATGTAACCAGTGTCTGCTAATTTCACCATTTTCCTTTCAATTCACATCCTTTACAAAGAATTGCATACATTTAAGTTCCCATCTTATATATTCCAAATCACTATGCATTGATGAAAAACGACATACATTGTAGTTGGGCAGAAGGATCAACTACTTCCTTTAAGTCTATGGCAGAGGCCTTGTACAGAACTCAGAGAACAATGCATATTTCAACAATTCTAGTGAATTAACCTCTCAGCTGTTGTTAACACCTTCTCCTTGTGTCTAAAATTATTCTAACATCACTCAAATTTGCAGATTTGGTGACATTTACAACAAAAGATTGCTAGACCTTGAATTGAACAACACAAAATAAAATAGGCAGCAACAGGCCTGGGCAGCAAATACCTCATTTCATTTTGTACTATGTACAAATTTTTAGAACATAACGAACGAGAAATACACACACGGAATTAACAATATCACATTTTTATGACTGGCTCCCATTTCGTAATCGTTGTTTCTGTCCTTTCAAGAGTGTATTCGTGTTTTCTGTATTTTCCCAAAAAATTGCCATAACACTTCAAAAGCTCGCAGAAAAGTAAAAATGACGAAACAACAAATTAAAAGATTTGACAGGGCCAAGTCACCAACATTTCACGACAGGGAACTGAGAAGTATATCAAAATGTGTTCAAACAACCAACGCTGAACGGTTAATTTCACTGCGGAAGAGAACCTTTTGTTTATCGAAAAAAAAAACGCATGATTCTGTTTCGTGTACTCCATACTGAAGAGAACTTTAAAATTGTAGGTAGAAAATCCACGAATATATCTTGTAACATGCAACAAGCCAATAAGTATCCTTTACAAAGGATAGTATAGAAATAGCACAGATTATCATTTTGCATCGAACGAACGGCGGCCATGATGCAGTCCGCCATTTTGGTTGTAACAAAGGCTGCTGTTTGTCATGGGATTTCAAAATGGCTGCCAAACTGGACGAAAAGTCATCTTACCTCGCAAACTCTGCTAACTGTTTCGGATCACTTAAATCAATTCCAGGAAGACCACCAGGAGGTATCTTTTTTCCAGTCATGTACTCGGTGAAGTCGGGAGCTTGATTCAACTCTTCTTGCTGAGCTTTTTTCTCCTCTATAGCGTCACCATAGCCCGTACAAGACAAGAAACACAAATGAAAATATGAGATTTTCCTGCCTCGCAGGAATGCTTAACTCTTAAAACCAACTTAATCTGAAAAAGAAGGGCGCCCATTTTACAGAAACGTACCCGACGCCCACATTGTCACGGCAAATTCGCCTTCGAGAGTCTTTATTTGAACTTGCTTTTGTTCCCATTTGCGCGTACCTGAGCGTTCAGTATCTCCAATACCACCCCCTCTCTCACTGTTCGAGGCGTTTGACGCACTCGATGTAGTAGAGTTAACATGACCCTTTCCCGATCTTCCCAGACCTTTAGTCCTGCTTCCTCTGCTTTTTCTCTGTTTGCCTGAAGGAGTCGTGGAGATAGACACTTCTTCAACTATGGCGTGTTTTGATTCCTCGATAACTTCTTCAGTCGTTTGAACAACGATTTCTTCGTTCTCAGGCTCAGTCAGAGGCTGAAGGGCTATCATAGGCTGCGTCTCAATTTGAACTTCTTGTTGAGGTTCCACCATAGTTTCCACCTCAACTTCGACTTCGGCCACACCAGTGGTTAAGTCGGCCATGTTGGCGCCTGAAGTTACCTACGCTGGGGGTGCTCACTGTCAACTGAAATATTCAACCTCATTTCGAAGTCAGACAGACCACGTGGGCACTGTACTTGCCGAGCCAATCAGAACAAAAAAATTTGGTATTATCAACTGAATTTACAACGTAAATTGGCCATTGTAAAGAGTTTCAAAGCTGGTGTTCCGAGCGTTAGCCTTACGTCAAAGCGAAGAGAGGAATTGTAGGTTGTATGTGTGTTTATATTCAGAAGAATAGAGCTACGCTATCGGTGGGAACATGGTAACGAGAAATACAAGAATACATTAGTTTAATTCAAGAGATGTTTTCGCTACAATATTGCTAAAAAATATTCAGTTCTTGAAGTCCCTCCTTCCGAAAAACAGAGAAAATCAACGGATGAAAGAATAAATGAAATGAAAATGAGAATAAGAAAATAAAATAATAAATCCAATGACAAAGAAAAATTCACTCTCACGGAGCTGAGAGACTTCCGCGAACGTATTTCAATTAAACACAAGATTTGATTTTACCAGGAGTAATAGGCTCCTTATTTTACACATTCACTCTCAACATCAACTTTGCTTCTTTTGTATGTTTGGTGTGTAAGATATTCATTTTCATGAGCATCAAACAAACAACAACAACAAAAAACTGAAATAAAGATGTTGTACCCTTTATTAAACCCTACCACCCCTCCCCCGCCCCTCCCCTTCCCCACCACCAACACCTCCCCTACCCGTCACCTGTTTACGGCAGCCATATTCGTCTGTCAAGGAGGTGGCCTTTGGGGAGAGGTCTGATTGTATTTCTAAGCTTATTCATATGCTAATCTATTAATAGATGCATTGTCTCTTGATGCAACTGTCAAGTCTACTGATCACGTACCAGCCTTCAGCAGCTACGAGCATCTTTCAGCAGGCGGGTCGATTTCCTCAATGAAGGCTAAGATTTTTGGTTGAAAGAATATCATTGCTCGTCGCAAAAGAAAATGAAAGTTTGTTTAGCAAAAATAAGTATGAGGAATATTTAGAAAGAAAAGCATCATAAACGGTGGCCAAACTGTTTCTGGACTGAGTAGCCATGTAATTTATTTCATGTAATGGAAATAAAATAAAAGATCATACAAATTAATGATGAGATTATCCCTTCCACTCCCAGGACTGACCAAAATTATATATTACACTACAGTTCCAGCCAGGTCTCGAACCAGGACGGAAGCTTCCGTTTCACCTTGGGGGGGGGGGGTGGGGAGGGTACGGAGGGTACGGCTGACGCGTCCGCTTTCCCATCGACAACCGTTGGACGATGAGGAAATGCAAAATACAAGCAACTTTTCAACGGCTAACCGAGCGCGAGGGTCGCACCAGGACAGTGTATATCAAAGCCAACTATTTCTTTGATGGAAATAGGAGAGACGCCTCCTTGAAACTGACTCTTTTGGTGCTATAAGTACTTGTCACTTTCTCATGGAACTATCCGTTAGATAGTGAGACAGTAATGCTGTTAATGACTAACTCAAAACTTCAAGTATTCCAGCTTTAAAAGAGAACAAGTTAGTTTGTTCTCTAAAACACATAAACGCACTTTTAAAAAAGCATTTCCTGAGGTAAAGAAGGTAAGTTTCTGAACAAACTGTTATGCTGCATCACTCAGGGACTTTTATAAGTTAATTTGGTTCATCAACTGTGTTGATAGTGTGAATTAGCCAGTGTAAAGAGTTTCTTAAGCTGACGTTTTGGGGCGTTGGCCCTTCGTTGGAGTGGGGCCCTCTTAGAGTTGACACCATACAGAAAAAGGTACTCCTTTCTCCTTTTTTCTTCTGAAAATCAACTTTCAGTAAATCAAAGATCTCACATGAAAATATAAGATTCTTGTAATATTTGTAACTCAAAATGCAAAAGCAAGCTCACAGAATTGTTACAGTTTAATATAGAGTCCTTTTTCCCATGTCACATTTTTAAATGCCATAAGATGAAAACATTTAGCTCCCATTATACCAAGGAAAAAATACACTCCTTCTCCAATTTTAGCAGTTACAGTTATCATCTATCAAATTGATATCCAAGGAAATAGATATACCTGTCTTGACAAAAATCTGATAAAATTGTCTAATTTGTCCAGAAATTCTTAAATTGAAAATCACATAAGCTTTCTAGCATTGCATAAAGCTCCATGAATGACAAAAGCTTTTAAAACATCAGTTGTGTCTACAAATCACATAATGCTCTATTTTAAGTGACTTCTTACACTTACCTAACACTTAAATAGATGAAGAAATAAATTACATTACAAACATTACCAATTAAATAGAAGGAAAAACTAAATCTTATAAATACCTTGTGAGAAAAATATATTAAATAGCTCATCTCAAATTCTTCTTTTACCAGGCATCTATTCCCAAGGATATCATTTCACAGTCTAATGGATGAGGAATTAGTTTACACCAAACAATAAATTGTAAAAAATCAAACCATTAACGAACCAATAACAATAAAATATACAATATTACATTGGTAGATTATTTTACCCCTTCAATCCCCTTTACCTTACATAGAAAATTTTAGTCCATGCAATTCATGCTGTATGGAGCCTGTAAAAACCTGTGTGGGTCCTTCACCCTTCATTTCCCAAAGGTGATCAACATGTAACTTCTCCCTATAACATCCATAATGCATCCAACAGACATGTAATGAGAATACTCAAACTTATCAGATAGGAGTTCTTATCTTGATCTAACATCAAATTCTCATAACTAATTTACGAGGAAATGTGTAACAGTTGGAGGGAGAGTTAACAATCAGATCTTGGGAATTACAGGGTTACATTAGATATAACATACTATGTTTGCTGAGTGATTCAGGATACAAAACATATTTGGGCTTTAGCTGAAAATAACTGCATACCATATGATATTACCTTAAATAGTATGTTAAAAATACCCCTACATATGTAACATTAGCTACTTATAATATTTATTCCTAAGTTTGCAAAACCTTTACATTATAAAACCTCCAATACCTTATGCAATTCCTTATCAGATGTGTCATACCAGTTTACATGCGATAAAATAAAAAATATAACAGCTGCATTGTCTCCAAGTTAAACAACCTCATTTAATGAGCTACCATTTTATAAGTAAGTTAATTTATCCAAACAGTTCTGAAAGCTAGGGAGTAATAAATGTACTATAATAATTGCTTTTCTCTTTAAGCCCGAAAGACCAATATTTTACTGCTAAAACTTACAAAAGCTTATAAGTAGAAGCAAATTGTTATCAAGATTTTAAATGGAATCAGAGAAAACCAGAGGTACATTATTTTTAATCTGACTTAACCTCTGCCATTTCGATTCCTTTTCAGTCAATTTTCAATTTAACTCTTTACTAAATTCCCTAGTAAATAGCTCTTTCAGGAATTCTCTTTAACTAAGACTTGTACAAAATATGGTAACAGAGTCCCCTTAATATACAATTAGAAATTTAAACTTCAAATTAAGTTTATTCAGCATACCTGCAATCCTAAAATCTGTTTCCTGTTATTAACAAGAGTTTATGCGCTGCATTACTATGCAAATTCAGCCTGTTTCTTATGGTCTCTGGCAATCCTTAAGGTGACAGTAACAGTTGCTAGAGTGGCTGCATTGGTGGGGAATGCTCTCAGAATTGTAGCTGATAATCCTTGGGAGAAAGCATGGAGCCCACCACTCTTGTAGGTTTTTTTAACACAGTCCAAAATGCTCTGATATCTGCGGTTCTTTCCTTCACCATCTGCCTGGAACCTTGATTTAACAACATCTATTGGATAAGTGAAAAACCAGGATGATATACCACTTAATCCTCCTGCAAGCAGCAATCCTAAAGGTCCAATATGACCAGCACCATCTCCCTCAGGTGTCATTGCATTGCAAAAAAACTCAAATGTTCCAAAGTATATAGCAAAGCTGGGGATTTCTCTTGTGAGTGTTATAGTCATCCCCTTGTACAATCCTGTGATGCCATTTTTCTTGTAAATCTTCTGTAAGCAATCAATTGATCCATGGTACAATGGCTTAGAAGTGTTTTGAACCTGCACAAGAGTTTTTGCTAATTCCATTGGGCAGCAAACAATCGACTGAACTGCACCTGCCACACCTCCTGCAATACACTGACTGGATAAACCTGGCTCAAGCAGGCGTGACAAATTCCCATGGACCCCAAATATGATAGCATTTATCAGCCCTACACCAGCCATTGGGGACAACATGCCTTTGTACAAACCAAACACCTGTGTCAAGAGGCAAACAAATTTCAACAGGAGTTATCACATTAAATAGATTAAAACCTACCATTGAAGAAACATTTCCCTAAATAAAACCCCCAGATGTAAGGCTGACAACAAGTTTGAAAGTCACAACCAAATTGCAGATAATGGGTGACCAGGTTATTGTGGACACCCAGTTGATTCATCAGATTTCACCTAAGACTCAGAACTATTCATCCAAGTTAAATGTCCCTGGCATTCTGCAAAGTTTGCATGAACCTTCAAGCCAGTTCTGAAAGAGGAGTGGAAAAGGAATTATGTGCGACGTGTGATTGAGGCCAAACCTTATGTGTGACGTGTCAATTTTACAGAATTTATGAACTAGCAAGAATGTGATTTGCCCCCTGAAATATACCTGATCTGTTAATTTTTTCTATCAGTTTGTGAAATCCTCAAGATTTCCTTGAAACCTTGTATACTACAAGAGAGATTTTCAGTTTTCCTGTCACACAGGTAATGTCACCCATAAATTATGCATTTAATCCCAGTTAACACTGGGATATGGCCTCAACATAAATTCTTCATTGATATTTTAATAACTTTTTCATCAGCACCTGTGGTAAACTGATGTGAAAGTATCTGACTACCCAGCAATTTTGACCAGCTCTTGAAAATGACTGCACAAAAAGTTACACAGGTGAGAACTGCTGATGACCTCACAAGAAGTCTCTAATTCAATCCTTTACACCTTTACATCAGTATACATATTCTTCACACTAATCTCTTCACATTTCTTATAGTTCTACTGAGGAGAATTTATTAAACAATCAAGAGCTTCTTAAGCGGTAAACTCCTTCATTCTCATTACTTGATTGTTTCAATTAAAAGTCATACACTAAGGAGAAATTAGATGCTCATCAGTCTTGTGGGGTTTAAAAGAAATGTCTGTCGTAATCAGCCCATTCCTGGATTTCAAACATAATGTGTAAATTTCTAAGTTATTTGAAAACAAACGTTTGAAAATATAATTATTCATTTAATTTGCGTCTTTCGGTTTGTCAATTGTCTTAATTCAATTGCCAAATATCAAAAGTTTCGCCAGTATATTTGCCACTCCATTTAAATAATTTACATCACGATATCATGTGTCATTTACCTGTCTAGATGATAAATTACAAACAAAAAACGGACTGGGTCTACCCTCAGGTTCTTGGCTGACGAAAAATTAACTTGAAAAGCTTAACGCCCAGTTTGTCATTATTATAGCAAAAATTCTCGAACTATCAAATATATTACCGCTACTAACCGTTTCTTGTTTTACAATTTGCGTAAAACAGTTGATAGTCCCGACGTATCGTTTCGATACTTGCGTTTGAAGTCGAACCTGGAAAAAAAACATAAACAACTGAGCTGTCTGAAGATCTAACCTTCGATAAAATAGATGCGTGATTCTGTCTTTAAAAGGGTGGTTGAACAAATTGAACGTTGTACTGTATTTAGAATGCGGCGTTTTCTTACTTTGACTGTGTCGAAGGGATGTCCCACTACTATGCCGGACCATCCTGAAGGAAAGAAACAACAATTTTGAAATTTATAGGATTAGGCAATGTTTACTACCTCCTATGGAGAAAGCAAGGAAACATGAAGGTATGGAAAGATGACCTAACCTCCAAGGCATCCCGCTACGAAATCCAAAGCCATTACAAGCCGTGCTGGTTACAACTTTAGCTTGAACTCGTAACAAACAACAACGATCGCAGTTCTGAAAGCGAATCAAACACTAGCATTGCGTTAATACGTTCACTACTTCAAGGCTACTTCACTTTCACGTATACAAACGCACATGGCGGAAATGCATGGTTTACAGTTTCGTGCCTAGATGAAGGCAAAATTCTCCTAAGCGAACCAATCAGAAGCGACGAGTGCCTTTTTGTGCCAGTCAGTCACGGTTACTACGGTAATGCGGGGCATGGGGAAGAGACACAGCAGCCACCCATGGTCTTTTTGACCAGCAGAATGGGAGTCCGAATCTGTTTAGAAAGTTACCCCCTTTAAAAAGTATTAGTAATTGCTCCCGTGATTAAAGAGATGCGTGCGCTCTGAGGTCGAGGATAGCGTCATGTCTTGCTTAAATTACCTCCCACAAGGTGATCTTAGAGCACTTTATTTCAAAATGGCTGCGTTTCCGAGGAAATGATAAACGCGATGGAAGAATTCAATTGCAATGAGCAAAAAAGATGCTGCTGAGTTTGGTGAAATCACTTTCCAAAATAAGGATACGAAGTTTTTGTTCAGTGACTTAAGGCAGGGCGTGAAATTAATTTTTTTTTCTGATAGCCACTTGGCTCCTAAATTCATCAAAGTGGTAGCCAATTCAAAAAAAGTTGGTCGCCATTTTGAAAGACAAACAAAACCTTTTTTTTTACGCTGTCATCGTTCTAGAAATTAAGTGAGGGAAAAGATCTTTAACGTGCTACAAAGGGGACACTAGGATGGACGATATGCAATGTTTAAGCTCACCTAAATCCAAGATGGCATCTAGTTATCGATCGAGATGCATCTGCTGCGTTTTGGAAACAAACTTAACGAGGAAGTTTGCCGCGGATTTGTCTTTGCAAATCTTTTTAATTCACTATATCTCTAGGTAAGGTTATGATGAAACATTCTAGTCGCCAATTTGGCGACTAATTTTCAGGATTTGGTCGCCAAAGTGAAAAATTTAGTCGCATTAGCGCCTGTATTAGGCGCAATTTCACGCTCTGACTTAAGGAAACATGTTAAAACTGCTTGCTTATTTTGATACGAGTAATCGACGCAAAGGGAAAAAAGATGCTAAATGCTTTCCCTATTTACAGAATTCGAAAGCACCTGAGCAATTATACGAAAACAATTATTCGCCACAGGCTCAGTTAACATTGTTGAATAGTCCCCTCGACTCCGTCTCGGGTGATATTTAACAATATTCACTTCGCCTTCGTCTTATAATTATATAACAAAAAAAAAAAAAAAGATTCCAATCACTACACAAAACATCTTTAATCCCCAGCGTCTCCAATAATCCTATCTTATATTTTCTTTTCTCATTCATTGTAAGGCTCCATTCAGAAAACCAAACACTTCTTTAGCCAGAACCTAAAAAAGTTCAGCGTCTGAATAATTAACCCTTAACACCTCAACTTTAGTTTGCGTGTTCAGTTCCATGCTGTTCCCTAGACATTTAACATGGTATTGAAAAGGAGAACTTGACTTGTTTAACAATTAATGGCTTCCAAAAGGTCTTGATAGGGTAAAATTTCCACACAGCCCCATACTATTGTAAAACAAATCTGTTTTCCCAATGGCAATGTAATGTTTTTGTCATTGTTTTCTCTGTTCAAGAACTGAATGTATAATGTAGGATTGGGCTGTGCGGAAATTTTAACCTTGATAGTAGCAGGCAAGTCAAGAATTTGAACAAAACTTTTGAGTTTGTAAAACATGTTTGGACAGAAACTTCTGTCATCTTCAGTTAATTAATGTACAAAGCTTTAGAAGTTGAATTTATAATAAGTAAAATAATGCTATTTATGATAAATGGTGAAAACAAGAGAGAGGCAAAGCATGAAAGTGTGAGAATTAAATGGATGGTTTTGGATTTACATGATGTAACTGTTGATTCAAAGAGGGTTGTTCTCTTTGAATATGTATAGCCTCTTTTATCTTAAGTTGAAAACCGATAGAGGCGTGATCCAAAACAGAGATGCTCTCTGCTGAACACAAAGCGCGACAATATTAAGAATCTTGCAGATGTTTGGAAATGTGAGAGGCCCTGTCACAGTCTAAGTTCTGTCTAACACGCGTGGAAAAATGCCGGCACGTTTCGCCGACGTAACAGGCATTACAGCCAGCACCTACAAACTTGTAAACCACACGTGAAAGGTGCCCGTCAGGGACAGTGTCTTTCACACCAAACAAGTTACCAATCTTGAAAGAAGAGAAAACTAACCTGATATCCAAGTCACTGCAATAGCGCTTGATAAAATAGCGAATCTTTTTCCGGGTGATAGCAGAAAAATGGCCTATGTAGGGTAGCTGGTGGGAAGGGAACCACGGGGAAGATGATTGCTTTGGGTCCAGGTGATGTAACGGTTTATAATCTTCTTGATTAAATGAGCAGGGAAAATATTCTTTTTTCGAATATCCATAAGCTTAGTAATGTCCTCGTGAAACCCTAGCCAGGTGTTATTAATCTTGTAGGCCCTGTCAACGAGAGTCTTAATGAGACCTACCTTGAAAGAGTGCGTGGTGAAGTTGAAATAATTAGTTAATAACCCAGTGAAAGTTTTTCTTGCGGTGAACACTGGTTAGAGAAGAATTGGGCTCATTGTTATCAAGCAGGACATCCAAAAAAGAGAACAACCCTCTTTGAAACCACAATTACATCAAGTAAATCTAAAACTATCCTTTAATTCTCACACTTTTATGCTTTGTTTCTTTCTTGGTGTCACTATTTATCATAATTAGCATTTTTCTACTTATTATAAATTCAACTTCCAGCGCTTTGTACATTAATTAACTGAAGATGACAGAAGTTTCTGTCGAAACATATTTTACAAATTCAAAAGTTTTGTCGTTTTCTTCAAATTCTTAATTAATGGCTTCTTTTGTTGGCGATGCTTTCTTTGATTCTCTAGATCTTACTGTTAGATTCAATCAGGCATCCGCAGGGGTTACAGGGTTAAGAGCGAATCCACCGATAGCATCGCTTGCTAATCAAGACAAAGCCATAAAACTCCCTTAGGAAAGGCTAATGAAAAGTTCAAATTTTCTTGTATGCGTCAGAGACGTACCTCACAAATTCAAGCCGCCTTTACTTCATCTGCATTGAGTCTTAAAGGGGTTCTTCTAAGGTGAAGATAAATTACTTGCATCAAGTGAGTTGATAATGTGAATTGGCCACCGTAAAGAGATTCTACAGAGGACCTTTCCAACGCTAGCCCTTCGTCAGAGTTTATTAAGGAATTATGGGTTGTTTCTGGTTTTTAAACAGAAAGGCAAAGCGACGCTATTGGTGGGAACACGGTAACGTGAAAAACGCAAGAATAAATTAGTTGAATTAAAAGCGTTCTTCGATACCGAGGCCAATTTATATTATAAATTCAGTTCATAAAACCAAACTACCTTGCAATACCCAATCCCCTCGTCACCACAAACGCTACACCACAGATTCTTTAAAAAACTCACCCCATTTACTAGGACAAATAATAAAGCTTACGAGTAGAGCGCGCCCAGAGGAACCTATTAAAACAAATTCAAGTGGCCTCTACCTTAGCATGCAGACCTTTTCAATTGCACTGGTTTAAGATAAATCAAATATTTCTGCAAAAAACTTTATTGATAAAAAAAGGCAGATCAGTTTTTCGACGAGGCGACTTTTAGAAAGGAAAAAAGTAAGGAATTGTTTCTCTAAAGCTTATAAGGGTAAAACATTTAGGCGGAAACTTGCAAGCATAAATACAACTTGAGAACTAAGGAGTTCTCGAGTAATCTTTATTTTTCTTGAGTCACTTTTCAAATTCAATTGTATATTATATTAAATCAAATGATGTCAGATTTCTCAGAATATTTCCCAGTCTCCCCTTATTGGCGCTTTCAGACCAGTTGTCCGGTCGTTGGCAATGTCCTCATTTTTCCGTACAAAGCTTGATCCTATTTAGAAGAAATCAAAATCAAGGTTAACCCTTTCCACCCTAACATCAGTATGCATATTCTCCATACTGTTCTTTATACATTTCCTAAGGTGCTGATAAGGAGAATTTGTTTACCAATCAAAAGCTTCTTTCGTTGGTGATCATTTCCTTAATTCTCTTGACCTTAATGTGTGATTCAGGGAAGATATTGTAGGGAGAAATGCAAATGCGAGACAATACGTCATCAAAAGCGACAAGCACAGGAGAAGGTATATCTAGAATTCTTATGCAAAAGAGAGCACTCTTAAAATCAATGATACGTTTTTCGCATATCTAGCCGAAGGCTCCACGCCTTTAACGGATTATGACCCGTCGCTGAGGAAAGAGATCTTTTTTCACACTTGATTCACGACATTACTACCGACCAGTATGGTTTTGACCTCACGACTTATTTGAAAAAAATCTTTCTTTACGATGATACTCATTTCGTGGGAACACCAACTGGGATGGCAAGGTTTTCCGAAGTAATCTTGTAAAGTATCTCTCCTTACCTTCTTGCTCACTGACGGCTTCACTTTCTGAAAGGCCGCCAAAAAATGCCTCTTACCCACCCCTAGGGGGCTTTGTTCTGGGGGAGGTTGATTCTCAATGGACTCGTGACCAGTGGAGTGCACGTGGATTCGTTCTCGTAGAGCTACCATACAAGCTTCGCGCACCAATGCCGCTAAATCAGCTCCCCTGGAAGAGAGAATTGTCAGTATAGGATTATTGACATTTTTTGAAGAAGACTGAATACAATGAATTCTGTTCCAGTTCGCAAGAACTGAAGTTAATCACTGCAGAGAGTGAAAAGATTGATGCCATAAGCGAAACGGTTTGGAAACTTAACCAACGTGGCACGCACTTAACGAGAACTCAGGTAAAACGCGCGCGAGAGAGGACACACGAGTCCATGGCTCGTAATACTTCATATGCTTCCCCGGACGAACCATTGATCCATGGCGCGTTACCCCACTTCTATAACTGAGTACTCCTAACGTTTCACCGGCGTCCATTTCAATTCGTACTTGGAAACCGGCGCTGTTAGCGTGCGTGCATGCCGTCATTATTAGCACTGCAAGACGCGTGGTTTTTACTATACTTACGAAAGGCCTTCGCATCTTTCATCCTGTGCAAGATCTCGGACACTAACATCAGGCAGAAGCAATGGTTTCTTCCCATCCTAAAGAGGTCAGTGAGGGAAACATAAAACTCATTATAAAACCAAACTCAAAGTAATCACAACAGGCAATCAAAACACTATGAGAAATAAACGAGTGACTAAGTCGCGATTAATTTCAGTTTTGAATATGATTGGTCAAGAGAGAGTGGCGCGAGTTTCTGAAACAAATCCCAGAAATAGAGCTGAAAAACAGATGCGCATGGCAGGAACTTTCGCGGGCTCACGCTTGAGACCATAAGAACACCAAACTAAAATAGCGGAATTTTTCTCATCCCAGAGCGAAGTAAAACACTTGTCAAATTTTTCTCGAAAAGTGTCGTTGACAATTTTTCTTTCTGAAGTCAATAGCAAACAAAAGTTTTACTTCGAGAGAACTTGCTTGGGTCAATTTGGTTTCATACTGAGATGTGTAATGGGAATGCACCTACCTTGGTGAGTGTTCTGAGGATGTCTTCTCTGTCGTCTGTGTCCGGAAGACCAACATACAGAACTTTATCAAGTCGTCCCGGTCTCAGCACAGCCGGGTCGATGATATCTATCAAAAAATGAACAGAAGATTAGAATATTACTAAACAGGTGTCAGTTCCTTCTAAAGTGCTTCTCGATTGGGGTCCGAAAAACTAAAACCGCAGTGACAACAACGATCAATAAGAACCAAGAACCAAAGGAAAGGAAACAACAAGAACTCGAAGCGAATTCACATGACCGGCGAAAAGAGCGACAAAACGCAAGTGATTAAACCGAAATAGGCTTCACTTGGCAGAAAACGGGCACACAAGTTTTCTTCAGTTACCAATCGCAGAGCGTCGAAAAAGCTCGACTACTGTAATCCTGGAGTGCCTCCGACACTCCATTGAACATTGCCACATTTCAAGGTTTCCAAAGTTCATTGACCCGCTACCCCATAACATCAGTACTCATATTCTCCATACTAATCACTATAAATTTCCCAAGGTGCTGACAAAGAGAATTTGTTTAATAATCAAGAGCTTCTTCATTTGGTGATCATTTCCTTTATTCTCATGACCTTAATGTTTGATTCAAGGGTGATATTGTAAGGAGAAATTAGATGCTATTCACTCCTAGGGGTTAAAGGGTTAAGCAACTAACAGACTTGTTTCACCTGGTCGGTTTGTAGCTCCCATGATGAATACTTGTTTCCTGGCCTCCAGACCATCCATCTCAGTCAGCAGCTGATTGACGACTCGTACGTTTACACTCGACTATAAAACATAAAGAGAAAGTGTTAATGCCCGGCCAAATGCACGAAAAATCATCCAAACATTAGGCTGATTTAGCAGGAGGGCGGAAACGTCAGTTGACAACGGCGTGCGCAGCTAAAAGACCGGTAAGAAGCTGGGTCGAGAACGTCGCCCCGTTTGCGCGCAACGTGTTGCACACGTTTGGCCACCCTGTAGCAACATGTTGCAAGATGTTGAATGATGTTGGATCAAGTTTGAAACTGGTCAAATTTTTGTATTAACATTTTTTAACTTTGCAAGATGTTGGGACAGTTAACATATAAATGTCACATTTGAATCTGTAAAAATGTGATATAAAAAAGAGAGAAAGTGCACAGAGTTGTAAAGTCGCCTTTTCACTCCTGCTGGTTGTGTCCCAAATCCTAAGACGAAAAAATAAATACTCATAATGCTAGGGAAACCATGATATGGTAAGATAAGACTTCTGGCTCGTAAGCTGACGTTACCTTTAACTTTGATTTGATTTTTGTCTTTTGCATTGAGCTCCAGATTATTACGTTACCTCTGCACTGTCGGATCTCCTAGGGCAGAGTGCATCCAGTTCATCGAAGAAGATTACACACGGCGAAGAATTCCTAGCTCTTTGGAACACTTGTCTAACGGCTCGCTCACTTTCACCTACATACTAAGATAATGTACGAAACAAACAAATAAACAATAAATTGAAGTCACTTTGGGAAATTCCATTGTTAAGAATGACCAGTTCAAAACTGACAAAAGCATCACCGAATTTCATGGAAGACATGTAAACAAAATTTAAACTCTATTAAAGCAATAATCCTCCTAAGTGAGGTGCAATTGCTAAAATTGCGGCTCAAATGACATTTATTTAATTAAAAATTGTGATCTGATTTCTCCGCTAGAAAGACGAACCCTCCAAAATGTGCCCCGCTCCCAACATGTAGCTTTGAAGCTCAGTTGGTAGTAGCGCCCAACTATCATCTGGGACGCCTGAGTTCGAATCCCGTCAAAGCCTAAATTTTTTTCAAGGTTTTTTTGTGCAATGGCTGAAATTACAGTCCGCTTGCGAGGATTACTACATTACTTGATTTTTAATCCGTATATCAAATAAAATATATATCATTACTCGTTGTGAAATGAAACTTTCCATGGAACTATTAAACGCTGAAAATAGCAATATTGATATTGGCGCTATATAAGTATTATTATTATTATTACTATTATTATTAACTATTAAAAAAAACCTTAGCTGAGCCATAAATATTTATAAACAGTACTCAGCAAACATCACTAAAAATGCGAAAGTACTGAAGAGAATATTGTCATTCTTCTGTGAACCAACGGTTTATCCTGTCGGTATCTCTGTGTAAGAGTAAATGACTGTTTTCTGTGGGCATTGATCGGTACCCGACACAACAATGAAACGTCGCGTGGGCTTTACAAATGCCATCGAACAAAATTCGATCTATTTGTCACCCAATAGTCTCAACATACCATGTTAAGAAGTTCTGGTCCTTTGACGGAGATAAAATTGATGCCGGACTCATTTGCTATCGCCTGAACGACAAGGAAAATACGGACCATTAAGAATGGCAAATCAAAAGATTACATATTTAGACACCGATTTAAAATCATTTCGCACAATTGGTGATTTGTTTTTTTTTTACAATCACTCAGCTGAAAACTGATGTCAGTCTGTCTGTCTATATCTATCTGTATCTGTCTGTCTGCCTGTCTATCTAAGCCTGTCGGTCTATATGCGTGTGTGTCCGACTGTCTCATCTGTTTGTCTATTTGTGTCCGTCTATCCGTCTATCTGTTTATGTCTGTTTGTACGTCTGTCTCTGTGTATCTGTCGGTCATTCTGACCGTTTTCCGAAACGGACGAAGGGAGAGAAATAGTGGCAGACAAACAAGCTAAGAAAGCAGGTGGACGAAGAAATATCAAATTGAGAAGCCAAAGAAGAATACAAAGAAATGACACTGCCTGACTCTCTTATTTGAATTACTCCGGGCTAATCATAAGCTCTTCGTTTTGTGTACCTTTGCTAGAAGAGTTTTACCACAGCCTGGTGGTCCAGCCAGTAGAATCCCCGGGGGTTGAGTGAGACCGAGCGCTTGGAATTCTCCTGGATATTTCACTGGAGCCTGACAGAATGGGAAGTCAATAAAATTATATATTGTAACCCAGAAAACTAAACCGAAAACGCTTGGGTTTTCAGTCAGTTGACTTAAAATTCTTTTATTGATACCACAAGGCCAGCTGTTACAATTACCTGAAAGAGATTATATTTTAAACGATGATTTTACAAGCGCAGAAGTTATCCTCACAGGTTAGCGGAAGTTTAATCCTTTACACCCTAACATCAGTATGTAAATTCTCCATTCTGCCCTCTTTACATTTCCCGAGGGCTGACAAGGAGAATTTGTTTCAAAATCAAGAGGTTCTTTAGCTGGTGATCATTTCCTTTAATCTCGCGACCTTTATGTGGGATTCAGGCGTGATATTGTAAGGAGAAATTACATTGTGGTCATTCGTAGGGGCAAAGGGTTAAGAAATTTCAGAAAGAATAAATTCAGGCTTCGACGGGAATCGGCTTAAGGGTAAGTGCAAGGCGTGCTTACCAGAATAGCCATAGTAAGCTCCTCTCTGACATCTTTGAGTGCTCCAACATCTTCCCATGTCACACCAGGTATGGTGGCAAATCCTTCTCTCTTTGCTGAAGGCTGGACTTGAGACAAGGCTGTCTATCAAATAAGGAATACATGATTTTCATACATCAACAGTCATTTATTCATCACTTCACGGGTTTATTACGAACAATATAATGACCAGCTCCAAGTTGGCTTGTTAGCTCAGTAGGTAGAGCACTGCATCGGTAACGCAGGGGTCATGGTCTCAAATCTCGTACAGGCCTAATTTTTTTCAGGCCTTATTTTCACTACTGCTTAGGTAGTGTTCATTACTGCGAAGATCGCTCTCATATTCATTTCTCAAACGGCAGTTCACATATATCTACAATCATTCAAGTACGGAATATTTTTGAGAAACAGAAAAAAACACTTAGCTAGTTGAATTAAAGCGGTTTTCAACGGAGTGTGGAAAAACCAAAACCAAAACCAAAGAAAAAATCAGCGATCAATCAGGACAAAAGTTAACATTATCATCTGCCAATGTAAACTCAAAGTGAAAACAAGGGAACTGCTTGAAGCGCGGGAAAACATATCCAGTACCTTGAAATCATCCATGTTAATACAAAGCTTCTCTAACTCATTCTCTGTCAGCGGTGATTGCTCTTTTAGCCATTCAGTCACTGCAACAAGAAGAGAATCCAAATGCAACCAATTTGAGCGCCTACCGGATGAGTGTCATAAAAACCAAAGTAGTCACAATGGCCAATCACAACTAAGGAAAATATCACAACAAGCCAATGAGAATTCACAGTAAAAATGGGCGGGAAATTGCAAGTGACCAAACGCGGTTGGTTTTCGCTTTGAATCTGATTGGTTGAGGGGGTGGCGTGATTTTTCTCAACCAATCGTGAAGCAAAACCAACGTAATTCCAGATTACTTACGACATTCAGTATTGAAAGCTGGTCTGTCGTCATCTTTGAGATAAGAACTATTCAGAGATTTACAGGGCATCTTTTAGGTGAATCTTTCACAGGTTTTTACCACGAAATTTTCCCCCCGTGTTGCCGTGTTGACTGCTTAAGGTTCCTAAAGTATTAAACTTACCACTGAATGACCTAGGAACAGTATCAGAGGATTCCCTTGTATCCTGTAACCCGTCAGACTCTTTCTGTTGTTCAGTGGTCGCCATTGTCTCATTTTTTTCACGCTTGCTTTCAGCGTTCCTTTCAAGTTCTTGAAATATCCTGAAAGCACCAAAGGACTCAAGTTCAGGGTAGACTACAGGCAACGTATTTTTGCTGGTTCAATTTGTCGTGAAAGTTAAATGAAATGTGTCAATTTTTTCCGTTTTTTTCAGTTCACACAACAATCTAGGCTGGAAGGAGGGCCAAGAAGATTCCTAACTAAGATGCCATAAACTACTCAGGAAGATGAAAAGGAGCCACTTACGGTATACGTTTGAAGCATTGTTAGTCAAATGAATTCTCCTTTTCAGCACCACAGGAAATTTATAGAGAACAGTATGGAGAATATGCATACTGATGTTAGGCTGTAAAGGAAAAAGCTAACCTACAGTTTCCTGCTTTAGCAAAACTATAAAAAAATTATCGAAAGTGATTGGTTATCACCAGCCCGATTTGAGCTCTAATAGGACAGTGAACGCGTTATGCTTGTAATTGGACAGTGTGATAGGACAATTATAGGGACAGTTAATACGTCATGCCTGTGTAAATGGACAGAACGCCTCATGTGTGTGCGCTGTTGTCTCGCATTTCGCCGAGTTAACTGTTGATTTTTTTTAATGAAAACGTACAACCGATGTCTAGTTTCTTTCTCAAATTTTGTCACAGTTTTGATTAATTGGTAACAGGACTTCTTGTCGTCCAGTTAGGTCTGTAATCATACTCGTGATTAACAAATCGGACTCCCGCTTAGCGGTGGTCCGATTTTGTCAATCACTCGTATGATTACGGACAGGATTGGACTCCACTCGGTCCTATTACTATTATGTATCATAAGAACATTGCTACAGTATTATAACATTATTGTACAAGCATTGCTACATTAATGTGTTATCATGCCTGTTAACTGCTATCAAGGCTGCTTCTCTTGCAAGTGACATAAGATCTGCACCAACAAATCCTGGAGTAAGACGAGCCAGCACAGAAAAACAAAAATTTTCCTCTAGCCTCAACTTCTGGCAAAGAACTCTCAAAATCCTACAGAACAAGAAAATGAGAATACCACTAACTTGGGAAAGTAACTTGAGATTGGCAGGAAAAGGTAGCATGTCAAGTCAAGTTCACAAAATCTAGAGCAATTTCCAATTGACTGTGGAAAGTAAGTCAGGATTTAATCAAAAACAAAAGACTCACAAAATGGATGTAATGGAAGTGAGCTATTTTGAAATCAACTGATAACTGCATGTAAAACAGTAAATTCTGATAGTGAAAAGAGTGCATCAAGTAACAAACCTTTCTCTTGCATTTTCATCAGGTATGCCCATAGAGATTTCCCTGTCAAACCGACCAGCACGACGCAGTGCAGGATCAAGCGAATCCGGCCTGTTGGTTGCTCCTATAACCATTACTTGAACATCTGAGTTGCTGTTCAAGTCTGGAAATCAAAGAAAACTGAATGTTATCCCTCCACAGTTCAGGTTAAAAAGATCAACAGCAACAGTCAACAGTCTAACACGTGTGAGCTTTCATTGGTAAATGGCATTGATTTATCAATATCATTCATTAACTTGGCTAACCATCCATGCAAGTCAAAAGCTGTGACACAATTCTTCGTTCCATGTCTTTGGAAGCTGTTTCTCTTTTGGGTGTAATAGAGTCTATTTCATCCAGAAATAACACACACGGAGAATGGGCCTAAGAAAAAAATGACAGATTTAGGCTACAATTTACATTCATCCTATTCATGCACTCCATACAAGAGAGCTGCTACAGAAGCTATGAGGAGGCTGCAAGAGCTCCTTTCCTCAACAATACAGTGCTTCACAAAATTTCTGCTAGCTTCTTTGAAAGGGTGCATCAGCTACCTACTATTGGTACAAACAAACTCTATGCACCTTAAGTAGCTGCATGGTTGAAAATCCTGGAAACAATTAATTTAGGACAGGAGAAAAAAAAATTCTCTTTCACACTCTCTCAACTGAAGTTAGACTCTTCAACTCCTCATCCTCAATCAATATACTGAGCTGGAGCATTGACAATGGATCTCTCTCTTAACATATAAGAAAGAACCGAACTACATGCTCAACATAATCCTGTCATACCACAGCTCGTGAAAATAACTCTCTGACTTTCTCTTCTGATTCTCCTGACACTCCTGACACAATTTCTGTGGCAGCCAGTTTGATGAAAGGCATTTCCAACTCCTGCAGGTAGAAAGTTACAGTATGATAAATTCTCAATAATGAAAGTGATGGCACCAACATGCTGCAGTTCGAATTTGCAGAACTTTAATATGTAATTCTTCTTTCACCACTTTTAAGCCATACTAGTGCCTATTAACCATTTAACTCCCAAGATCTAATTGTTAATTCTCCCCTCTAGCTGTTACATATTCCCTTTTAAATTAGTTGCAAGAATTTGGTGTTAGATCAAGAGAACAACCTCTACCTGATAAGTTTGAGTATTCTCATTACCTGAATGGATATTAAAGGGAGAAGTTACATGTTAATCACCTCTGGAGTTAAAGGGTTAAGTGACCCCTATGGCTTTTTATTGCCAAACATATGTAAAAGTATCATACAGTGAAGAAACATTAGAACCAAAACATGCCTTTCCAAACCTGATTTTTTTTTTTGAATTGCCAATATTAAACTGTAGCATGATGGAACTTGTAAGTTATTGATTATAGTTAATTAAGGGTTAAGTTTTCATGGATCTCTGCTGTCAGAATCAATACCACTACACCCAAACTGGCCATAAGGTAAAAAAAAAAAATGAACATACCCCTGCAATAGCATGAGCTAGTAAGGTCTTGCCACACCCTGGAGGACCATGAAGGAGGAACCCTCTGGGCGGGGTCACTCCAAGTGTACGGAACACTTCAGGATGCTTCATGTGAACCAGCAGTTTACAAACTTGATCCACAGTGTCATCACAACCCCCAATGTCTGAGAATTTTACTGATGATTGGGTGAGCTCAAATTCTTGGGAAAAAAATTATCAAAATATGATTTGTGGTGTTAACACAACATCAAAGGGTTTCCTTGTAGCATTTAAGTCAAGCTTTCCCCTTGAATCACAAGGTCATGATCTTGAAACTGGAAGAAGTCTTGAATTGTTCTTTAATTTTTCATTAAATTGACTCAAGTTTAAGTATGCAGAACATTCAATCATATACAAGAAAAATCAATTTTGCTCTAACCAGGGTCTTTCGCAGGTTTTTCTTTACCATTCCTCTGTAAACTTCTCCTGCTTTTCTTGGGTGTTGTCCCTGTTTCCTTCTCATCTTTAAGGGGGCTTCTTTTCCTCTTCCCATTTACATCTGTCATTTTATTCTAAACACAATTTCAGAGCACTTGTCAACTCTGTCAGCCTATAATGAGAGCTACAACCAGTGCTTCTAGATAACTGATATTCAGCTATAATTGTCTTATTCAAAATACCATGTTAACCATTTAACTCCCATGAGTGATAAAGACCAAATTTCTCCTTATAATGTGAATACAATATCAAGTAGACAAGTGATAAGAATAAAACTAGATTATAAGTTGATCCAAAACCAAGTTCTCCAAATTAACATCATAAGAATTATATTTCAGACAGTAAGGAGAATTGTTAATGAGATCTAGAGAGTGAGAGGGTTAAACAACTTAAGACTGATAAATGACTGCAATAAAGTCATGATTATCTCAGACAAAGGAAGAGAGGAAAGGTGTTTGCCTGTGAAAATTTACCTCACAGTGTCCTTTTGGTCTAAACAAACAATGAAAATAATTTACTTACAGATGAGAGATTGATATCTTTCATCATGGTTTGATTGATATCTGAGGTGCTTATTTCATTGCTTGACTTTTCTTCATGTCCATGCATATTTTTACTACCTGGAACAACTGTATCTAAGATAAAAAATGAAACATCAGTTGATAGCAAATGGGGGGGGGGGGTCTGACATGGCAATTTGTCAATAGCTCTGTAGCAAAATTATTTGTTTAGTGATAAACCTCCACTACAAGTCAGGAACTGAGTTCAATAGATGAGCTTGTTTAAAAGGTAAGTTTGTGTAACAATTGTTGTTTAAAATTAATTTAGGTCAAAACAATTTTAAAGTAATTTAATTTTTGTTTTCCATTGTTCAAGAAGATCTACATCTTCCTTGCAACACACCTATTGAGGCAAACAAACTTTTACTTTTCAAGCTTCTAGTAACTGTAATAATTTGGACAATGACATTAAAAACAAACTGCATAGGGGGGGGGGTAGAATACCTGGATAAATATCATAATTATCATTATTATTATTATTATTGAAATAAATCCTCATAATCATCATCCATCTAACCTAAATTCCATTTTAAACCTAGAATATAAACACTACCCAACTAATTTGACTTGAAACCTGCTGAAAATTTTGTTATCTAGTGGTGGCATGTACAGAGTTTACCTTGCATCATTTCATTTGCTTTGGAAAGGTCTGTTATCTGATCATGCTCTCCTTCATCCTCAGAGTTTTGACCTGAACTTGTGGCTTTGTACATTGATTGCATGGATTGATTCATCATGTTTGTATCCTGTAGAGGACATTTTCAAAATACTGCTCAATACTCATGTCTACATACAAGTTGAACAACCCATACCACCAGAGGTAATATTTTCCATAGAATTGAGAGACCACAGGCATTGCTCCTTTCCCTTGACCATTTCATTGCAGAAAATCACCCCACCTCCCTGATCTTTTCAGTTTCTTTGAAAGTTTGCTCACAATCATTTATTTTGCTGGCTAACAAGAAGACTCTCTTACAGGTAAGTGTCTTGCCTAAGAATGTTATAGAATCAAGTAATTACAGTTGAAAAGCCTGAAAATGCAAGTTAGGGTAATTTCTTTGCTTAACTTTCATCAAACCATTTACTGTATTAACTTTCATCTGCAGTTTGAATGAAATTTATTTTAACAAAGTTGTAAAATAAATGTAATAGAATGTAAGCCTACACAACAAAGTAAGAGAATTTGCATTCATGACACTGAATAAAATATTTTGCATTAAGTAATATTTACAAATTCCACGAAACAAATCATTGATAAACACTATTCACCATCAGTTACCTTGACTGTTATTTACTCTCAACAATGATAACAATTTAACCACTTACATGCACCTCCATAAGTGGTTCATCTCCTAAGGAGAACTCACTATCACTAGATCCATCTTGACTGTCATTAATACTTCCCTGTTCTCCATCATCATCATCATCTATAATATTCCTGAAAAGATAAAATCAATATCACTCAAACACACCAATTTTTTTCCCCAAGACAAATAACTGATGAACAAAATTTATGGCAATGAATTGTACCTGAGGTCAGGTGAGTTTTTTCTCTTTTGAAGAAACCTTTCTTCCAAGTGCTGAAGGTGTTCATCTTCCTCTTGCTCCTTAGCAATTGCGTCACAAACTGAAAATAATCCAAAGTACAAAGTAATAATTTAGAAAAAATTCAAGATAATTTAAAGCAATTTTAAGGAAATACGATTTTACCTTTCTCCACAGATTGCTTAAAAGCTCTTCTTTTTCTTCTTGAATATTCACTGCAAAACAAAAAAAAATTTATAAAAGGGCTATGTTTTTAAACTTTAAGAAATATAATATGATTCTTCAAAGATGGAGGATAATGCTCTTCCTCTAAATTACATTGATTAGTCATTATAAAAAAAATCCAAAAAAATGCTGTCATAGATCGCAACCTTTCCAGACAGCTTAGTGGGAAAACAAACAGGAGAGGTTGGCTAAAACAAAATGAAAGGATGGAGTTTTTTGTTGACTAGGTTTGGCACACATATGCACCTGAGATGTAACTGAAAAGTATTGATTGTCATCAAAACAGACCCTTATAAAATATAAATTAAACCCTTGAAAAAATAGATTAATGGAGAAGATTGAGTAAATTGGTTAAGTTAAGTCCAAGCCCAAGTCATTGTCAAGTCCTTGTCAAGAAATTTGGAGAGTCATCAATTCATGGTATGTAAATTGCAGACAAATAGTTTTTTTTAATCCCAGTCAAACATTTTGGATAGGGACTGAGCCAAGGATCTACTTCTTTCTTAATCTGATAATTTTTAGACCACATATATATCTAAAAACCAGCATATAGTGCAAAGCCAACCTCAAATTGAATGCTATACTTCAGTCAATAAATGTTAACCCAAAGCAAATTGCAAAAATAAAATTTGATCAAAGCCGTTCAGTCAATAAATGCTAACCCAAAGCAAATTGCAGCTAACAAATCCTAACCACCATGCAAATTAGTTCCTATTTGGAAAGTTAAATAACTGTAAGTCAGTCAACTGACTTGGATCTGGGCTTGACTCTGGCTCAGAATTTACTTTAAAAATAAATCTACTTGTCAGAAAGAGACGATCGACAAAACCATCAAGATTGAAAATTATAAGATAATCAGGTTTAATTTTTCAGGTTCCAATAACTAAGGTTGGGCTACAATCTAAAAATCTGAGCACCTAAAAGAGCCTAAAACCCCGAATATAAAGCAAAACAAAAATAACACTTACTTATATCTTGTCTGTAAATGGTTCACCAGTTCTTCGATGTCTGGTTGGTGTCCTTTTCTAAACTGGTTCAGATACTTTGATTTGAGGAAAAAACACACAATGAAAAGTTACACTTCTTGTTTTAATCAAAATCAAAGTCTTCCTTCGCATAGAGACAAAATTTTCCTTAAGTTACTCGCTATTCACTTCCTGTATTTACCTCTTTCACTCGTGGAACAAGCCGTTTATCCAAAGTGTAAGCGCCCTTAGGAAGTTTGATGCTACTTCTTCGACGATCCTGTTTTTTTCGACCCGAATCACGCGTCATCCCGAACAGACTATACAAGTTGAGCCGATTCCAGAAATCCTTCTATATGCTATTTAGAAAAAGAGCCCATCTCTCCAAAAATTTCGCTGCTTTTCAGGCACAATGTTGCAATAAAAACACGTGTAATACCACATCTATGCAGGCATCGGTGCATTTTCAACAAGGCGTCGAGAAAGAACTCTTCACCAAGCCCCTTGAGAGGTCAAAATGAACAAGAAAGCCTGGGAAAGTGAGGGTGGGGAGAGAGAGAGAGGAAGGAGGTGGGGGGGGGGGGTAGGTTAAGGGAGGATGATTGATCGAATAGAAAGGAAAACCACCTGATTTTTCAAAAGGGATGACACTTTTGTCCTTAATTTTTAACTATTCCCTCAGAGGTTACTTGCATCATAATCTTATCACTGACATTACTGAGAGAAAAAAAAATTGAACAAAAATGACAACTAAGGAGGAGCTGTGCAGTAAACAATCTACAGGAAAATACGACACATTACATGATCGGATAAATGTTTTGATGATCAAAGATTTTATCATATGCCTCTAATAGAGAGAGAATATTGTGTGAAAACCCAAAACATCAGAGAAGTGTGAAAGAGATTCAGTGATCACCAATTCTCTACATTTTAAGTGGGAGTCATTTGTCTGAAGCGAACTCACTGATTAGTGATCCCCCACTCAATACATTTTAAATGGATGTCATAATTGCTTGGGGCAAACACATTTTAAAAAAATTGTAATGCTCCAACAAAAAGCTCCTGGGCAGGGGGGGTGGCCTTATCCAGGTGTCTTAACAAAGAGCTTAATAGATAGGGGCTCATAGGAGAGAGGGTTTAACATAGAGGAAGGGCCTACAAGAGAGGCTTTTTTTAGGTCAGGGGGCTTATTACAGAGGTTGAGACTATTAGAAATTTGAACTTTCAAATGAAAGTTAGGGCAGGAGGGTAACCAGAACATTTCCAGTATGTTGTTATTGTAGAAAGGAAATCATCTTCCACTAAAGTAACCCACCACACCACACCCCATCATAATGTGAACAAAATGTAATTTGAGATGATGCCAAGAGGACAAACAATCTAAACAGAGTGAGTATTATACTTGTAAAACAGTTGTTTTATTTCTCTTGTTATGTACATGTAAGATTAGCTGTATATAATTATCCAATCCATTAATATATCCACTTAGTAGTCTTGATGTCACTTTCTTATAAATCTCTGCAGTTTGGGGAACAACTTCAAAGCATTCTTGGTCGTTTCTTCATAAACTGTCTGAACTGGAATGCCTTTAATTTGAGCAATTGCTTCACAGGATATTCTGATATTCTTGGGTTCATTTCTTGTCTAAAAAATAATAAATAAATAAATAAATAAGGTACATCATGAAGAATTCCCTAAATAAAAGCTTACAAGAGGGAGTCACTTACAAGAAGTGGTTACTTAAAAGAAGTTCCACTTATAGTGATTTAACTTGGAAACTTCTGGAATTTTGATAAAGGTGTTCCCTTATGAGTGGTTGCAAAGGGAGGTTTGACTGTAGTTCACTTTCACAAGCGAATGGCTCAGAAAAAAAGGTCTACAAGGTGCACCTTTCACAGTTTGGTCACTATGTAGAGTCAAGGTTACTGATTTTGCATTTTACACACAAAAAAAGTTAATTTGAACAAACCATTCTTCAAGAGTTCAATTGCCAGGGCGTTGCCTGGGGGGGGGGGGGGGGAAGAGAGATACTGATGCTTTGAATTGATGGACACATAAGTACCATATAAACAGAAGTGTTGTTAGTAGACTGAGTATTGTACTGTAAACATTGTACTAGCAAATTTCAGTACTCCTTGTCAAAAAAAGACAAATGGTTTTGTGTATGTTTTATGAGAGAGAAGGCAGTAGAGCCACAGAAATGAGCAGAAGGGCTTCAATACAGCCATATTTTCTTTACTCCTGAATTCAGACTTTCGTCTTAATACCTGTTTTTCAGCTGCCAAGGCTGGGGAATCAGTTTCCAGAAGAAGATTTGAAAGGGGAACATTTTTCACAAGCTTCTCTTTCTACAAACACAAACACAAATAAAATTGCAAGGAAGATCCTCATTTAGCCACCTGTGCTTGGCAGTCACACAGCAATCTGTTATGATTTTATTACTCAGTGTATAGGTTTAAAATCATCATGACTTTCAAAAATGCATCTACGCTGTCAATGTTCCCTCATGGCTCTTTCTCCTTGCTTCCTCATGCATTAACCTTTTGATCCCCAAGAGTGACCAACATCTAATTTCTCCTTACAATATCACCTCTGAATCACGCATTAAGGTCATGAGAATAAAGGAAATGATCACCAAATGCAGAAGCTCTTGAACCCTTTGACCCTTAAGAGTGACCAGCATCTTATTTCTCCTTACAATATCACCTCTGAATCACACATTAATGTCACAAGAATAAAGGAAATGATCACCAACTAAAGCAGCTCTTGATCATTAAACTAATTCTCCTTGTCAGCACCTTAGGAAATATACAGAGAACAGTATGGAGAATATGCATACTGATGTTAGGGTATAAAGGGTAAAGCTTTATGATGTTGAACCCCAAAACCCATTGCCTGTAATTTTAGTTATTCTATACACAAGTGGTGAGGTCAGCAGCATGTTATAATGCAAAAAGTTTATTTTTCCTTTGTCTTTCTTGACAACTAGACAAATGACACATAACTTGACATTATATGAGTTTGCAAATGACAACTTTAACAACAGTTGAGCTTGAAGCTTTGATCTTACCTGAGGAGAGCGAACAATAGATGGTGGAATTGAAAAGTAGTAGCCTTGTTGAACTCCCTTCAGGGCATTGGAAGGTTTTCCATCAAAAGCATGAAGCAGGACATTTCTGGCCCCTTGTGAAGAGACAATAAAGCAAACATCACACTCCAAGATGTTACAAAATATTTTTTGGAATCCACTCTCACATCTGACAGGCCAACCAGATTCAAACTTGTTGGCAGAACTTAAAGAAGTACCTTAATTTAATTTTACCTTAAAATTATTCTTACTAGAACATGGGAAGAGTTTAATAATTTGTCATGAGCCTATGGGACAAAAAAACTAAGTTGTGCATGAGAATTTGAACCTCAACTGGTTCTGATTTCACATGTGGATACTCTTTCAATTACTAAGAATTCATCAGCAAGCAAGTTCAAACTGAACTTCACATTTGGCAAGTATATTGATAGGATCCAAAAGGTTGAAAGCATTCTGTGTGGATATTTGTTAGTAAGAATGTTTTGGTTAAAAACTGATATACTGGTTTTGATTACAAAATATAACTTCCTAATTAAGAAATGAGAGAAATCTCACACTATAATTTAAACCCTTTGACTCCCTGAGTGACCACTTGGTGATCATTCCAAACAATGTCGATACAATGTAAATCAGAATGGTGATGGGAAGAAAGTTAGATATCAGCAAAGGGAAATTGCATGATCTTATTTCACATTCTCAGAGCTGATACTATAATAGATGTACAACATACTTTAAGGAGAATAGATATTGTGATCTTGGGAGTGAGAGCATTAAGCTCTAAAAGGAAAATAAAGTACCATGTTGCTGCAGCATTTCAATCACATGTCTTCCTGCTGAGCGTGAATGCACATTTCTGCAAACAATAACAAAAAAATGATTCCTTACAATGTGTCATCAAATTCTCCCTGTACTTGTGCATGTAATAAACAAATCCTACCATCAATTTTGAATCCTATGCTTTTGTAAATCACTTGTATGATCAAAGATCAAATATCAATCCACTCTGCCCATTACCATTATCAATACCATGCAATAATTCTTTAAGGGTTGTAGCACAGAAGACTAGTGAGTGCCTCAAACTTGCCGATCTCACTGTGACCACCGGCTGGAAAATAAATCTCTCCAAAACGAAATGCGCGTAACATTTTCCTACAACAAGGTATGTTTGATTGTACTCATCACTACTTTTGATTAAATTATTTAAATGCATAGACTACCTGAAAGTAAACTGGATTGGACAAGGAAACCTCTGCTATAAAAAAAACTCAACCATTTAACTCCCAGAAGTGATCAACATGTAAGTTCTCCCTGAAATATCAATACATTATCCAGCAAAAAGGCACTGAGAATATTCAAACTTATTAGGTAAAAGTTGTTGCCTTGATCTAATTCAAAGTTTTTGTGACAAGTTAAAAAGGAAATGTGTAGCAGCTACAGAGGAGAATAATTATAACAGTTGTACCCACATACAAAGGAAGATTGAGTTCCAGAGCAAGCTTTATCTGCAAAAGAAAAGATAAAGACCAGTACTACCAATTGACCATAAACAGAGTACCATTTGAAGCCAATCATACCAAAGAGTATTATTATTCCCAGATTTCATCCAGTTTTGAAGGAAATGTTGGTAATAAGGAATAATGAAGATATCCACCAATTACCTGTCGACTGAACACTTCTCTTTGAATATCTTTATCCTCCTCTTTGCTTATAAAGCGCGGAGTAAAATCCAAGCCAACCTTCATAGATAATAATGATATACAATAATGATCATTAGACAAAGCAAAATAACTTAATTTCATGATGTCAAGGCATGACATATCACAAAAAGATCACAAAACCTCTGAAATTTGAATATGAACTCACAAGAAAGTGATTCTGTCTAAGCATAATTCTTAGGAATTTCTCTCTGGTGTTGATTTTTTCTAATAATATTAAGAGTGTGAGTAAAATGCATGAAGGTACAGTCCAAAACAAGAAATTCCTTGGTTCCCTTCAAACTTTACCAAAGTTTGGTAGAGCGTACTCTGCTATAAAGGTCAAACCCTTGTCACATTTCATAAAGTATGTTTAATAATAAATATTCTTAGTTTATAGCAATAATAAAAAAGAAAAACAATTTTGCAGGCCTGTTTTAGATTCAGATGTGGAGCTACATGTATCATTATACATATTCTCATGCTACCATACACTTTTCTTCTGCTATTCTTTATCTTGCCCAAATCAAAAGAGAATAATTACTTTCAAACCAAGAATACAATTTATTGTGAGTCACTACAACACTTACTGCAGAACACAATTCTTTCTAACCTCTCCAATTGCAACAAGCTTTTCATGATTCTCTCTGATAAATTCCTCAACGCCATCGAGATCCTGCCAAAAGAACAGATAATAAGGCTGAGATCATAGTTCTAATTACGTATTTGAGTACCTATAAAAATAACACTGATGTTTCCAAACATACTTCTAAGGTGGCACTGCGATCTGGGCAGAGACCCTGTACTGGGTGTACACCAAGACATGGTGCTATAAAGTCTGGATATCTGAAATTGAAAGATTCCAGAATTGTACAACTTTCATTTATATTAACAACTTCATTCCACAGTCAAACATCACTGCTCCATAGTATTAAAAAAATTTTATGCTACTTTTTAAACCCCTTAATACCCTAACATCAGTATTCATAATCTCCATACTGTTCTTTATGCACTTCCTGGAGTGCTGAAGGAGAATTTGTTTCACCCTTTTAATCCCAAGATCTCATTAATAATTCTCCTAACTGCACACCCTACAATTCTTACAATGTTAGTTCAGAGACTTTGGATCAATTAACAATTATTTGATATTGATATTTTTTTTAAAATTCTCATCACTTGTCTGCTCAATATTGTATTGATATTGTAAGGAGAAATTCTGTCTTGGTCACTTGTGGGAGTTAAAGGTTAACAGTCAAGCGCTTCTTTAGTTGGTGATTACTTCCTTCACTCTCATGACCTTAATGCATGATTCAGAGGTGATATTGATAGGTGTGATATTGGAGCCAGCTCAAAAAGATTTCAAGTCAAGTCAAGTCATCTTTATTTAGGCAGTGTAACCCCATCAGCCATAGGCTGGTATCACAATATGAAAAGGGGATATTCCAACAGTCACTTTAAATTAGCAGAATCAATATGGTCACTGTTGGACTGGATGATAGCCTTTGAAAGTCTTACTTTCTAAATAGAAATTCCTGTAAACTCAATGGTTAATTCACAATTCATAGCACACAGTACATTTTTAACACACCTCTCATGAAGTTTGAGCATTCCGGTGAATTCTGTTTTAAACTCTGTTACACCAACTACAGCTCTTACTCCAGCCTAAAACAAAACACAGCTTTTAACTGACTAAAACAAAGTCTAAAACAGTAAAATGGTACAAAAATACAAAGCATTTCCAGTAAGTAAATGTATGTGGTACATAAAGAGGATTAAAAGCAGAGGTGGATATTTGCAAAATGGGCATGAGTTAGTCTGAGGACAGGGCACAATAGTAACAATTATAGTAGAACCTCTCCAAATGTTTCATAATGTATAGATTTAGCCAAGCCTAAAAGCGGAGCTTGCATTTTTTTTTTCCTGCACATCTCAAGGGCACAACACCTTGCCCCAGCCAGGACTAGAACCTGGGTTGTCCAACTTGGAGCCCAGTGCACTGACCACTGGACTACTGGACAAAGCCGTGGCATTGGCGTACCCATGGTACAGTTGACCATGCATGTTAAAAGTAGCACCTTGTATGGTTGTACATCCAAATTTTTTCGGCTTGATAGGTTATTACTATTTTGTATAATTATGGGGCTACGCTCTGCGAACTCCGCTATTAGAAGAAAATCACTTTTTAAAAACATTTTTGACTATCATCTTTACAGAATAGAGGTCTCTTGCGTTATGAAAAAAAACTAGAAAAAAAGTAACTATCACCATGACCATGATAATGCCAATAACATTATTAATCAAAACTATAACAAATTTTCAAATGTAATTGGTTATCACCAGCCCAATTTGAGCACTAATAAGACAGTGTATGCATCATGTTTGTAATTAGACAGTTTAATAGGACAGTTGACATATCATGTCTGTGAAAGTGGACAGTGCACCCATCATCTGCATGCACTGTCAGTGCACATTTTGTTGAGTTGCCCGTTATTTTTTTTTTATGAAAACATATAAATGATGTCTAGTTTCTTTCTCAGATTTTGTCATAGTTTTGATTGATTGGTAACAGGACTTTGTGTAATCTAACTCTATCTGTAGTCATATTTGTGATCAACAAATTGGACTCCCACTTTGCAGTGGTTGGATTTTGTTAATCACTCATATGACTACAAACCAAATTGGACTCAACTTGGTCTATTACAATAATTAATAGATATAAATTCAAAGGTAAATTTATTTCATAGTGTCTTTACAACTACCAGTAAACTTTACTTCATAAACATACTGGAAAATAATCGACAAGGTGGTTGCCAAGCAAGAATAATAGTCATTTGGTACGTACAAATTTTTTTCAAAAAGACTTGAAGGGTTATGCTTTACGCTGATGGCATACCTGTTTTGCTTCGTCAATGACCACATCTACATCCTTCGATATAAAAAATAAACAACAACAACAATTTTTCGGACACAGCTTTTCAAAAATCAACTCACTGCCCACTCTTTACAACGTGCACAATCTGAACAGCGTGACATACAAGTTAGCGTTACCAAAGCTTCACACGAACGATTCGTTTAGCCTTCATGTGCCGTCAAAGCCACTGATTAAATCTAATCGAGCGTCCAATATCTTGAAGTCAATGAGTGGTGACTCTAGGGAAAGATTTCCTGGCACAGCCCCATACAATTGTAAATCAAAACCATAGTCCAAAGGGCAATCTATAATTTTCGCCTATGTCTTCTTTATTCAAGATTTTTACGGATAATCAAGAATGATGCTGTGAGAAAATCTGTCAGCTATCGAAACATTTAATTGTATGTCTACGGTGGACGAAGTATAATCCACTTTGATATTGCACGTGGAGAAAAAGCATCCCTTTTAGTACCGAAAGCATATCCGAAAAAAGTATTTACATTACCTCACTAAATTCTTTCGCTGATATATGCGCGTGGCAGTCTACAAAACACACTTCCTTCGAGTTCAATTTTATTTCGAAAGCATCCGCCATCTTTACATAATCTGATTCCTGTCATGTACAGGTACATGAAGTGACTCACATCAAGTTAACACAACATGCTATAAAGTGCTCTCCAAGCCTCTATTTCTATCATCCATCAAATATTTTAGCTCGCGCGCGGATGGTCTAAACACAGCACGAGGCAGAATATTCCCCTGCTAAAACTGGGTGATATCCGAGAGTATCACCCGAGTGATATTCCCCGTACCCTATATTGTTCATAAAGTTTGTAACAGTGAACACTTAAAGAAAACACCTCACGCCGCATACAGTAAGCTCTTCATAAACATTTTTCACGCGCATTGCAAAATATTTGAAAGGGAACAAACACAATAGCCCCTATTTTACGCAAAAATATGCTGGTATGTTTGTCCTTGAACATTGCCTGTTACTCAAAGCTCATAGTTTTCCTCGAGCTTTGCTCTCGGAAAACTGCTCGCATCTTGGAAAAGATGATGTTCGCGGACAAATATTTCTACATATTTTCGCACCAAAAAGAGGCTATTGTTTTTATATGCACAGCTCTTAATAGTGCTTGAACTCATGTTTCACGGTGGGTCCAAAACGCAGGTGGGTCCAAAACGCAGGTGGGTCCAAATGCAGGTGGGTCACGTCAGGTCATGTGCCCACGAGTTGTAAAAAACAACTTGTACAGTCCACCGATTTTCCTCCCATTACCGGTCACTCCCAGTAATATCTAGGGCCCCCCAAAAATCCCTTACTCTGACAACTCTCCCACATTGTCGTATACCGTCACTCGCGCCGTTGTGGGCCATCAATCAATATGTTGTCAGTCGAATGTACCAAGTCCGGTTCGTGTAAACTGGTCGGTCAGTTTGACCGTGACCAATCAACTTACACGAACCGGACTATGTACATTTGACTGACAGCAACTAATCTCTTGACTCCGATGATGACTTCCGCTCAGGTTGTCGAGACGTCAGTCAATCCTTCTCAGGACTACACTAGTTCTGTTTTCCCGAAAGTCCTGATGTCCTGAAGTTGAGGGAAACATCAGGACTTGAGGGAAAACAAAGCCAACTAGTTTCCCGAGGGACCATATATTAAGTGCTTTGTTATATATTTAGACTTTCCCTTAAACAATCATGTGCTGTTGTGTTCGGCGCGCGAGCAACAACTGCGCAATTGTATCCCTAGCCTAAGTGTAGCCGTACCCTCCCCAACCAAGGTAAAACGGAAGCGCCTCCATTTCACCTGGGGGGTGAAGGGTACGGCTACACGTAGGCTATTGTATCCCAGGCTTTAAATCCCGATCGGGAAACATTTGAATTTGATCAGGGGCAAGAGATTAAGAATCAACCAATCATAGTGCTCGCTCTGTTGAGTGAAAGTCTGGGCATAAAACAATAACACATATTAGCGTAGGGTTCAACCCATTCACTGTAAATTGTATTTATAACAAACTGAAGACGACAACACGAGACTCAAGTTTCAACAACATTTTACTACAACTTCCATGTACCTATCTATCACGAGGCATGTTAAATCCTTATATCGATATCATTATGAACGACTTTCTTTTTTTCTCTTTCTTTTCCCATGCGCCATCGCAGAACTCATTAGAAACCCCATCACTACGTGACAATAGATGTTCCCGACAACCTCTACTGTATTTACAAGACATTACAGATCATAAGCACCAACGTTTTAAAAACCGCGAACGGGTAGAGTGAATGTTACTATGAATGCTTTAAACTAGCTCATAACACGCCTACAACCCCCCCGCCCCCCAACAACGTCACCACCGACCCCACCCATTCCGTTGGACACATCGTGTCGTACAGAAGCCTTGTAGGAATAATTATAGTCGCGTTCCCTTTTTTATTGGTGATGAAAAACTACCTTCATTTAATACGGAACCAAAAAATATCAGTTGTTTAAAACAGAAAAATACGAATAAGGTAGCACAAAACAAAAAAGCAACAAAAATGCCTGCAAATCAAGATGACTGTCTCAGATTGAAATGACAAACATGGGGAATTCCAAGGTGCATAAGCTGTGATGTCTATTCCTTTCCTGAGTAACTTATCCGTATTTAACGGCCAAGCAGATTTTGCAACTCATTTTCTTGGCATTTTATCAAATAAAACTGACAGCTAAACAGATTTAAACAGATTTTTCCACAGCTTTGTTAAAAGAACTATCGCCCAAATTCCTCTCCACCCTTGTCAACCTGATTCCTTTTAAAGCTGAATTTCTTCATTTTGGTGTTTCCATCTTGCCATGCTTACATTTTAATATCTTACATCACTCTGAAGGTAAATTAGCACGTTCAACAAAAACGACTCAAAATTAAGCTCATAGCTCCCTTAACCCAATCACTCACAAAATGTGAAAAGCAATTCTCAGCAGTGCGTTGCTCACTTCTTACAAATGAGCTCTGAGTAAGGTGAAAAAGATTTCTGAATTGGTCTCACTCTTTTTCTCGTCAAGTGAAATTCCTCTTCTGTCACATGAGGGAGGAAGAGAGTTGATAAAAACCCTTACTGATCAGTAAACATTGTTTAAAAACATAGCATATAAAAAATTTCAGACTTGCCACCTGATAACAAATGGTTAACCAACTTAACTGAAAAAGCTTTACTAAGTTCACTAAAAAGAGGTGTTCCTTTGAGATCGTAACCCTCCAAAAGCTTTACTGTTTGCTAAAATTGGCCATACAGCCAAAAAGACACTTCTCATATAATAATGCTTGTCTGCTTGTCAGAAAGACTCGAATTACCACAAAGTATGGTTGATCTGAAATAAATATATCTTTAAAGAGAGAAGTAAAGAGATGGATTAATAAAGCTTTTACAGTTAGGTTGGTTTCAAGTACAGCTATCTTCAAAATAATAAGTCATCTACAAATGGTAAAATAATATCTTAACTTTTTGTTATTATTTTGCTAATAAAAATAATAAATAACAATTGTCACGTGTAACTCTCTCCAAGAGGAAACAGTTGCACAAGGACACAGTCACCAAACTGTGACAGGAAACTAACTTAGTGAATGCTCTAAAAAGTAACCCCCTCCCTTCTATTTGACAAAATAGAAAATAGTGGAGTCATTGCCATTTGTTTGGGCTATGTAGCATTTCAGTACAAACTATACTTAAATTCAAAGGCCTCTGAAGGCTCCAGTCAAAATATCACAGGTCAAAGAAATGCATTCTGAATACAATATTCATTAAATCTGAGCAACAGTTCAGATGAAAATTTAAGATTTTCACTTGAGTGTTTGGTGGGTTTTCATCAAGATCTATCTATCCAAATCCCCCTCCCCCCTCTCACTAGTCGATTCTCAAATAAGCCTCTTCATTGGAAAAACTTGCACATCTAAAAGGACCCCCTCTCCAAAAACCCACCTCTCCGAAGGTTCCAGGATTTGATAAGCTCCCTCCCCACCCCTGACTTACTAAAGCATTTGCCATATTACAGGGGAGATGACATGCTGCAATTATAATTAGTTGTACATAAAATCCTTGATATGAATGGGGATAGTTTTTCACCAAACCATGCAAATGTCTGGGTTTTTCTTTTTTTCCAAATTTCACACTTAATTACAACCATTACAATTTCCTCAAATGTGATTGGTGCATTTGCTGCTTTATTTTTCACCAATCATTCTGTACAGTTGTGATCAGACAGTGTAATCAGACAGTTGGCTGTAATTGGACACCTGTAATTAGACAGTTAAAGCAGCCAATCACTGTAGGTCCACTCAGCTAAATCCACCAATCACAGAACTGATCACAATAACCATAGCAACAACCACTTATCCTGAAAAAAAAAAACTGGGGAATTTCCAAAATAGAGCTATTTTACTCACTAGACATTGTCCCTCCCAGAGATGTCTGTCCTAAATGTATTTGTTTTTGTTGTTTTTTTTAAATTGTAATGGTTATGATTAATTGACAACTGGACTTAGTGTTGTTCAATTCTGTCTGTAATCATGCTCGTGACTGACAAATCAGACGTCTGCTTCACAGTCATACCATTTTGTTAATCACTCATACGATTACAGACCAAATTGGACTTCACTACCTCCTACTACCATTATTAATTTTCTTGACCAAAAAGTGACCCTAAAACAAGAAACTTTGTGGGATTAACAAATAAAAGGTGCTTCTTAAGGTTGCTGAAACAAATTTCCTGTGTAGTTAAATATTTAGAGAAACTCATTTCAAGCTGTCAGTTTGCAGACCAGCCCACTACTATGAGAAATGATTTCTCAACTTGTAGCATTCTTCTTTCCACAAAGTAGTTTTCTGAGAAGTGAATTTTTCACAATTTTACTAATACCTGAATTCCATGTTATTATATACATTTTACCTTAAAACACATAACAACACATTTTTTAGTGTAACCGTAAATCAGTCACTGTAAGCGACTCTGAACCACTAAGAAGAGTTCTATTGTGCCACACCCAGATGGGAGGGGGGGGGGGAGGGGAGAGAAGGGGGGAAAAAGAGGAAGAGGGAAGACAAATGGACAAATTTTACCCCTCTGCTGCTGTGGCCAAGTATTCATCTGGACTATTATAGTCTGACAGTGCCTTCACAGTACATGAGTCATGAGGAAGCTCAGATTTCCGCCGTACAAACTTTTTGTTCCCTGGTTTCTTTGATGAAAATTCCTTGAAAAAAGAAAAATAGAAAGAAAAGAATAAGAAAACACTCTTCCACTAGATGACAAAATATTTAAAGTTCTGACATGCTGGCCATGTGGTAAGCACATAAGACTATGGTTAGGTAAGGTTGCATAAAAGTCCTAGCCCAACAACTGTGTTGGGTTTTTGAGCAAACACTTAATGCACCTCTCTCTTCCAAGGAGTGTAAATGGGTACCAGCAAACTATGAGAGAGAATCCTTGACTTTTTGCAATAAATAGCAAAATTTAATTTTAGACTTTTTAATAGCAGTGATAAAAATTATATAGTTTTCAAAGCATATTTCTCCTTTAGGGGATGAATTAAACTCCACAGGAAAATAGCAAACAGCCTACCGTTTTCGAGACTCCTTGAAGAACAACCACTCCATCTTCTACCCCTTCCATCTCACAACCCTGGTCCATAAGCTCCCTATCTCTCTCATCATCAACACCAGCTAGACGGGCAATCTTGACATACTGCAACAAAATAAAGATGTCACATCCTTAAGTATAAAAAAAAAAACCTATTAAGCCCCAATACATATAATGGTCAGATTTTACTACAGTTCATCTGTGGACTGTAGAGCTGCATTTGTTTTGTGTGTGTATATATCAAGAGTTCTACCAGCTATAAAAAAATTGAAGATACACATGACAAAAGTGTACAAAAAAAACAAATAAAAAAATTGGTGTATATAGTGAATTGAAAGCCCACTGTTAGGCTTAAAGCTAATTTTAATTTTCATCAAGAACATTGTTCATCCCCATGACTGATTCTCAAAGATTTCCACAACTCCACCGATTAATAGGAATTAACAAAGTACTCGCAACAAGCCTTCAATGTTCACTGATTCCAAATTTAAGAATGCAGTGATTCTGTCCACTGTGACACTGAATGAGGTTGTAAACATTTTGCTATATCTAGCTTAACCCTTTAACTCCCATGAGTGACCAAGACAGAATTTCCCCTTACAATATCAATACAAAATCAACCAGTTAAGTGTCAAGAATAAAGAAAAATATCAATTTGGGAATTGGCTGATCCAATACTAAATTCTCTGAACTAACATTGTGAGAATTGTATGGTTGACAGTAAGGAGAATTATAATTTAATCTGAGAGTTAAAGGGTTAACTTTCAAAGCCAAAGTTCAAAGCCTTCAATTCATTTTAAAAAGTTTCTCAACATAATTATACTTACATCAGGGTTTTTCCGAGCTAGTTCATCAATTTTTAGCCACGCTTCCTCTCTCTTTTTGAGATCCTCTTTTTCCCTGAGAGTGATAACCAGAAACCCTATTAAGTACTTATTAACTGAAACGTCACAAATTAACTTTTTGACTCCTAAGAATGACTAACATCTAATTTCTCCATAAAATATCACCCCTGAGTCATACATTCAGGTCACAAGAATAAAGGAAATGATCACCACCTAAAGAAGCTATTGATGGTTCAATAAATTCTCCCTGTGAGTACCTTAGGAAATGCATAGATAACAGTAAGGGGGATATCTATACTGATGTTGGAGCATAAAAAGTTAATTCTCACTTCCAAGGAAAGAGCATATTTGGCTCAAATACCATCATAATAAATTTATTTGGTCTAGTTCATTCTAAGCAGTTTGTGCTGACAAACTACATAAACAGAAGTGTCTAAGTAAAGAACTAGCCTAACTCAGAGTTCAGTTAAGTGCATCAGTTGGTGTATTTTCTATCACGAGCAAAAAATTGGAATTAGTGTTTATTTGAAAGAGTTAAATGCTTAACACATTGATCCATTGTGTTCAAGTCAAAATAACTATAAATACAATTTGTAATTTTTAAATGGTTAGATGTTTACTTCTGCAAATAGCCATACCTCTGTCTTTCTTGTTTATATTTTTGTGTACATTCATCAAAGAGCTTTTGATTCATCTCCATAAAGAGCTTTAAAGCATTGTATATGAGACCATGTATTGTCCTGGAGAAGTAAGTTATGAGTTTTAGAGGTTTGTTTAGATTAGGGGGGGGGAGGGGGGGGAAGGAGGGGATTACTATAATGAAAAGCAGTGACAACTCCTGGATGACAGCCCTAATTAGTTCACATGCTTGCCACAGTCCTAGATTTTTTTAAATTTCCAGCCTTTTCTCTAACAAATGTAAAATTTTCCTGATCAACTGAATTAACAATTTCACAAATACATCATTATAATGGGCTTCAACCTCCCCTCACAATCATCCTCATCCACCCATGAATTAACACTTTCAGCAGGTCACACACAGATTACATGAGATCATAATTCCTTAAAGTAACATGACAAAAGTATTAATTTTCTTGGAAACCACACATCAGCTTTTCATTCAATTTCATTAAAGTTTGCACTCACTTCTTCACCAAAAAAATCCTTACTCTTCTTCTACTTGATGCTTGCTTATGGAAGACATCTTAAGAAGTTAAACCATGGATTTCCAGGTTAACATAAATTTTAGTTGAAAAACAAAAAATTGGCACTTACTTGTTCCAGTGGTTCTTTGAGTGTTTGTAAAGAGAAGGAAACATGATGGGCACTATGACACCAGCATTATCACTCATCAAGCTCATCACATACTCGTTATTCCAGTAATACAATGCACGCTCAGCAACCTGCACATCAAAACAAGAAGAGTGATAAACTGTAATTTCAATTATGGAAAATGATTCAGAAGTCACAATGTCTAACTAACACCTGATAATCTTTACATTGGCAAGTAAGTCATAGGCCAAAGACAAGTAAGCCATAGGCCAAAGACAAGTAAGCCATAGGCCAAAGACAAGTAAGCCATAGGCCAAAGACAAGTAAGCCACATAGGCCAAAGACAAGTAAGCCATAGGCCAAAGACAAGCAAGCCATAGGCCAAAGACAAGCAAGCCATAGGCCAAAGACAAGTAAGCCATAGGCCAAAGACAAGTAAGTCATAGGCCAAAGACAAGTAAGTCATAGGCCAAAGACAAGTAAGCCATAGGCCAAAGACAAGTAAGTCATAGGCCAAAGACAAGTAAGTCATAGGCCAAAGACAAGTAAGTCATAGGCCAAAGACAAGTAAGCCATAGGCCAAAGACAAGTAAGTCATAGGCCAAAGACAAGTAAGCCATAGGCCAAAGACAAGCCATAGGCCAAAGACAAGTAAGCCATAGGCCAAAGTAACCTTCCATTAAAATATGCAAACAACTCAATTTCAGAAAGACAACCCGAAAAAGAAATTGATAACTGAAATATCCAGATTCTGAACAGGACCATTCTGTTTAAGTATGGAATTTTGATCTACCCTCCTTAAAACAACTAAAACCTTGTATATACAATAAATAAACTGAATTCTTTCATCACACTGTCTCCCTTGGATAATCATGACTTTCACAGTTAAAACACTGATTGGGGGTCTCTTTTTGTATTTCTACACCTGTCGTGGTTAATTGCCTTGTTGTTGACATACTCTTTCACACAACACAGTGGGAGAAAAAAAAAATCATTGTTGGATACATCTGTGTTTGTTTGAACAGAATATCTTATCTAGAGAAAGACACAGCTGTGTTCTGACAAGGCAAAGCAGAAAATGCTGACAAAATGTTAAAATAAACAAAAGCAAGTCCCTACACTTACTTGAAAGTGTGGGCTTGAGATACACTTTGCCAGTTGGCGGAAGAGAGGTTCAAGGATTTTGGCAAATTCTGATGGCTCAATGACGTCAAGAATTTCTTCAAGTTCATTAAGAAACATAACCTAAAAAAAAAAAAACAATATTTAACTTCACCTATTAAGATTTGTTAACATATCTGCAATTTTAGCCCCTTTATACTCCACATTACAATTATGTCTGATAACTTCCACCTTATTTATGGCCTATTATTGAAGATCATTTTTGTACATAAGAGGCATTACAATTTGGGTTTGTTATCATTAGACTTTTTCAATTCATCAATCACATCCCTTTGTTTTATTTGGGGATAGTAGCATGTATTTTTAATACGCTTTCTTCCCACAACCTTCCTTAATCCTTTTACTCCCAAGATCTCATTAGAAATTCTCTTTACTGTCTGCTAAACAATTCTGATGATATCAGTTCAGACAATTTAGTGTTGGATTGACTAATAATACCCTAATTGATAGTTATCTTAATTCTTGTCACCTCTCAACTTGATATTATAGGAAGAAATTCTGTCTTGGCAACTCATAGAAGTTAAAGGTTAACCCTTTACACCCTAACATCAGTCTGCATATTCTCCATATCATTCTTTATACATTATACAGGTTCCTTCCCTGTTGATCATTTCCTTTATTCTCATGACCTTCATGTGATTCAGGAGTGATATTGTAGGGAGAAATTAGATGCTAGTCACTCTTAGAGGTTTTAAAGGGTTAACCATTTAACTCCTAAGAGTGTATCAGACCAGTATGATGAACCCCCCACCCCACCTTACTCCTTCACCCTTTCACCTCTACTCTATTGCACTCCCACCCTACTCCCCTGCCTCTTAAGACATGCCTGCTGCTATTCACTATAAACTAACTTACCTCTTTTGGACTGTGAACCTTTGGCCAGAACTTCATAAGCGACACAATCACCTGAATATAACATGTATGTAGACAAGGTTAACATAAAAAAAACATCATAACAAATGATTCTATCACTTTCACTTTTTGATGACTGTTCCATTTAATTTTTTTCTTGTATTGAGAGGATTTTCATCATCCAGGAGGGCTGAACAATGCATCATTCCTTTAATCATAAATGGATATGCTGAGCCAAGGTGGAATACGTACACTGAGTGTGGTGAGTTTTCTAAGCTAACCAACAAGAAAAATGAAAGAACACCAATGCAATAGCCAATTACCTATGAAACTCAACTGACCATTGCTCCAACAACACCAATAAACAGTTTCAAATAGAATAATATTTACCGGTTCGGTGAGTGTGGGATCCTTTTCCAAAAATTGTACAATGCAGTAAGCCAACTGAGAAGAAAAGAATAGCAAACAATGAAGAAAGTGAGCTTTTTCTCTAGCAGCCCCTTTATGATTTCAGGTCACCAGATGTTGACTTAAGAAAAGTTTGAGCTTGGAGCCCTGAAGTGTACTCATCCTAAACATTTGAAGTATCAATTCAGAGTGATGAAATTAAGAGTCAATCCCTGGCTAAAGATATTAAAAAAACTACAATCTTACCTGTGGATGGTACATACTGAGTGCTTTGACCTTGTGAAGAGGCATAAGAACTTTCATAAGGAAATATTTATGTTCCTCTTTGAGTGGAACTGCAAAGCCATTGATGATGCTGGGTAAATAATTTAAAACAGTAAGTCAGTCAAGAATGTCCTAGCAACTTCAATGCATGGTAAAGAATTTGTATAGCAATTGATTGTTCCAATAATCTTGCAGGTATTCACCATTGATCCAAAGGGCCACTTAAAAAGTGTATATTCAAATTGTAGCTGGTCAGAAAAGATAGAGAGATCTCCTACCTCCCTAGAATTTCCAGCAACTCTGCAATCCCATTGTGATGTTCAGTTTCATATATAAATCTAAAGGGTTAAACAAGCAACACATGACATCATGTCAGACAAAAGTGTAGTTTCAAAATATGCCCATTCCAACCAGAAGAAATTTAACAGGACGGGTGTCTCCTAATCAAAAATGTTCTACTTTCAGTAGCATGTGGCTGCAAGAAGTGTTGCTATACCCCCTGTATAAGATGTCATTTTAAGAAGGATCCCTTGACACTTTGCTGATAGCCCCTTTTTGGGAGGGGGAAAAAGGAGGCACTGGAAGGGTTTAGTACCAAGCCAACAAACACAACACAACAAAATGACCTGGGCAAGGTTTTAACTCCGACCATTTGATCTAGAGTTCCCCACACAAATCACTAGGCCAACATAACTACTTCAAACTCTTAGGAAGTGCCCTTCAGGGATTTCAAAATGTTTTGAAGTAAACATCACACTCTGCAAAAGTAGGTGACTGTGAAAAGTTTATTAACCCTTTAACTCCCAGATCAAATTTGTAACTCTCCTTACTGTCAACCATACAATTCTTATAATGTTAGTTCAGAGAATTTTAGTGTTCGATCAACTAATTATTGGAAAAGTGTCAATTACCAAATTGATATTTTTCTTTATTCTCTTCACTTATCTGGTTGATATTGTATTGATATTGTGAGGAGAAATTCTGTCTTGGTCACTTGTGGGAGTTAAAGGGTTAAGGACTAAAAGGTAATTATTTTGTCCAGAGTAAATAGTGACATGTTATCAAGAAGCCAGCAGAACTCCAGCAATTGCTGATGTGTCCTGCAACATGGACATTTTGCTGATGCCAGACACCGAAAAGTCAAGGCCCACCTCCCGAAAAAGTCCTGTGTACCAGTATCCTTGCTATCCAAAGCTATACACCAAGACCTCAACTTACCGGTAAAATATATTATTTATATGTTTTCTGATATATGCTCTGAGTCCAAGGAACTTGCCATATATTCTGTGGAGAACTGTCTTAAGGAAATCTCGTTCCCTTGGATCTTCACTATCAAAAAGATCAAGCAGCTAAAAACAAACAGGAAAAAAAAAATTCAATTTTTTGTTAGTGAGAAAAAAAACCCTTAAATGGTTGTGCTTGCAATGTTTTTGTCTTTCACACCAGCTGTTTTCTGGGTGAACTCTTTTTGTGGAGTGAGAAATACAGTTGTTTGCCAAAGATCTGCCACAAATAAAACTCTCATGACTTTCAGACTATGTGTCAGTCAAGCGACAGCTAAAGTAAATACCCTCAAACAAATTGTCAAATCTCTATAAATTAACAGATTCATTTCTGTGCTTTTATTAATTGAGACCTGCATTACCTATTTTATAATGATCAAAATATTTTTCCTTTGAACAAATACCATTACCTGCATAACAAATTTTTGATCAATAAATTTCTTGGCCAATGCTGGCTGAAAATCCTGAGACTCCAGAAACCTCAGGAATAATTCATACACAATCTGAAAGACAAAAAAACAGGGAGAAATCCTTATTGACTCACATCCTTCTTTTCACTAGATCTTAAAAATGAAATAATTCAAAACTGGTTAACGTTATGATTGTAATATTAACCTTGTAGCCTGCTGAGAATTTTTACCAGTGCCTTTAACTCCTAGAAGTTGCACTTAGGGCACCAATTTCAAATTTGGGCAAAGATGGCAGTGCCTTGGTGAGGGGTTAGGGTTATACAAGGGGAGGAGCTGATTACACTTCTCCCAAATCATGGCCAGATAAATTCTCTTCAAACATTAAGGTCACAAGAGTAAAGGAAATGATCACCAACTAAAAAGGCTCTTGATTGTTCAAAAAATTATCCTTGTTAGCACCTTAAGAAATGTATACATTACAATAGTTTGGAGAATATGCATACTGCTGTTAAGGTGTACAGAAACAATCAATTCCACACTTCACTTGGTTGGAACACATAATTATTCATTTCTTAACAAGGGGATAGACTGGGGTACTTTTTACAATTTTGGTTGTAGGGGGTAGTGCTCATTTGAAGAGAAGAGTGAGTCGCAGCAAGAAAATGATTTTAGTATAAGCAGCACTTTTCAATCTTTGAACTTACTTGAAGATGTGGCCAGGCAGCTTCTAAGCTTGGTTCATCTTCTTCAGGATCAAACTCTGCTCCATTTGGATTTGATGGGGGTGGAAGAGTCCTGAATGTGTTGACAGCAAACTGCAAAAGCCGGTAAACATTCATTCATTAAATGGAATAAGAGAGATGGTAAGTTTTGAGCTTGGTAAAGAGATTGAGAAAGATGTTTTTCATCTAGTCATGAGCTCCCTTCAGTTTGCTTTCATGAAAGACATGAAAGATACATATCAACTTGTTTTTCAACAGCTGTGAAGGTTGAAATTAGAAGATCCTCGCAGCCAAGAACACTACTGAAACGAGTAGTTGTAAGTAGGACCTGAAAAAAAATTTCAGGCCCGTACGGGATTTGAACCCATGACCTCTGCAATACCGGTGCAGCGCTCTACCAATTGAGCTAACAAGCCAACTGGGAGCTGGTCAATGAATTGGGTACAAATAGAAATCCGAGTGAATGAAGATTTTAGATATATGAAAATTCACATATTTGCTGTGAAGGTGTTTACTGCACAAAAGTTAACTAGCACTGAATCTCTTTGAAACCTGGCCAGGAGCCTACATGTAATTGGATCTGCTATATAAATTCAAGGCTTTCTGGTAGACTTCCCACCACAATAATTGCAACAGCTAACCACAAGTTTCTTATCTGCTGTTTTCATGAGGTAACATTGAACTACTACAAAAATTATTCTCTAAAATTAACTCATTGAGCTAAAAAGAAAGCCACTAAAGACAAATTTAAAAAGGAATGAAAATTTAACTTTTTAACTCATTTTAAGTAGAAATTTTACCAAAAACCCACCACTTGATGAAAAAACCCAGTTTTTCCAGTGTACTTCCAGACACACCCATGTAAACTATTACATCAATCAATAAACATAAATTCTGCATCTTTACCATACGAGTTACTTCAGGATAAATTGGTTCTGTGATCACATTTTTGTTGTGAGTGATAAAATCAACAATCTCATTAAGTGCCCCTCTTTTGACTTCCTTGAATTTGAGGTCACTTAGCGGATCCATCACAAAGTCGAACAAAATGCAACACTGCTGAAGTTTTTGAACAAAGAGTTGTTCTCTTTCATTTGGTGCTGTATCTGCAAAAAAAAAAGAAAAGTCAATGAGTAAAACTAGTGCCAAATGCTACAAATTTCAATAGCATAAAATATTGACAATTAGCATAAAAATGCACAGGTAAATAACACTTTTTGTGCACACTGGTTTGGAAGTAATGCCAAAACTGCTTGTTAACAATTTCATTTCCAACCAATTTTTGGTATATTGACAGATGAACCAATTTTTTGGACCGATTAATTTTCAAGCGTACAATTTTCAGAATTTCAACAAAAAGCTATGCTTTCTGGCCATGAATTATAGTAAATAACTATTCAAGCATGGTAAATATGCTACATGTACTATTCATAGTTTTTCAGGAAGTAAGCAATTGTCTGGTAAACCGCACACACTTATAATAAAAATCTTTTTTTTTCCCCTGCATAAGTTGTGACTGTTATGTTGAAATAAAAATTGGTTTATACTTTTAGCAATCATTTATCAAGATATGAATGCACTTGGGAATTTTGGAGAGCACTCAGGAGCCTAGAGTTGCCCTTAGCTTTGCCTTGAGCAACTTATATACTTCTCTCGTGCTCTCTAAACTACCTGCATGCATCTGTATCCCACACAGTAGGCATGAACCAATTGTAAGTTACAAACTAAAACAATTTCAAGAGTCTATGAAAAATGGGAGAGACATAAGATAATCCTAATCTAACCAGTTAGAAATTAATTTCCTGTGCAAAGAAAAAAAATCATTCTTAAATGCCCTTTTCTCATAAGATCAAATAAATATATACCACACAGCTGAAAAGTGCTTTTAGCATACAATGATTGGCTGATTTGGAAGTGACTAGCAACTACAATTCACCTCAAAGCAGCTGAAGAGACAAAATCCTGCATCAAAAATTTAAATTTCAACCATTTCTTGTTATATACAGTGGTGAATTTTTACCTTGCTGCTTGATGGCTTAGTAAATATGCACCATTATTCACCACTACACGTTCCTAGAACTTAAGCTTTTCATGGAAATCAAAAATTTGTTTCCATTAACCATTTTCTAAACGTGGACAATAGTCTCCCTTTAAACACATTGAGTTGATTTGTTAAGAAGCTATTCACTGAGGAAGAGGCATACCAGAGAGTGGAAATATTACCAAACAACACCTTACTCGTTTCATTTCACAGGGGTACAAGGAACAAAACTGCTAACAACTATTTAACTTCCTAAAATACCAAAATTTGTAAGAATTAAACTAGTTACAGAAAATTCACACAATGTATAAGTTTCCTGAAACAAGAGTGCCAGAAAGAAATCACTTGTTTCTTTTCCCCAGGATTATATCAGTTGCAATTTAATGCTCAAATCACCAAACAGCAGATTTAAGATCTACTGTTAGTTAAAGTTAACCCTAGTAGAAGGAGTTTCCCTCTCCTCCAACAATGCCAGCCATATAACTCCATTACTCGACAAACACATTTCTTGGCAGGTGTTCAGACCATGTAAAATTGTCTGCTAACATAGCATGAACACATCACAAAAAATTTGACCTTATTAAATTACACTTTCAAGAAAAATCAATGGGTACATCTGCGCCAAAAAAAAAAAAGGTACAGATGGAGGTAAAATTTCCAAACAGCCCCCCCGCTTCATTATGCACAAACTTCTTGCATAAAGAAAACAATGGCGAAAGCAATCAATTGCGTTTAAGTTTCAGAACAGTATGGGGCTCTACGGAAATCTTACCATATTTGTCAACTACGTAAATTAGAGAGTAAGTAACACATTTGGCTTGAAGCAATATCTGTTTCTCTAGAAAGCCGGAAGATTTTACAAAGGAAACAAATCACGAGATTCGTATGGCTTTTTGATTTTAATATCTAACAAGATCAAATTGATTAATTGAAGTTCCTGCGGAGTTGGCTTGAAATATTTACTTTATCGACACATCAGCTAATCAGGTTCTGAAGTCAGAAGATACTCGCTGATATCGCAGTTCTAAACAAAACTTCGTCTAGCAGGCTTTTAATGAAATTCTCATTTGAATTATTGCTTCAAAACAAGAGTAACGGTAAAAAACATTTACCGTCACAAAAAGGATAAACTTGTAAACAAAGCAAAACCGATGATAATTCAGAGCAACTTGTCACAGACGTCCCTCGATGTGTACGTTCATGAATGTTGGTAAACGAGTAATTTAAAACAAAACTGTTGGACCACAACAGTGAAAAGGACAAACGTCAACAGCGGTGACTCAAATACCATTTTTGCTGTAGCACAGTACTTTTCGAATACCTACAGACATAATAAAAGCGCGAACTAGACAAGATATTCTCGAATAGCGTTGTCCGAACTTACCCTTCAGGGGAGGCAATTTCATTATCTCCCGATTGTCGCTCACGTTGAAAGACGAAGAACTCTGTCTCTTTTCCTTCCTCATAATCGATGGGCCATTTGCATATTGTCTAAGTTTCACTGCTTGACTGGGAGGATGAGTAGCGGCTTGAGACTTCGCTTTTGCCTACAGAGTTAAAGAAATATCGCACAAGAAAAAAAAAAAAAGCTTAAAATAAGCAAGACCCGTTGACACCCATCCCAGCTAACAATATCTTCATCTATAATACGACACATCAAAACAACAATGAATTTCTGGTGTGAAATGTTAGATTTTCACCTTACCTCATCGCTTAAACCGTCGCCGTTTTCTTTATTCGCTTGCTTCGCACTCCCCCCGGCCTTTGAAGCCTGCTATTTGACCAAGAGAAATAAAGTCAGTCCATAGAGCCAGAGATCTGTCATAATTGCTAAACCCGTCACGTCCATATCTTAGCTTCATACCGTTGAAATTTACCGACCACAGAGCTTCCAAAACATTACCTTCTCTTTCTTTCCTTTATTTGGCATTCTCTTGATCCATTTAGCTAGTGTACACGGTCAACATAGGTGAGATAAACAGAGATTTTGCACCAACGACGTCGAGAACCCGCGAGTATCAATATTATGCACCTCTCTTGCAGAGCAGTAGCAAACTGTTCAATAATTGGTTGATATTTTCTAAAGCATGCTATAAATCACGTGGTCTCTTCTTTGATGAAAGCGCGGGAACATTTTTGTTGATTGAATTTTTCCTATACTAAAAATAACTTCGGCGGTCTAAAAAAATCCTCTAAGAAGGTCTGAGTAAGATTTATGGTAAATCTCTTTAAGGAAAACTACACCAAAAGCACACAATTTACGAAGAAGTTAACGTTGTTCAGGAAGGATCTGAAAATTGGATGTGCAGCTTCTAGAGATGCCACTGAAGAAAATTCTTGAAGTATTTTAAAATTAGGTGCAAAGTTAGACAGCGAAGTAATAAATACCTTACACGAGCCGAATCGAATTCAATGGACTCATTCAGTCAGGCTTATCTCAGGGTGATTCAAAATCGTTTTGTTGATTTCAAACACCCATTCTTCGACAGATCCATATTTTCACATTGTTTCGTTTATTGCATTGGATACTGAATAGAAAAAGAAATCTTTGATTGTATGTCAACAAGTTGAGATAATTTTTTACCTACCAGTCTTAACTACAACATCATATCCTCTCTGTTCTAAATGTATGTGCGTATGACTCAAAGACGAGTTTGAAGACCTCCGCTTTTCATTCATCAAGATTCAAATTTCTCAAAGGTATTAAAATATTTACAAAGTTACTCTCAAGGACGATCAGTAATTTCCAGCCCATCCTTGCCCTACAAATAGCGCCGAAAGCGCCGCACATATCTTGGAAACTGACCTTAACCTAGGAAAGAAAAACAAGAGTAGTAAAGCTTGTATCTAAGGAAAACTGTTGGGAACTGATAAAGTTGCTTCATTCCAAGGGCAACAGGTTCATCAGTTGATGTTCTTTTCGTTGTCACGTAATTTCGTTGTCACGGAATTTTCAGATTAGGTTTGCTACAAATATTTGTTATTCAGAATGAAATAATCTGTGGGTGTTGTGCCTTCATCAAATAAATTTTTAATTTAGCCGCGTTTGCTAAGAAATAAATCAACCGAAAACGAAGTTCAATCTGTAGTTTGCAAGGTGTATTGGTACGCTTTTTTGTAATTTCTCAAATATATTAAGTGTTGAGTACAAATTCCGTAATATTTATTCTTCTAAGGATGGCTCAGCAGGTATATATTTTTAATCAAGGGGGGGGGGGGGAAGGGAGAAGATACATCCCTACTCGCGGAAGTTTACCCCTGGAATGTGTCGGCCAAAGGGGTCATGACTTTCGTACTATTGATGAAGAAAGGGGAGTATGTAATAGAGAGTTTCGTGAAACGGTCCATAGAGTTTCGAAAAGTACGAACGTAGACATTTGAGTAGAAATTTAAGATTACACAAAAACAGGATCCCATTTAATGAGCTCCTGACAAAAATAATTTCCCCGAGAAAATGCGATCGATGACAAATAAACTGTAGTACCCCAACTTTGATTTCAGTAGCATACTGAAAGGATTACTCATTATCGAAGTGCAAATAAATTCAAACGGAAAGCGATTGAGGTCCGTCTACATTGCCAAGCGCATTGTAGCCCCAGGCCTCTTGACGCGCAGTTTCCAGCCCGGTTTTAAAATCATTTTGCATGAACAGGTGTAAACACGCCTATCACAGCATTTTCTCCACCATCGTTCGCCTGATTGGTTAATATAACACAAACCCATGGTGAATCTCAATACCACAGAAGAGCAAATAAATCATAATTTGTCATCATTGTCTCAGGGTAAAACAACGCCCTTGGTCTTTTTGAAGTCTCGAATGTATAAAAAAGAAAAACAAAACAAAACAGCTGATAATTTCTTTATTTGCCAGGCGACAAGTCAGTCGAATTCTGCTCGAATCATTCGAGCGTTTGCTTGTGAAATATCGTTCGTTACTTGCAGGTAAGCTCCAAATAATTAATAGTAACAAAGTAGTATTCCAATTGAAGTTGTATGTACACGGCATCACATTGTTTGTTCACTTTTAACTTACAGAGTTTCACTCCAATAGCGAAAACACAATGTTATCTAAGCCCGAAGGAAACGTTCTAATGAAAAAGGCCATTCACGACTCCAATATTCCTAAATATGATGAAAAATGAATTTTATACAATCTATCGAACCGGTAATATAAACTGTTTCTGATCTATCGATAAAAGACAAATCTAAACGTTAGTTTCGAAAAGGCAGAGCGATTTCTTCGAAGAAAAACGCCTTTTTTTGCCAACACACACATATAGATGTATATCTAAAATGAGCTATGCGACTGAATCTACTCCATGGCGAGAAGCCCTATATTCAAAACATTTCACAGACAATGAAACTAATAATTAACCGGTCGGTGGTTTTCTGTGTGCGAATAGGCGCAGACTAAATATTTCAGCTTGAATTATACATTAACCTCTCGGGGCGAGAATATTCTAGTTAAGTTCAGATATTTAAATACTGGTACCATGGCATTATAAATTGCAAGATAATTCCTGTAGCTAATCATCGAATTTTGACCCGAGGGCTAACTTTTTCCTGTCGTTCGTGTGACAGGACACTGAAAAGTGAGAACGTCGGGTGTGTACGTGGGTTTTTTTTTCCTTTTTTTCATGGATCGATGGGCTAGAAATGTACTGAAAAGAGGTTTGTCTAGTCTTGCTCTAAATCCGCGCTATTTTGCGGTTCGTTGTTAATCTGCGGGTTTTCTATACCTTGTATAAATACGCCGACGAAATTCAGCCGGTGTGTCAAACATTCTAATTCGATTTCTTATTACTTTTCAAAGTGAAGTGCTCCTTTTCACAGAGAACTGGATCATTTCCTTGAAAACAACGAAGGTTTGATAATCCATTCTCAAATCAAGTAAAAATTCCTTTCACTTATTTTGGCTGCCAAGATTATTCATCAAAGATAAATCCGGATGGAATTAACTTTCTGGAGATTGCAGAATTTGATAAAAACGGCTCAGCACGATCTTCTTTTATGCCAATGACGTTGAAAATCCGAAAAAGCACCTGACAACCAGCCCGCTCAGTGCGCGCCCTGAGCAAACCGAAGCAAAATATTTTTGCCTACACCAGCCTTTTTGTTTTGTTCTCAGCTGTCTGCACCATTTTTCTGTTTGTGTTTAAAAACGCATATCTTTTGAACTTTTCGTCTTTGCTTAAACTTTCGTTCCGACTGAGGAATTCTGAGCGTCCGGGTGAGTGCAGCCCTGACAAGGACTGTTGTCGATAGTGGTGACTGCTGTTGTCGATAGCGGTGACTGCTGTTGTCGATAGTGGTGACTGACGTTTCGACAACCTGAACGGAAGTCATCATCAGAGTCCAGAGGTGCTATACAAATTTCTACAGAAACTGTTGTGCTCCGTTGGTGGAGGAGTATAACATGATAACTTGGTTTTATCAACTAGGTTGATAGTGTAAACTGGCCACCGTCAGAGCGAATGACGAAACTAAGGGCCTGTTTACGTGGAGGTAGGAGACTCCAGGTAGGTGAGGTAACCCGCCTAAACGTGGTCAAAAAATAGAACGCGTTACATACAATCTTACAACCCCAGGGTGCTGGGGTGAGGTTTCTTGAGGTTGTTGTTGCGCTTAGAATTAGGGAGTTTGAGCACAGGCGTCCCAAGCTCACGCCTCGAGAAAGACGAAAGATTAATTCTCGGACGCTTATGTATTTATTCAAGAAAGAGTCCCGCGTTGTGTTACGCGGTGTTAGGTTACGCGAGGAACCGTTAACCTAATACGTTATAAAGAATAGTTTGAAATATGGTCGATTTACAACGCTAAATATTCAGAAATATGACCATTTCACACTCCTTGTGTGTCCGTCGCGGTTTCTAGGGATTTCTGCCATGAGACGGCTAGGAAATGTACAAAGTTTTAAAACATACGTGTTTCTCTTTTGAGCTTTTTGCCATGAAAGCGACCCCGGCTAGGCGTACCTGGATTAAATGAGAAAAACGATGGCGAAATACGAGTGTGTTAAAACTTTGTACATTTCCTCGCTGTCCCATGCAGAACTTAAACGTTAAAACACCAATTTTCACGTCCTCTTGGCAATGAAACCTCGACAGCAATTCAGTCTCAACACTACATTCGATTCACATGTTGTGCCGAAGTGAAGACGTAGTACCATCAGAAACGGTCAACACCTATATGTTATTCACCCTCTGTCTACGGCCTCGGGCACAGTTTTTCCCAATACGGAACGACCTTGGCTGGTGAATAACATTTTTATCTTTTTCTAAAGCATAACAAATGGTTGCGAAAAGAACCTGAATGATAAAGGGCTGTAATTACGGCAAGATTCTCCATAAACGGAACAATTTATGAGCGAGTAGATGACAGAGAAAACAAGGGCAATGCAAATGAAAGAGAGGGGTTTCATCAAAACATATTTATTTCCGTAATGATATTAAAAGGCGATTTAAAAGGTTTCCAAGAAAACTTCGAAACATAGGATCGGATGCCGCCCGCTGTGAGCGGGCCGGATGGAGAGAATACTGCCCGCTCACGGAACCAATCAGATTGCAGGATTTGTAGAATATCGCCCGCTCACGATCACGAACTGAGAAAAAATAAATCGAGCCACTGGCGAAAATCTTAGAAGAAAATAAATTACGTTTTTACGGCAACGTTTTACCACACGTCGCCGTCGTGACATCTTAAACTCCTTAACTACAAGTGCGATAACAACCTCAAGAGACTTCACCCCGGCATCCTGGGACTGTAAGATTGTATGTTTTTCGACCACGGCTAGGCGGGTCACCTCACCTACCTGAGGTCCCCCACATCCATGTAAACAGGCTCTAAAGCTCGAAACGTCAGCTTTGAAACTCTTTACGGTGGCCAATTTAAATTATCAACTCAGCTGATAAAACCAAATTATCCGATTGCCAGAACAGTTGCGATCGGTTTTTGTGGAATAAGGAGAGAGAAACGTCATTATTTATCACCTGACGGGGAGGGGTGGGGGGAATTTGGTTGTGTCACGATGACATGGTGAAGACTGATACCCCCGAAGTTCCCACTGTTCACCGTTTGGTTCCACAAAATCCTCCATCCCTCTCTCAGCGGTAAATAACGACTAATCCAAGGAGCCCATTACTTATGGGCTTCTGCCAATCCCTACTGATCTCTTATTTTCTGAATAATTTGTAGAGTATAAATAATCCAATTAGGACCATAAGGATTGAGTAGCGAAAAAAAACTTGCTATCGGTTACACGTTTTCTAACTAAATTATATCTAGGCAAGCGAAAAGATGAGGGGCGGACTAAAACCCATTTCATCTTAAACCAAACAGTAAAATGGCAAGATTTTGTTTAGTTAGCTGCTGATGCTTTAAAAGATTCATCATTCCTGTGGCTTCTTCAGAGTGAATTTCATTACCGTTCTATATCAAAATTACTGTCGAGCGTTTCTGTATCCAGGAGAAGTTTCTTGTTATGCAAAATCAGTCCAAACAGAGGGCTGGCCTTTTTAAATTGATTCCCGTGCGCAAGTCTTTTGCGGGACCACAGCCTCTTCCAAGCGAGAAGGTAATTAGAGCGAGAAACTTAACCATGAGGAAGTCTTTCAATATAATATTTGGGTAACAACAAAATATTCCTTAGGAAGCTTCATTTTATTCTTGCAATCAGGTTTGCAAAGACTATTAATTTTATCAGAGGTGATTAAGCCCCTTCCCGATCAAAAAGTGATAAATAAGCTTAAGTGTAGGGTACCACCGTGCGATTTCAGACAGTTGTCGCGTTTTTCCATCAAAAGGACGCTGGGTTGCCTACGAAATTCTCGCATCCATTTACGTGCTTCCAGACCCGGGAAGGGACTACCGTCTAAAATAGACCGTAACTCGTGGTGTTCATGTTACATTACCTTCTGAGCTTGTTCTCGGTCTGTTCTCGTTTCTGTCGCAGAATGAAATAAGAAGCGATTTTACTCCTCTCGAATGCGATACTGATGCCTCAGAGGTAAATCTCTGCCTTTCTTGTCCGGGAGGAGTAGTGAAACGTACTGCCAAGTGCTTTCTGCGACAGAAATGAGAGCAAGCTCTCAGGAGGTGAGATCAGTCATCGCCGACAGAGTATACAGGTGGGTCTATTGAAAATTGACTGCCAATCAACTTCTAACGACGGGGGAATCATAAGAATGTTCAAGAGCCTTATGGGAGGGGGGGGGGGAAACAGGTAAATGATATTGTGACACAAACAAAATCTTCCGACCCACCCCCACCCCCACCCCCCCCTCCCCCAAGTGATCAATATAATAATGACCGGTCCCAAAATCGACTGAAGAGTTTTTGGTCAGTCTAATGAAATAAGTCCGGTTCATAAAAACAAAATTGTATTTTTTTGCTAGTACAGTTTCAATTTGAGGGCCTAGGTTCTTTTCCCCAAAAAATAGTAATTGGGAGTTTCGTCGGTTCGAACCTTACCAGACCGTGCTATGATCACGTGAACTACCACGAGACGATTTGGATGTTCCACCAACTGGAAGTTGGCCCTTGACCTTTAGATGGCGCTTTCCATTCAAAGAGAAAATAAACCCAAGGTCTTGTAGAACGAGTCCACGTGCTATTACCGTAGTGATTTAATTCCCATGCCTTAGAGCGAGAGACTCTTCATTATATGTCAATTTGGCTAAGGAAGGCTAGGGACTTTTTGATCTAGGCACATGAAGAGCAAACTGAAATCCTCTTGAGTGCGTACGAAAGCTACTCTTCTAGACCAGGCCTGCTTCAAGAAATTCCGAACCACCGATCGTACTTTGACCCTCGAGCGGACAGGTCCAAATGTCCAGTATTAACTTAAATTTCAATATTGATCAGTCAATTCATTTACAAACCAAAGAACGTGCACAGACGGAATCAGCAGACCGGTTGTTCGTAGGGTAGATAACGGTATCCACTGAATAAATCTCTATCCGTTGGATAATAAAATACGTTTTTTTGACACTTATCCGCTGGATAGCGATTTATCCAGTGGATAGCGCTATCTGCCCTTTAAGGAATTAATGCGAGATACCCAAGTGCGCCGAATCTTTCATAACACTGGCGCCGAGTTTCGGTCAATTGCGAAGGTGCCTAAGGGCACATCTACCTCGAAGAATTTTCACAAATTGATATTAGAAATTCGAACAGTAATGCATTGTTCCACATTGTCGCTTAATTAATTCAAAATTGAAACTTTCATCTTAACAGCTTGTGATTAGGTAAACGATGCATTTTATTTTCAACTTATGAAAAAAAATATATATTTTCACAAACTTGACAAGCATCGGCGCATGGTCTAATCTGAACTTAAAAGGAATCATAAAATTCTTATCAAATCAATCCTAAATATTTTTGAGCGACACTCTACTGTGGACATTATGCAACCATATTGCTTCATCAGTTTTAACTAAATTTGTTTCCATCCCACAGGAATCGCTCCTGATGAGCTCGCGGGAGTTACCGTCAAAAGGCGCTTCGTTTTAGCATGTTTCAAGGAATATTTTTCTTTTTTAAAAAAAGCATCGTTAATTGATTATGTAAACTCTCTCGTTTGAGACAATTAAGCTCGTGCAAAACGGATGTCAGTTACGCAAATGGCTTTCCACCACAGAGCTATTTTTACGACTACGGCTTCTAATTGGTCAAAATCAACGCGCCATTGTTTTCAGCCAATCAGAATGCATCTGGTGATATAAAGCCTTCTGTGTATCCACAATTGTCTCTTTCTATCGTTATCGCGTAAACGCTTACCGGTAGAAGGGCTCCATGAGGCTTAGAAAAAGCCGGCAAATTATTCAAATCTAAGACGAAATTTCCGTCTTCTTTTCTCAGAATGAAGGAGATAAAATACTACAGTCTAGAAGAGGTGAAAAAACATAACAGTAAGGGCGATTACTGGGTTGTCATCGATGGTGGAGTTTACGATTTGGGTCGTTGGGCTCCGCATCACCCCGGCGGAGAGCTTCCGATACGCTATATGGCCGGTCACGATAGTACAGACGTTTTCCGAGCCTTCCACTTGCCTTGGGTAGCTGAAAGGAAATTGCCCGCGTTCAAAATCGGTGAAGTGAAAGACCAATGTGAACAGACAGTGAAGGAGTCCAGTCTGATCAAAGACTTTCAAAAAGTACGGGATGAAATTGAGCAATGTCTTGACACAAACTGTAAGTTGATCTTTTGTCACAGCGTAGCTGTAGAGTAGAGTAGTTTGTGTTTCTTATGACTGTAGTTGACTTTACCTGGTCGATAATGTTTAAATATTCAGGATTTTACGCTTTGAACGTGTGAAAATACATGCTCAGGACCGTCTCGATGCATGGAAAATCCTCTGATTTAAATTTATTTGTATTAAAATCTAAAACCCCGCTTCTCTGATTCAGTGAAACCTCGTTGTTGAAATTGAGTAATTTTATAGTCTCAAAAGCAATTCACGTTGGAGTCTCTAATGTTTTTAATAATTTTTCTATTGCATTTACTTGTGGCGTGCTTGGTTTGCTTCAGTTTATTTACAAATTCATTAGAATGGCTTCCTTAGCTTGGCAGCGTGACTTAAGGTTATGTCATCATGAAACCCATTTGTAGGCGAATTTGAGTCTTTTCGGGGAGTGGTTTTGCTTCCATTTACTGTTTGACTCATCAGTACACTTAATCATGGGAGCAATGCTCGAGCTTGATAACAATTTTAGTATTTACCCCCGTCGGATCTAAAGACTCGTGACGAAGTATGGCCCTGAAATGAAAAAAAAATTGCGAACAGCAGAATCTCTATTTCCATCTTCCTTGTGTACTATCAGAGATTTCATGTCTCGAAAGACCCTTATTTGGAAACAAAAATCGATAACGGGAGCGGTTATCGGCAATTTCTTCTCGAGACGTAAATCCTTAACCACAAATTTCTCAACCAGCGCCAAATGTGTATTATCATATATCACAGTGTACCTACAACTTTTTTTAATGATCGTGCAGAAAACATGTAAGAGGATTCTCAAATCATGCATGCACGATAAACAGAATCTTGCTTTTTAGCTCATACTTCCTCGATTCCGTGGAAATTGTACTAGTTCTTACAATTGTCATGCACGAGGCACCACATTATTCTATTCCTTATTTGAATACAATCGGAAAGTGAAATTTGTGCTATATGCATAACAAAGAAGTTGCTCGTCAATTTCGCTTCCGTTTTGTCATGTCTCCGGAGTCATAATTGGTTTGAAAGATGTTTTCTTTTACGGAATATCTCTTTAATATCACAGTGGGTATTTGTAAATGAAATATGAAAGGATCATGTGAAACAAGAAGATATATATTTCCACATTGTTCTAATTTCAAAATATTTTTTTCCCTTGAAACTGAAATGTTTCATTTGTTTCCTGAATTTTTTTGAGATATTTAACACCAGCTTGACCTGACAAGATGTTATAAAAGGTGTAATGTTATTGTTGTCAGAATAACTGTCACTTACCCTTGAGAAATGAAAAAAAAATGTTTAAAGTCATGGAATATTTAAAATTTTGACAGAGAAATTATAAGGAAGGCAAAATGAAAAAATTCTTGTAATTTATTCATGGAGATATGATTAAGATGATTGTGAGCTAACAGGAAAAATTGGTGTGCAAATTATTTGATGAACACTTGAAGCGTAACCCAGTTGTCAATGTGGTCACAGATGTCGTGGGCAACTCGGACAACTTGTTAAGATGAAACTGAAAACCCAAATTCTTTGCAGGCCATATTGTGTACTTTTTAGCTGTGAGTAATGTTATGAAGCCAAACAAGACTTATCAGTGAAATGAATAATTGTGTTTTCAATTAATCTGCATACTTAATCAATAATATCCAAGAATGAAAGGAGAGAGGAGTAACGATGTAAATATCTGGTATAGGTAAACGCGCCCTCTTAAAAAACCTGAATAACTATTAGGTTTATGATCAGGACACCTGATGGTTGTTCCCAATAGGTAATGATCTACAGTGATTTTGGTTTTAATTAAACAGCAAGCCCGTATTTTTATTTCTCAGCTTTTGTGGAACTCTCTTATGCTGATGTTGTGGTCAATTGACTCAAAAATTCGTTGATATCACCCTTGAATATATTGTGCATCGTGTGGGGTATTTCTTGGTGGTATTTTAGTTCCCTTTAGTTCAATTAAGTTAAGAAATGAGTTCTGAAATACTATGCACTCTTAGTGCTTTCCCTAAACCTTGATCTTCAGCCAAATTTCGAATTACCAGTATAGTATAGAAGTTGAGGTACACATTTTCAGAGATGATATGTAACAGTGAGGGGTCAGCTTGCTAGATTCCTAAATAATTGAGCACTTCAAGCAAAAAAGGAGATATGAAGAACTTTGGACAAATTTTAATTTTAACAGGACTGAGCAAATTCTCAGCATACTGATATGGTTTGATTAAGAAAATATTTTTCTGCCATTTTTTGTTGATTCAGTCCTAGTTTCTGGGAAATATGATGTGTAGAAAACACTGCTTAACGAGCATGTGGGAATCCGTTTTGCTTGGGTCTTTGAATACATTAATACTTGGAAACTAAGGATGGATGAGCCCAAAAAAAAAAAAAGAATGGAGTGATGTTTCCCATCCTATGTGGGATCAGATTGGCAGAAATTAGCACAATCTTGTGAAAACAAGAAATAGGCACCCTAAAAGCAAGATGTTTCCTTTTTTTTTTTAATAGAGGACCTTCCCACAAAACATCTCTCTTTTTGGTCATCAAAATTCTGGTTTATATTGGGATAAGAGAATCAAACCACTGCTTGTAACCAATCGGTGTAACTATTTGCTAACTCTGCTATATTTAGTTTGTTGTCATCACTTGACAGTGTTGGTTATTTTGTCTTTTTACTTTAGATTGGTTCTATGCTGGGCATGCAGTCAACTTGGGTGCTATATTTACTTTGCTTGTGTATGGTGTTGTCTTCAGCAACAATGTTTACATACAAATGGCCTCTTCTGTGCTTGTGGCGCTGTTTTGGCACCAAATGGCATTTATTGGACATGACATTGGTCATACTGCCATCACTCATGACTTGAAGACGGATAGCTCGATCGGCATATTTGTTGGCAACATGACAACTGGTATCAGCATCGGATGGTGGAAGAAAAGCCATAATGCTCATCACATTGTGACAAACTCAGTGGAGTTTGACCCAGACATACAACATCTTCCAGTGCTAGCCATTACTGACAAGTTTTTCAAGTCAGTAAGGTCCATGTATCATGAGAAAGTCCTTTATTTTGATGGACTGGCAAGGTTCTTTGTTTCCTATCAGCACTGGCTGTATTACATAATAATGGGTGTTGCAAGGTACAACTTGTACCTACAGAGCTTTCTTTTAGTGTTTTCCTTACCGAAAGGACGTAATAAAACCCTTGAATTACTTGGATTGGTATTCTTTTGGACATGGTACATTTACTTGTGCTCATATCTGCCCAGTTGGCCTGCTCTGTTTGTCTTTGTTTCTGTGGCCCACTTCCTTGCAGGGCTCCTTCATATTCAGATAACTCTGAGCCACTTCTCTATGGAAACTTATCATGGTCATCCCCTGGACGCTTTCAAGAGCAATCAGTTCCTTCTTTCCCAGCTGGCAACTACTATGGACATTGAATGTTATCCTTGGCTGGACTTTGTCCATGGTGGCCTGCAGTTTCAAATTGAGCATCATCTATTTCCAAGGCTACCTCGTCACAAGCTGCGTGATGCCAAGGTGAAAATTCAGGAGTTATGTAAAAAGCATAACATCCCCTACAGATCTAAGACTTTCTGGGAGGCAAATATAGAAATCATCCAGAAACTCAAGGAGACAGCTGCAAAAGCACAGTGTATCTCTCCCATCATCTGGGAAGGAATTCATGCAATTGGTTAGACCTTAAATCCATTATGTGAGGTGTTATTTGATGATAAAGAGAATAGCTCGGTGGAATAAAATCCACTATTGTAGTTGAAGGTATTCAGTTTGCTTCTTGCTGTATTTAATTATTTTGATGAAAGGGTACAGCTATGTATGTTTTTTCTTATCCTGTTTTTACAACATTATTGTTCAAGTTTCTATGAAGTCAGTTGTATCAGCAAGTCAGTTATCTGATATTTATGCCTAGTTTGAAAAATTCCAAAGTGAAATGTTAGACTGTGGACTGAGAATTTGGGAATTTATAAATACACTTGTCAGTCCCTCTCAGTTGTCCTTGTGAAATCTCTGCAGTGATTAGAGGTGTCTTTTTTTTGGTGGGGGGAGGGGGGGTGTCAATTATCTCATTTCACAGAGGGAGGGACTGAAACAAAATTGTAGCTTTTAGGGATGAGGTCAAGGGGGTGGGGATGGGTTATACCCAGATTTAGGGAGTGGTAGAGAGTTAAAAGATTGCCAACATAAATTGTAGAAGATAGAAGGCAATGTTAACTATATAAACATGTGTGTCAGGGTTAGTGGGTTGGTGGGTTGGTTAGATTTGTTTATAATGGATGTGCAACTTACTATTCAGCAAATTTTGTTGCAGAAAGTCTCAAACTTTCAGAGTAACCCCTGGAGAGTAAGGTCTTAAGACAATGCAACACTTAGAACTACTGTCCACAGTAGTGCTATTCCAGTTTCTTATATTTTTCTATTCAATATTGTGATATTAAGTTAACAGGATGGTTAAGGGGTTACTATGATTTTAGAGATAAGACTAAATCTACAAAAGATACCTAGATTGTTGTTTTGCAGATCATTTGTTCATAAATTGTGATTCACAGATACTGACCCCTTCCTGTTCTCTGTAAGACTTTTATGAAGAGTTTAAGGTCTCATTACAAGATTGAGTTTGAATCTAGAATGTAATTTTTAGAGAGTAATTGAATAGCTCTGAAAACCTGTCATGATAAAAGTTGTGATTGGAAGCAAATTCTTCTGGAGATGATCATCAAGAAGTCAGTAACAAAAAAACAAAGAAACAAAATTAGGGTTCTTGTCACCAGTTTTTAGGAGCTCAAAACTGTAAGTTATGTGTCCAACAGAGTGCAGCTCAGTTAATTCATTTCAATGGAGTTGCTAACATTGCAAATGTTTGGACTTGAGTCAAGAAAACTGGATTAAGTACATGAAGATGAGGCCCTCACCCTCTATAATCACAAAACCTCTCCTTTTCCAATCCCTTTTACTCTCAAGATTCAAATAGCTTTTTTCGCAGTGTCTGCTGTACATTTGTTATGATTATAGCCCAATTTGATACTTGATCAAATACGATACGACCTTAATTTTTTCTGTTTCTATACAACACCTTTAAACCTTAAAATACATTCATTTAGTTTGAGTCAAAAAAAGGGCAAGAAAAGCTACGAAGGTTTCTTTTGACAGTGTAGAGGATGACTTTTTACCATCTCTTGCCATAAAAGAATAAGAAGAGGCAATGTGTTTTCAGGCTAAGGCCTGTTAGGTCAGTACTGAAATGTTAAAAAAGAAAAAGGAAAGTTAAAAAAGTTCACTTTTGCAGTTTCACAGTTTTTGTCTTACTGTATTTTTTTGAATCAAAACTCTAATCAAGATGTATCTTGTTTCATACAATTCATCCAAGGAAGTTTACTGGAAATTATCATGTTCTACATATTTTAAACCAGTTTTCTTGGCTTGAGTGTCAATTTTTTCTGGGCCATGTTGTCAAAGTTAATATTTTGGACTGTTGCTGATAATATTTAATTGTTGGTTGACTGAGCAAAATATATTTAAAATATTTAGACAAATTTATTGTTTAAGATACTGAGACAAATTTATTCAAATTATATAAAATAAATTATATATTTGAAAAGACATACTAAATTACAATTTTGACTTATGTTTCAAGGTACCTTACTGGTTTTTAGGGATGAAGACAAAACTGCCAGTTATTAAGTTATGTCTTATGTCTGTTTGGCGATACTTAGTTTATAGCAAAGTATTTGTTGTTTTGGGCTGTATGAATCCATAGCAAATTTTGGTTGAGATTTTCAGTGGCATACAGTATTTATAAAACTATGAAAGCAACTTTTCATAGCTGTAGATTATTAGATATACTGGCAGTTTATTAAATGTTCTTGTTTCTTGCTGACTGTTGTTGTTTTATTTGTCACACCCTGTTTAGCAGACCAACTTCTTCTCTAGCTCTGAATGTGGCAGTTACATACAAAATGTAACTTGGATGTACTTGGACCCATTTGTGTATTTGAGGGCTTACAATATCCCTCACAAGTGTGCTTTGGCTAGTAATGTGAGAGAGATTTTTAATTTGAGAGGATAAATTCATATCCACAGGCAAACACAATTGTAAAGTATATTTTACAACACATTTTATGGACACCAAATGCAGAGATCACCTGCAAGTGAATTCAGCTCACAGAAAACCATCTTCAAGGTGTGATAAAAAATTTAAATTGAATACACATATAAAGAAATCTTTCTTTTTTTCAAAGAAATTCTAGTTCAACCTTGTTGTTTGAAAATTTAACAGAAACCCCTTATGAAAAACTAAACTACTTTGTAGATCAAAGGGGGCAAGTTTCTAAACAAACTGTGATGCTGCATCAGTGTAGGAATGTGACAAGATAATTTTGGTTTTATCAACTGAGTTGATAATGTTAATTGGCCATGGTAAAAAGTTTCAAAGCTGGCATTTTGAGTGTTAGTCCTTCATCAAAGCAGAGAGGAATTGTGGGTTGAGTGTGTTTACATGCAGAAAATAGAGCTTCACTATTTTGGAGGAACACAGTGACAAGAAAAACAAGAATTAATTGATTTGATTAATAAGTTTTGTTAAAGAGTTTTCCAGCTTTCTGAACTTCCTAGATGTGAGGAAAGGCCTCCGATTGCCTTGTGCTGCATAGAATGATTAGGCAATTTAAGTGTCTGTCAACTGATTGGGATGCATTGGATGCACTATGTTGATCATTGAAGTTATCATAATATTTTTGATATCTTCACATGTGAAGATATTAGGCACCTGTCAATGCATCCAGGTGGAAATGGTGGACAAGAAGAGCCACCTGGTAGAACATCTACAGTTCAATTCCTATATTCCTATCCCCATTATGCTTTCAAAACAGGAGAAATTCTGCTGTTGGCCTCTTGGAGCCCCTACCCTGTTATCGTCTATTCTGTGGCCAAATAGACTCCTCTTAGTTTTGGGTTAGTGTAACTTTTGCAATCCCAACTTAATCACTGTCTATTTATGCATCTACCTTATAAAGCCTTTTAAGTAGGTCATCCTAAAATGAATTGACACATTTGTTTATTGAATGACTTGATTGTAGAATGATTTATTTTCCACCTGCAGCACAAACATCGTGGTACATAGGTCTCTTCCCATTTTAAAATCCCTTCTTATCAGAATTTTCTTACCTCCAAAATCCCAAAAATGTGCCCCCTTCCCCTTCCCATTAACCTAACTATTGAAAATACAACCCCATTACAGTCAATCCAGCCATGACCATCGACCCCCATCCAGTGGCACTTAAGCCGATTACTAGAAAGTACCCCCTTCCCCCTTACCCCAACACCCTCTTATTGTTCCACAAAAGTATTTTGTGTCTTCTGTGTTGTAGAAATATGTTCTTCTAAATTTTCATTGGTTTATTTCTTTAAAGTTAGGCTTAGGGTAAAGCTGGCCATTCTGATAAAATCATGCATGAAGCCCTGCAAGTAATATGGCAACAAGTCCACAACTTTGAGTCATTGTACTCTAAAAATTGCACTTGCACTATAACCCAAACTTCATGATGTTTATTCAAGTGCTAAAATAACAGCTGTAGTCTAATTTTACGAGACTATCAAAGCTTTTAAACTCTGATAGGGAAAATGGAACAGAAAATGCAACATCACTTGAAGATGATGTCTTGGTCACATAAGCGTTTTACTAAACATGCTCTCATTCTGATTGCAACACTAAAAGTGCTAAATTTATGAACACCATTATCTTAAACAAAATGAATCTACCGATAAATTTCATTTAGTAACTTGGAAATACCATGGTTACATCAAAATATTGTACCTAACTTCCACACATTATAATACAGTACTACAATGGAAGTGCTAATCATGTAGTTATGCTTAATTTATTCAGCTTATTTTTCAAAAACAACATTTTCTTTCTCACAAACATCACTTTCCTCCAAGAGAGGCAAAACTAGTAATCCATCCACTGTTGATTGATATTTTTCACCATAAATAGAGAAAACAAATGTACTTATCACAAGGAAATTCCCAAAACCTGATTAAATATTTTTTGGTATTAAATTTCTGATCTATAATACTATAAAAGGTCTGTCAGGTTGAAGATAAATAAATTTGTAAAGCTGATAAACAATCAGAAAATATTGTAGTGCAAGTTGGCAACAGGGTTGGTTGTCTAAATCATGATAATAGCCTGCATAGACAGAGGTCATCTTTCCAAACTGGGGAAGTATAAGGCGAAGGAAGGCATGGGGAAGAAAAGGAATGTGTAGGGGCAGAGAGGCATTCAGTTTTATCCTACAGTAAGAGGATATCCAACCAAATAGTCCCATAACATACACTTAGTTTACAGAAGAGGAATCAAACCAAATTTAACTATCACTGTGGTTTTCCTTTAGAGCTATACTGAACTGCTCAGCACAACTTATAAAATTGACCATAAATTATAACTAAAGCAGATCCTATCAATGTAAAGCAAATTAAACCATATTTTCATGAAGCTTAATGTTATCACAATGAATTAAGTGCTGCATGCACTAAGATTTTCTGTCAAATTTTCTGTCGGCTGTCTGCCTCCAACAGAAATATCATTACCCTGGTCCACAAGCTCATTGTTCCCCTGCAAATTCCCTGTTAAGTTCTGTTTTATCTGTGCACTGACATCCCCATTGAGTGCAGATATCATGTCTTCTACAACGCCAGTTGTAGCATCACCCTTAAAATGTAAGTTCTTGACATGACGCCTCAAGTGGCTTGGGTTGTTAAAAGCTTTAGGACAAAAGCTACATTTGTAAGGCCTTTCACCTGTGTGGATAAGAACATGCCTCTGAAGGTTTCCTGAAATAGAAAAAGCTTTAGAACAATATTGACAGCGGTAAGGCTGCTCTCCAGTGTGGACACGAAGATGCTTCCGCAGAGAGCTGTATTCTGCAAATGACTGATTACAACTTGTGCACTTATAAGGTCTTTCCCCAGTGTGAACACGCACATGTTTTTGTAGAGAGCCTGGATCACGAAAAGCTTTAGGACAGAAAGTACACTTGTGTGGTCGCTTCCTCATGTGAAGAGCAATGTGATCGTCAAGTGTTTTGGCTTCCTTAAAAGGCTGAAAACAGATTGTACAAGTATAATGCTGTCCATCATCTGTATGGAATTCTAAATGTTTCTGAAGTCCAAGGGAACTTCGAAACAACTGAGCGCAGACTTCGCACTTATAAGTAGACTTGTCATTTGCCATGTCACCTCTCAGAAGGTCATCAACTGTTGGAATTGCATTTTCATCGTCAGAAAAAAACCCCTGTTGATTATCTACTGGCTTTGGGGTCAGTTCAGTGAGATCAACTGATTTCTTTTCACTTACTTCAGTCACTATATTTGAATTGGTTCTGGTTTCACTCTTGACATAAGCAATAACGCTTGAATGAGTGCTTTGAACTTCATTGGTTTGATGTGAATTTGTCAGATAAACCACAGCACTTGAAGTTCCAAGATTATTTTCCTTGATGTTACACTCTTGTTTTGAACTTTCAGTTACTGATATATCACTGGCTAGATAATGATTACTACAAATACTCTGTGATTCCAAGTTGTCTTGTGGCTGAGACTGGAATGTTTTCACAGGAATGCTTTCTGATGCATCCTTTATCACTGAAAAACTTCTGGGAGGAGTATCTCTGACAATAGTTTCACTGTTGGGGAGTACAGTCTTTGCAGATTCTACATTCTCATGATGAAAGGTTGCAGATGCTACAGTCTTTGATATAGGACTCTCAAAAGAAGTAGAACTCTCAGGCAAGGCGTCTCCACGAACATCTACACTTTCAGTCGAGTTAGGAACTTCCTCATTGACAACAGAGGTACTGAAAGAAGTAGAATCAGGTCCTTTTTCTGGAGGTTTCTCTGATGCCTGCTTTGTGCCACTTATCACAGGTACATGCATGAAGTCGATGAGGATCTGAGCAACATCCATTTCTGTAGATTTGCTGTCACCAATATCATGTGAAGAACTAACTTTTCCAGCTGATGATGAGTCATTAGATGTAACAAAGACTTCCTGAGAGCCTTTTTTCAGCAATTCTTCTTGCATGGCTGAACAATCAGGTTGTGATGACTCCTCATTGATATCCATGCTTTCTGACCCATTATCAATGTCTAAATCCTTACTCTGAGTTTCCAAACTAGACTGACTTTGGTCATCTACACTTGGTTTTTTGGGGAATTCACCAGTTGGTACAGTTAAATAAGGGAAGTACGATCCAAAAGGAACAAATCCACTGAATGGAAACATTAGTGGGGAGTTTGAAAACTGCGGGAGAAACGCACCTCCCTGCTGCTGTTTGTTATATTCTGCTAACATTTGATTCATGTGACTTCCATTACTTGCAAAGTCCAACACAGAGGGTCCAGAAGATCCAACGAAGGCTTCAACTCCATGGGGTTGTGCTGTTTTAGTATTTGGCTCTTTTCCACTGCCTGTTGATTTACTCATGGTGTGCAACACTCCTGAGCTTAGTGCGTCCATGTACTGCTGCATAAAGGTACTATTTGGTGGCCAGAGGGGCGGCATCATTCTCATCGGCATTACTTGGGGAGTGAATACAGGAAATGGCATTGGAAAAGCAAAGCCAAACATGCCTGCATTCATTGCATTCACATTTAAAGGGGGGAGTCCAGGCTTCTCTTTTTTCTCTTCCATTCTTTTTTCCTACATAATAAATGAAAAATGAAGATATTTCAACTTCAAGGAATGTTAGAATTTAAATACAAATGTGTAAAGAATTGATAAAACCCTTCTCTGACAAAGGAGGTGCAGTGGTCTCATGGTTAGTGTGCTCGATCTGGATCGGGTGGTCCGGGTTCGAGCCCTGGCTGGGGTCATTGTGTTGTGTTCTTAGGCAAGACACTTTACTCTCACAGTGCTTCTCTTCACCCAGGTGTACAAATGGTTACCAGCAAATGTGCTGGGGGGTAACCCTGCGACAGACTAGCATCCCATCTAGGGGGGAGTAGCAATACTCCTAGCCACTTCATGCTTAGAAAACTGGAGTTAAGCACTGGCCCCATGGGCCACTTGGGCCTGTATAAAGGCTTTACTATCTCTGACAAAAAGTCGTTTTAAGGAAAATATTTGATGAGGCATAAGAGAATACACCCCCAAAACTGTGTACAAAAAATTGATGGCACATGTTCTTGAAGAACTGACAGTCTGAACTTGAAGTTGGTTTCAGTGACTGAAGTTCTGACTCAAGAACCCTGTCTTATAGTGCGACTATATAGAAAAACGTTTTCCTTCTTCTCACTTGATTGTGATGTCATTGTGGCAAAAGTATTCCATGCCTAATATTGCCCCTCTGTTTCAAAGAAAAAACCGTCCAAATCTTTTTTAAAATGAATTTTTTTGGCATTAAATGTCTGCCCTTTCTAGATTAGGTTCTAGAGGTGTTATACTGATAGAGCTGGATCACGTGGGAAAGTAATTATATTTTTTTCTGACAATAACTTTCAGTCCATGAACCAAGCCAATTTTTTGTGCACTATTTCTGGATAAGAGCATTTTTAAGTGTGTTTTTTTAAATAAATGATGAAAAGACGATGATGGAAGGTTTATAGCCATTTCATTCCAGCCTAAATGGAACAGATAGAGAACAGTGCAGATTAAAATAATTAACGAACTTAACACTTTTTGTATTACAGCATTAACGAGGCAGCTGGTGTGTCATATGGAAATTCTGTGGTTTTGGTAAAGTTCTACAAAACATGAAAGGTCGGTTAGATACACGAGGTCTAACCCAAACTGCGGTTTTACGCAGGTAGTGGGCCTCAGGGATTCTCTATAACACTGTTCATGAAAATAAATGTTCAGATTAAGGGTTTGGCTGAATTAAAGATGGCTTAGAACATGGTTTTGTTAAACCACCTCTAAACTTTTTTAAAATAACCTGCCCAACAAGTCCAATAAATGTCTATTTTATTTCAATTTTTCCTTGTTTTTTTGTTTGGCACTATGATTCCCATATAATGCATGATTATTTTGCCTAAATATTATGCTCAAAACTATGTGGGCAAAATAAGGACAACCCTACATACAAACCTGTGTAAAATGAATTTATTTAAGACTTTTCCAAGGTTTACCATGTGATTTCCAATCAAAAGTGGCTGAAGAAAATGTAAAAAATACACCAAAAAGGTTAAATTCAGACTGGACATCAAAAAGATATACAACCACATCCTTTTAAAGGAGAGTGTAGGCTATTAGTAATCCTTTCTCTGCATGCCTATATTGTTGCACTGTCTCTTCAGACACTGCACTCTCTTTTCGAAACCTTAAAATCAACTGTGTCACTCGAAAAAAAGCGTTTTTCTGAGTAGGTATAAATTTGCCCCTCAATAACTTAAATATTCAAATGCCCTGCTCTCATCATGGTGGAGTTTAACAATGTTTTTTGTTTTTTGTTTTGAAAGAAAATGGGTGATGATTGACAGCTTGTTTGAAATCTACAGGGTTAAAGTACACTACTGGGCTTAACTTGATTCATGCCACGTTCTTTTCAGCTGAGAGTCAAGTGACTGGCACATGATAGCAACGAACGCCATCAGATCTATAAAGCTTTAAGCTTGATTCAATAGTTCAGAACTTTTCCACCAGAAGAACAAATTATTGTTTATATTTTAATAAGCAAAGGGAGTTTGATGTAGAAAGCGAACAGAGTGTTACTGTCTGGTGGCAACTCAAAAGAAAGCAGTTCATCTCTGGGCGCAAGAACGCATGCAAAACTCTTCAAGCTGCCATAATCAGCCTAAATCTTCACGACGCGCAACAGCGAAAATGAACAAAGCAGAACGGCTCAATTTAGAAGAAATACGTTACGATTGGTATTTTTTTTAACAACCCTGAAAAAAATGAACGAAACACAGTGGTTTCTTAAAATTTCAGACGGGCTGCGTTAAAAACATCAATATCAGCAATAACAATTACGAAGACAACTCGGCCATATTTAATATTTGCCTAACAGGAATAATCAAGTAAGTTGGTTCTGTTCGACGCTCGAATAACATCCTTCAAGTTTGTTTTCAGATTAAAATGCATTCTTTCATGAAAAGGAATATTATGAAAAGAAAAAAAGGGATTAAGTTTCAAATCACAAACACAGACCGAGAGGGAGGGAGTTTTAATGAAAAAGTAAAACATGCGAAGCACTTCCGAAGGGTGTACCTATTTAGAATTCAACATGCGTTTTCTCAGCACAGTTCGGTTAAAAACAGAAAAAAAGCTTAGGCATTATAAAAATAGGCAATAACAAAACAACTGCGATATTTGAGAAGGAGTTTTCGGGAATAAAGGATACACAGTTCGTGTTGTAATTTTCGGTTCGCATTAGTTACCTGTTGTGGGGGAATCTCCTCTACTCCTTTCGTTTCTTGTGTTTCAAACGAGTCCTGCGTGGATACCGGCAAAAATTAACTACCCATCTAATTTATCAGCAACAACGAATACACACTACATGTTCAAAAACGAGGAAAGAAGACAGTATTTTTTATGAGGGAATACCTAGCCAATGATGTAATATCTTGGACGTACGTCAATTTGTTGTCCGGTGAGCTCACAGAACAACGGCAAACGAGAGAGAAGAAGATGAAAACGCAAGCAGTCTTGGGAAATGAGATCACGTGATTCTTGTAATCCCCAATGGTATCCCCTTTACCCAGACTGCTTTTAGCGGGCGTTTCGCTTGGATGGTTTCAGAATGACATGTTCCTGTTACGGTTGACTTACATGGAAGGAGATTAGAAATTAAAAAAGTTTACCTGGCTGCGATATTGCGAAGACAAAGGCCACTTCTTTTACGACGCTTTACAGCTGGTGTTCACGAGATCTTGTCTAATTTTCCGAGAAAAAAAAGAAGTATTTATTTTTGTGGTGTTTACTTGGCAAAAATAATAGATATCACTTCAACAGACAGCTGAAAACTTCGACGGCATATGTTAGGAAACAGTGGAGGTCTTCACTGCTTCAATGCAGTGTCCATCAACTTACTGGAGTCCTGTCTGATCTGTTTTGACAAATTCTCACGCTGAATCCATATGATATTAGTTTATAATTCTATGTTTCGAAAAGAGCGTCACTTTCGCATCCTTTTTCGAACCACTTCACTCACTACTAGTTCTTTCTGTTGGCAGCGTGTAACTCAAAATGTTCTTCCATATCGTTCCGACATTAACATATTATTCAGAGAAAGCGCAATTGTCGCATAACCCTTCCGCAATTCCGGTTTGACCTTACCCAAGCAGACCAAAAAAAATTTCCTCAAAAATTTCCCCCTTTTCTGACCTAAAACACAATTTGTAAACGTTAAAAAAAAATATATTAAAAAAAGTTAAAAAAAATATCAAAGAAAGTACTAATGCCGCAAAGAAAACTGGGAAGACCCTTAGCGACCGAGCTCAACATGCTCTTTACTTGCGTATCTTCTACTGGAAGTAATCGAAAGGTGCCAAACTCAAATCCAAATCCGTCGTCATTTGTGGGAAATACTCTTATTGATGTTTTAAATAGACGTAAAAATGAGTTCTAGATTGATAGCAGGAATCGTGGCAGGGATTTGTGGCACATTTTTCCTCGGATATTGTATATACTTTGACAAGAAGCGAAGGAGCGACCCCCTTTACAAGCAGAAACTTTTAGAGAGTAAGTTTGTTTAAAGTTTGTGAGGGAAGAGAGTTAACGAGGAAGCTAGAAGAGATAAAAAGTATCAGTTTTCATACCTAAAAAGCTCTGCTAAATTTTAAACTTTCGTGGTCGAATGATTAGGGAAGATTCCAATTTTGCGAGGCCGTGTAACTGATGTAACACGTGAGTGTATTTCCAAAAATGTTATTACAAACTGCTGTGTCAGTAATTAATGATTATCACGTGAAAATTTTTGATGATTCTGCAGTTATCTAAAGGAAATTTTTGGTTATAATTGTGGTTACTTGTGGTTACTTTCTAACGTCACAATTTCACAGTTGAAAAACAAGTTTGTCTCGTTATGCAATGTAGATGTGCAAGAGCTTTAATTTACCGAGGATATTGTGAACACATTTTCACCAAGACCTCCAATTTTGCATTGCATACCACAGTTATTGCCTATTTCCATGTCTTATTTCTACCTTAAATTAACAACACACAAGTGTGTTCTTGAGGTCTTATACAGCAGTCACACAAACCCCCAATTTGTCGACTATCTTTGTTGCTAAATGAATTAAGGGGGTGCGTATCTAAGGAAAATGTGGTGCTGCGTTGGTGGGAGAGTATAACAAGGTAATTTGCTATTATCAACTGAGTTGAAGATTTAAATGAGCCTCCATCAAGGGTTAAAAAGCTGATGTTTCTAGCATTAGCTCTTCATCAGAGCAAAGGGCTAATACTTGAAACGTCAGCTTTTAAACTCTTAACCCTTTAACTCCCAGATCAAATTTGTAATTCTCCTCACTGTCAACCATACAATTCATATAATGTTAGTTCAGAGAATTTAGTATTGGATCCACTTGTTATCTTCATATATTTTTCTATATTCTCATCACTTGTCTGGTTGATATTGTATTGATATTGTAAGGAGTAATTTTGTCTAAGTAACTCACAGGAGTTAAAGGGTTAATGATGGCCAATTTATCTCATCAACTCAGGTTATAATACCAATTATCTTTGTTTCTGGCTGTAGCTGGAATATGTAACGTTTTTGGAATTTAGAGGAGTTTACTATAGTTAACTGTATTATTTCCTAATGGTTGTTGTATTGAGTGATTTTATAGTTAGTTTATAGTGAGGCTTCTTCTTTAAGTTACAGTGCACATTGGAAACAGTGAAAACTTCCTAAAACAGTTTTCTTAGCATTTACATTCTGTACTGTAGTAAATACCTATTCCAAGATGAACACCACAGGAATCCCACAAAGACTATAAGGCAGTGGGCCAGGAAAATGTCCTTGAATGACAAGGATGTTCCTTATCTATGCAGGAAGGCTTGAGCCTGATTTCTAGCTACCAATCAGTATTCTGTTTAATTACTCTGTTTGGTAATATCTACATTGTATTTATAGTTTTGAGTTGAGACAAAGTGTCTGGCCTAAGAACATATACACAACTTAGCCACATCATTCTCTAAAGTGACCACCCAGTAAATTCTCCTTACAACATCAATACAACATCAACCAGAACGATGATGAGAAGATGGAAAAATTTCAACAAGGGGACATTGTTTGAGTTCACGTGAAAATCTCGGAGCTACAAAAATAAAAGTAAAAGACAGAGAGAAGAGTTGTGTACAATTGTCACCTCATTGTCATTGTGATAATCACTAATAATATATAGATTTAGGCAAGCCTAATTTACTATAGGAATCATTAATTTGTTTTCATTTGATTTTCAGGAAGGAGACAAGCTAAGCTAGCTCAAAAGGAGGAAGACACTAAGGTAAGATCCAAAAAAAGAAATAAATGTAAAGATTTTCTAGATAAGGTTGTAATAATTAGACAAGCACTACACACTGGAAGTTCTTATTTTAGTGTGCATTCCAGCTGTTGCTCTGTACAAGCAGCTCTAGAAGTGTGTTAGTTAAGAATATCCATCTTACTGTTGAAGTTTCATTTGAGCATTTAATCTGATTGCCAGAGTGAGGGTACTCTTGTGAAGGACTGTTGTCAGTTGCAGTGATAATATTTCAACACCCTTAGCAGAAGTCATTGTCTCTGGATTCTGATGCTGACTTTTGCTTTGGTTGTTGAACTGTCAGTCACCATGACTGACGACAGTCCTTCTCAGGAACACTCTCATCTGGATAATCAGAATATATGATCCAATGTGAGTATTTTCAAACCTTATACTCTGTGAAATATTCCTTTCTGCCCCTTAGAACCGTGCACCTGACAAGACAGATGCAGCCGCTGTTCAACAATATTTCATGGAAGAGGTTCAACAAGGGGAAGAGCTTTTAACACATGGTCAGATTCTAAGTTACCTAAGTTGTCACCTTTTATAAAATATTAAGTTTGTACACACATTCATCAGTAGATAGGTGTGTTTTGATGAGAGTTTGTGCCTTCTGAAAAGTCTTTTATTAAGGCAGTAAATGACTTGTCCATGTTACTCATCTCATCTAAACTCGCAGGAGGCTGGGAGGACTGTTGAAAGTTATGCAAACACTCCATTGTGTCTTGGGTTTGCATAAGATTCTCTCTCAAAACCACCCCCCCCCCTCCCCCATGTTAAGATGAGGCTATGTAAACATAGAAAAAGTTCTCTTCTGCTTTAACATAAACTACACTTTTTCCAAACACCTAACTGATCACAGTGAAACTTGCAAAACTCATTAACAAGTACAAACTCTCAGCCCTTCATGTTTTCTTGACAACTCATTGATTTGTATGTCATGTGATTTTCTTATTCTTCTTTTAGGTGAATATGAACAAGCTGTAAAACATTTAACAAATGCTGTTTTGGTTTGTGGACAGCCTCAGCAACTCTTGCAACTGTTTCAGAATACATTACCACCCAATGTCTTTCAAATGCTGGTTGAGAACCTCAATGGCCTACCGACTGGTATGAAGGAAGTAAGTGAGAAGTATTTATGCAATAGGCTTATTTGATATAGACTGTGTTCTATTATAATACAAGTATTCTTCAGAAACCAGTATAATTTTCATCTTTGCGATTATATGTAAGAAGGTTTAATACAAAGTAAATACCCTCTGTATTTGAGATTCCAAACAGTAATCTAACAGTTTGTAAATATTCTTTAAAATCTGAAGCAACTGAAATATAGAGGCCACCATTTTGAAAATGGCTATGCAACCCTGGCTGCCCATACAAACCTGATGTTGCTAATTTCTTTTCATTTCTTGAGTACAAGTTCAGTTAGTGTTATCAACTCTGTTGATAATGTAAATTGGCTAGTGAAAAGAGTTTTTAAAGCAATAATCCAAGCATAAGTGCTTTGTCAGAGCAAATAGAGGAATTGTGGGTTGTTTGTGTTTTAAATAAAAGAAGATGGAGCTATACTATTGAAAACTCTCTGTGATGGCCAATTTACATTAACAAATCAGTTGATAAAACCAACTTATAACTCCCACTGGTGCAGCATCACAATTTCTTTAAAAGCTGACCCTCTTTATTAATTTCTTGATATGTCTGAGTACATTCTCATTTTGTAAATGTCTTCATCATCCTAGGCTTAATTTTTCCAATAATTTCATGTTGTCACAAGTGTTATCTTTCATTTCTTCATAAGAAATCTGATATAGTAAACTTCTCATTTGAGATGTTAATGTTCTTGGTTTTAGTGACCTTGTGTTCTTACTGGTTTTTATTTCTTTTTTCAGAAATCAGAAGAGGGAGATTCTCTGGATTGAGTTTGGAAGCGTTGCAATTAGTTTAAATTTTGAAAAAGAAAATCTACTAGGGTTGTTGCTCATTGTGTTTGTTCACTGAAGTTTCAAAATATTTGGCTGGAGTTTTGCTAAGTAGGCACTTGCTTGAACAAATTACATGTACGTTAATAAAAATGTTTGGTATGCTTGTTGTTGAGTGATATTTGTAGCTAGATATGTCACTCATTGGAGGCTATTACAGTAGAACCCACTTGGTGAGATGTAACTTCAGCCATGAAAAAATGTGAAGTTGGATTCTTTTTTTATTTGACATTCTACAATGGGTGCCTATAAACTCATATGAAGTTCTGCTTACCATCTGGACCATGAAAGTGATCTTCATAGCAATGAACACCTCTTGATCAATGGCAAAAATAGGGTCTTCTCCCTGCTAGCTCAGTTGGTAGAGCACTGCACTTACATTGCAGAGGTCATGGGTTCAAATCCTGTATGGGCCTGAAGTTTTTTTTTCAGGCCTTATTTTTACCACTGCTACTCACTATTGCAAAGATTGCTTTCATATTTACTTCTTTATCTGCAGTTCAGATGATTTTTGCATATTCACAGTCAGAAAAGGAAACAGCTTGAAATTATTGAATGTATGAAAACTTTTAATACAACAATATTTACACATCAAACAAGGTGTATTTACATCAATATTTGTTTGTCTAACATGGAAGGTCATATGAGAGGTGGAACATCTGGATCATCAACAAAACTTTCCTCCTTTGATTCTGAGATAGTGCTGACTCTCCCAGAATCTCTTTGTTTGGTTTTGTCTTGGCTGTTGTTTGCAATCTTACTGAAGTCCATATCACTGTTAATATTGGGTTCAACTTCCAATCGTTCATGATGAATTCTGTAAAAACAAAAACTACTACTTAATTTTGGAACCAACTTTTCACCATACCTCATGGAAAATATCAAAAATATCTTTGAGAGAGCTAAGGAATTTTATTATTTTGAAAGAGTAGGAAGTTTGATGTAAATGTTCATGAAATTTCACTTGATTGATTCACCCTTTAACTCCCAAGATCTCATTGTCAATTCTCCCCTCTAGCCACTACACATTTTCATGTAAATAAGTTACGAGAATTTGGTGTTAGATCAAGATAACAACTTCAACCTTATATGTGTGATTATTCTCATTACCTGTTTGCTGGATAATGTATGGATATTATGGGAAGAAGTTACATGTTGATCACTTCTGGGAGTTAATCGAATAAGTTCTACCCTTACCAACTTAACTTCGGCTTCAAGGTTTGGTGTCAATATCAAACAAAGTTATGGTCAGGAGTTTGGCCTGTTTTAATGTTTAATCAACAGTTGATTTTAAAGTGACATAATCACGGCTAAATTTTTCACCCTGAGAATTAGTTTACTCCAGCTGTTGTGATACCTGCTGTGTTTACTTGGCTCTGATGATGGCTGAGCTTCTTGCTTTTGTCTACTAGGACTTGGGTCAATTTTGGTTGGTGAAGTCTTCTCCAGTGGCTTTACAACTTGTCGCACCTTTAATGTAACCAGAATGTACCATCAATAGTGACAACAAATTGTTTGGAACTGTGACTGTGTTTGTGTTTGTTTGCAAGGGGATCCAAAAATACAGAAAACAAAAATTCCTTTTTTTACACTCAAGCCCAATAAGTGTGACATACCTTGGGCATTGAAATTATCAGATGACCAGTTGTTTGAGATCTCTTGGCTGAGCTTGAGTTTTCCTTGCTACAAAACCAAAGTTAAGTTACTTCACAATTTAGTGCATCACTAATAATAAAAGTTAATGAAAGATCCTCAGACAGAGCCAGTTGAAAAACCTACATTAGAATTAAACATACATCATTTTTAGAGTGGTTAATGATACATACTGGTTTTTTCTAACTTAAATTTCCAGTTTCCTATGTATTAAATGGCATAAAACACCCTTGATGACTAAGTAAATGAAACAAAATAATTTTAATCCAATTTGTGAAACTCTTGTAAATCCCATTATCTCATATGTTTTGCGTGGTCACTGGATTCCTGCTGATTAAAAAGTTCTTTTCTTCTCTTTATTGTTAGCACCCAGGTTTAAGAATGAAAAAATAAACTATAATTCTTTCCACCTCAACTTTCTTGTATTATCTTTTTTGGTACCTTGCCTTTTACTGTTACTCTCACATAAGTGGGCTGTACATCAACATCAATAAGAGATGTGTCCAGGTGCCTTGAAGGGAAAAATTGCACAACAATGATTTCCTCATTAAGCTTGTTCAGTCAAGAGGGCTGGATTACACATAAGCAGAGTGTTTACTTTGACAGACCACTAAGGATTTACATGTAATATGTAGTCAAACCTGTATTAGGAGGTCACCTATGGGAATAGTGGAATGACCTTTTAATACAGGTTGACCTATAATACAAGTTGACCAAAATATGACTTGCATGTTGTACATAGTGCATAATATTTGTCCTAACAGTCCAACGAAGAAATATAACTTCCTATGTGTTTCGGACATTTCACATTAGTAATTCTCCTTACTGTCTGCCATACAGTTCTTGTGATGTTAGTTTGGAGAATTTGGTATTAGATCAACTTATAATCCCCTAACTGATATTTTTCCTTATTCTCATCACTTTTCAGCTTGATATTGTATCGATATTGTGAGGAGAAATTCTATCTTGGTCACTTACAGGAGTTAAAGGGTTAGACAAGGAATAAAAGGGTGTCTGCTCAATACAGTGCTGCTTAATAAAGGTTCAACTGTATCACATGCACAAGATCCAAGTATTTCTTTTATTTAATTACTTTTTACAAACCTTTATTGACAATGGCATACATTATGTACATTACATAAATTTCATTACTAACAACACAACACCTACAATATGTTACATACGATATATTTATTTATACACAATGAGCTGCCAAGGAATTTATACCCCCACAATCTTTGCCATAATTCTTGCAACTTTCCCACCTCAGATCCCCCTTCTCCTCTTTCAATGTTGGCAATTACAAAATTACATGTGCAAATAATGCGACATTCAGAGAGAGGAATGGGGTTTTCCAGAAAACTTGATGTACACTTTGAAGTCCTTTCAAGTTGTGGTGAAGAGCAGAGGCTCTTGAGGTGTGAGCCACTCAGCCTGTGCACTGAAATTACTTCTGCTAGTATTTATATATAGGACAAAAATGTATAAATATATAAATATAAAATCATGCAACACTTACCTAAAACAAGGTAAATCCAAAACAAATCTATTGTTGTCTTCATCATCGTCAAACTGGAAATCCCATCTGTATCACCAAACAATCAACACAAATTTTTAAACTACAGAAATGGAGATGTCAACTCATACCAAAAAAAAAGACACAATTAAAAAAAGACATCTGTAAGACCTTGGGGATTGTTAGTAAGCTAAAGAATTTACAACAAGGGTACCTTCATTAACAAATTTGAAAGTCTTGAAAAGTGATCCAATTATTTTACCCCGGCCACATCTTACACCATAACATGTTCAAACAGTGCTTTCATGCTCACACTTTGAGTACTTAAGCTCTCTTGAGGTTTTACAAAGATCTTCAACCACCATGTAGAGCAAATCTTACTAGCTCGTTTTAGTATATATGTACTAGCATCCTATCACAGATGCTGCTATCTGATTGACTGCACAATACCATCTCTCAATACCATCATCTTACCATCTCTACTATTTCCATCTAAATAAATTTCACATTGCCATGCGTCTGTTCAGCAATGGATCCCACTATGTGGTAACAACAACAGAGTGGTACACAAAATGTAACTGAAAGTGTCACTGATGTTTTTACAACATTTTGACCTCAGAGAATATAAAAAATTACTCACTTTCCTTGGTTTATATTCAACACATGGCCATCGCTGGCAAAGAACCTTGTTTCTTTGGCTGGCTTATTTCTTCCGATTCTCCTAAAAATAAAAAAAAAGAAAATTCAATGATAAACATCTCTCAATTGCATTCTCTTATAAATTTAAGCTTTTCATTTTAAATAACATGCCAATCAATTTGAAGCTTCAACATCCCCTGCACCCCTCGAGCAACCCATGGGCATTTGGGATGGGGCATTTGAACTGGTAGTGACAAGTTTTTCCAGTATAATACACATGTTTTAGTGGTCAGAGCAGTTTAAAAGTAAAGAGTCTGCTTTGGTGAGCAAATGGCTTAGAAAGACAATTTTCACACCATACAATGATTCTTACAAGCAAAAAACTCAAGGGTAGTAACAAAATACTTTGATCATACAAAGAATTGTTCAATGGGTGGGGCACTGAACACAATGTTGGCCCCTGAGGACAGGAATTTGAAAGAGCAATCTTCAAAAGTACAAATGCCTAGGGGATTTGGAGAGGAGAAGATGTTCAAGCTTCACATCGATTGACACATTCAAATTTTAATGATTATAAAACAAGCAAAGGTACTGTAGACTTTAAAGAGAGAAAACATATAAACATGGCCACTCTTCCATCTCAATTCTTTATTTCAAAATATTAAACTTTATACAACTAGTCTAAGTACTGAAGGTTTGCTTAATGTTGCATTTGCTTTGAAACTTTTCAGCAATTAAAATCTATTCACTCACTCATCATCTATCTTTTCCCTCTGCTTGCGCTTTTCCTCAATATGTTGATGCAACTCTATTCGGGACTCTGGGGTAAAATCTGTTTTCTCCTGCCAAAATCTGAAATCAGGAAAGAACTTTGATTATGCTTAACCTTGGGGAGGGGAGGGTGGGGGAAAGGGGATGGAATAGAGGTCACCGTAGGAGTGTTGACCATATGAGCCATTTAGGCTTTAGACTTACAATATTCAGTAGACCTCCATCTTAGCATAAACTGTTTTAAACAAGTCTTATGTATATAATCATTGAGTTTCATTTCCTTTCATTTTAGTTCATAGTGAAAAAATGAAAATTACCTTATGACCATAAAAGCCACTGGAAACAGAATAGTTTTCATGCTATATCTTACTATTTGAGAACCTAATTATTTTCCCTTTTTACATGGGCTGATCATGATCATTATCTGATTTCATGGCTGTTAAAAGCTTGGAATGCAAGGATTTTCAAAGCAAATATTCTTTAGAATCCTTTTATCAGGCTTATAAAATATATTTTTTGCTTTAAAAAAATCTTATCAGACCTTTTCTCCTCTTCCTCCTCTTCCTTTTCAGTTTTTCTTTGATTTTCTTCACTAGATTCACTGGGAGTAAATACAGCATTTACCATCAATCAAAGGCAACAAGAAATACATAAAAAATTGAAATACCTCTAGTTTTCATGACTATCTGAGCCCATTTGCTTGTGTGGGGTGGGGTGGGAGATGTTGATCATATATTGCAGAAAAGAAAGAAAACTGTTCTAAAGGAATACAGGTGGTAACTTTCTAAGGAAACTGTGGTGCTGCAGGCAATAATGCACTGGTGCAGCAATGCTCTGGTGCAGCAATGCACTGGTGCAGCAATGCACTGACACAGCAATGTGCTGAGCACCTCTTGGTTGCTCACATTACTCAAGGCCTCATACTCTACAGTGAGCAAAGAAGCTCTTACAATGAAGGCCTGTTAACAAGCTATTCAAAGGAAAATAAAGGAGGTTGAAAATCTACATGTACACCCTGATCTAAGGCCTCACCTGATACATTCATTTTGATTTTCATTGCCTGACTGTAACTCTTTTTCAGCTGTTTTTGTTTTGGCTGCTTCTTGTTTTTCTCTTTCCTGAAAGAAATATATTTTATGAAAATCAGGTCTGATTCTGTGGATGATTCTGTGAGAGCAGTCCTGAAAAGCACTGATATTGGTGACAGCGACTGAGATTTCAACAGTCTAAGGGGAGGTCTTTGGCAGAGTTCAGTGCAGGATTGGTGAATCACTGTCATCTGCAAACTGTGGTGGATCCAGGGGGTTGGTCTGAACCCCCTCATTATCAGACCCTTATGTGTTTTTACTAGTTCTTCTTTTTATGTTACTTCAACAAAATTATTGCAACTACAGGATTAGAGGACTAATTTACAGCAAATATAATTCTTTTCTTTTTCTAACCAAAGTTTAGACATCCCCCCCTCCCCCTCTCCCCCCATCATCAAAAACTCCTGGATCCACCCCTGACAACAGTTCTTCTTAGGACTACTCTCCTCTGGAAGGTCAGATCATTCAATCAGCCACAACTCCAAGGTTCCTACAGTTTACTTTATCAACTGGTCTGCTGAATAAAATGCAGTCTAGTTTGGAGAAAACAGTTCTCATTTTGGCCTAGTTGTATCAGTTGACAGACTGTAAGTTGCAGACTGTGATGGTCCTATGATGGTAGCCATACAAAAGGAATGTTGTCATTAAAATTGGCCCAGGAAGGACTAATCTTCACCTAAAAGTATAAAAGTTCTTTTTCAGAGAAGTAGAATTGACTTTGTGTCTGATAAATGGAAGCTGATTAATAGGCTTTCTGTGTTACATGACATTGTCTGTAAGCAGACTGTACTAAAAAATTTAAGAGGCTCATCCATCAATTCTAATCCACTGGTGAAGTGAACACTCTAAACATGGTTACTACTATTAAGTGTTCTCTATTTAGCTTAAAAAGACAAGAACTAAGCAATTTTACCCTTTTCTTTGCATGGTCAGATTGTTGACTAACGATCTTGTTTCTAATGTTCTCATAATCCTATAAAAAGAAAAGAGGTCATTAAATAAACTCAAACATTGATATGTTCAAGCTACCATGAGTTCTCTTCATTGGGAGTCACATTGTATATTTAATTCATTAAAATTTTTAAAATGGATCCATCACATAATTATGCCAACTCTTCTGGATTATCTGCGAGTCACCCAGATATGGAGCCAATCTCCCACTCTCCCGTATGGGTGACCAGAACTCCCAGATAAAAGGAAGTTTGGATCAGTTGCCCACAAAAAACTAAGATTTAAGCTTCATATGTTCCAAAATTCCAAGCTTCTTGTACTTGTATTTCAGTTTCTGGCTTCATTTTCTTGCAAAATGCATGTTGTTCATTGCAAACAACTATATAAGCGAGAGCCTAATTGGATGAGTATTCAACAAATTGAAGTCCCTGACAGATAGACCCACGTTTTTCCCATGAAATTGCTCAGTGAGGAGGGTCCAAATAAAAAAAAGAAATTTTCCAGGGGGGGTTGCATTGACAAATTCTGTTGGGAGGGGGTGCTGGTCCAAAAGAAAATCTCCAGAGATTGGCATCTCTGCATTCACATTTAGATTTTTGTATGACTACATGAGAAGACAAGTTGTAATAAGCATTCTAAAAAAGTGAATATCTCAAAGGTGAAAACTATTTGCTATCATAAATGTTATCATTGACTAACCTGTTTGGCTAAAATCCTTTCAGATTTATCAATCTCTTTTCCATCCAGCCATTTTAAACTATCCAAAGTTGCTATGACATATTCTCTGTAACCCTCATACTCTGTACAGGGATTTCCTGTTAAATAACTGACCAGAAAAACCAAAGGACATTCCAATGATCAGCTTACTTTACCCTTTAACTCCCAAGATCTGATCAGTAATTCTCCTTACTGTCTACCATACAGTTCTTGTGATGTTAGTTTTGAGAATTTGGTATCAGATCAATTAATAGTCCTCTAACTGATATTTTTCTTTATTCTCATCACTTGTTTGCTTGATATTGTGTTGAGACTGTAACGAGAAATCGTGTCTTGGTCACTTATTGGAGTTATAGGTTTAAATAACCAGTATAATTAATTGTTTTGCTATAAATCTTGTCAAAAAAGTATGCATTCCAGAGCTTTGACAGAATAGGGTGTAAAAATATTAGTCACTTTCCCAGCCTTTTCCCAAACCTTAAGTTTTACTTCCTAAACTCAAGGCATCAAGTAAATCACATGGCCAAAGCAGAACCAGGGGGTTTGTACCAAAGTTTAAAAATTATTTGATCATTCTTAGAAAAACCAATTTTGACCAGGGTAGTTCCAATGAAATTTGACAAACTAAGACAATGTATCTCCTCACACTATATTATTAAGAGCTTGTTCTATTGGAAAGAATATCCAAAATCTTGTCATTTCTTTAACATTGGTTTACCACATTCTTTTCTCAAATTAAAATATTGGTTAACAATGATTTCAAAAACAAACGTGAAAATCCTTACAGTTCTCTGAAGTGGTAATTTCCTCTTAGTGATTCAACACTTGTCAGTTCTCCAATGAAATTGACAGTCAGATCCAACTTCTTCAAGGACTCACACCCTGAGAACAGAGTTAAACGCAGCCAACTGTTTAACAGTGGGACAGATTTATTCACATAGGTAAATGATACCCATACTTAAAACTGAATCTAACATTATATTAACAATTAAAACAGACATGCAGTACCTCAATTCATGTATACATTGAGTTTTCTCACCTTCTAGGTTTTCAACCCTTGTAACATTATTCAATGCCAAATTGAGGTATTCAAGCTTCTTCAGTCTACTAACATTCTCTGGATTACACAGGTTTTATAAAAGAAATAGTAAGTTAGTGATAAAGAGATCAGTCAAAACTGTTCAAATGAAATCAGAGATGGGATCAACCAAAATAACAGCTTGCTTAAGAATGCTTGAGATGATACATCAAAATAATGCTTCACCAAAAGTAAACACTTTTTTTCTGAATTGCCTGTAATAATTAATTTAGTAAAAAGACCTAGGAAGATGGTAAATTTTGAGCTCATGATCTGCAGTCATGGTAGAATTACTTATCAATCTTGACTACACCTTAACATCAGTATGCATACAGGGTTTTCAAAATGTTTTGAAGTAAGTGTCAGATTCTCAAAAATAGGTGACTGTGAAAGGTTCATTACAGGCCAAAAGGTAATTATTTTGACCAAAGTAACCATCAACATGTTATCAAGTAGCTGATGGCCACCAGCTTGCTTTGAAATCCTTGTGCATATACTCCATACTGTTCTCCATACATTTCTTGAGGAGCTGGTATGGAGAATTTTTCAAACAATCAAGAGCAGCTTTAGTTAATGATCATTTTCTCCCCTCTTATGACCTTTATGTTTGATTCAGGGGGGATACTGTAGAGAGAAATTAAATACTGGTCATTCTAAAGGTTAAAGGGTTAAACTTTTCAAGTAATGGACCAAGGAAAAATCCCCAACATAGAATCAACCCTCTGGCCACAGGCCACCCCTAAGATATGCTTCATTTCCCATCCACCCACTTCTGAAAAAAGGAAGGCAATAGGAAGGAAAATGTTTTATATCCTTAAAAACAAATTCTTGAAAAAAAAAACTCCAAGGGGCCATTTCTCTTTGAGTTCTTGATAGAACCTTCATTCCTCCTGATGGATACTCTTTTCTCAACACAACTTACCTATCTTTGGTATTAAATTACTCTGTAAGTAGAGAATTTTCAGATCTCTGCACAGTTTATCAAGGAGCTCGATCCTTAAGGAAAATAAAGGAAGAGTCATTGGCCGGTAGCAAAACATTAATACCAAAATATAAATGCATCCCTGAGAGTGATCTAAATTGTTCAGGATAAAACTCAAATTTTTGAGTGATTAGGATATGAGATTTACTCTTTTTAATTTGGTTAGCCCTTTCACTCTCAAAATGTGACTAAGACAGAATTTCTCCCTATAATATTGATACAATATCAAGTTGGTAGGTGATGAGAATGGAGAAGAATATCAACTATGGGATTATTAGTTGATCCAATACCAAATTCTCTGAACTAACATCATAAGAATTATATGGCAGATAGTAAGGAGACTTACTAATTAGATCTTGGGAGTGAAAGGGTTAACTCTTTATTCAAGTGTCAATAAGACCTAACAGTTTTACTCTAATAGAGGAGAATATAAAAATTCTAAAATTATAGAATTTTAATTGTAGTTAGCTTAAAATTGAAAATTGATTCTAGATTGTCGAGAAGACATTAAGATTTAATCATTTGAGATTGGAATATTAAAATTAAAGGATAAATGTCAGTATCAGAGCAACCGCACACCTACCCCTCGCTGTGTAAGTTAGGTTGGATGTTGAGTTAGGGAAGGGGTACGTACACGTACAGTCGCTCAGACACTGATTTTGATCCAAAACAAGATACCAAAAAAATTTTAAAAATCAACAAATGTTTAAGGACAGCCTGATATAGATTCTTTGTATGCTTTGTCGATGCTAGCAATTTAGAAACTTCTTATGCTGGAAAAATTAGGCTGGGTGCAAATTTAAATGCAAGCTGGAGTTAGGATCACCTCTCAATTTCTTGTTGATGTAGTGAGATTTCTTCGAGTGAAAAGATCTCACAGTTGTTGTGTTCGGCTCTCTTTCGAAGCAAATCCTCTGTAACTATGTGAAAAAAATCAAACACAATGGTAACCAGATAAAATCAAAATAGTTATGTTAATCTTAAACCAATTATGAAATTCTTACTTCGGACCATGTTTACTTCGTAGGAAGCGTTATTCGACAGGCGTTTCTTGCAGTCGTACTTTGTAACCAGGCAAGGGCATAATACTTGTCCCCATAGTAACTTGCATTTAAAAAAAGTGGCAAAAGCCTGCCTCGATATTTTCGCAAATCTTTCCGTCTAAGGAAAGTTTCTGACTACTTTCCTACTGCACCAAAAGCTCTTTATTCAACTCCCAAAATGATAAATGACTCAAATTTAACATCCTGTCACACATCAGTCATGCATTTCAAAGGATATAGCATGTTTCATGTATTATCTCAAGTTTGACCTGATCATGAGCCAAACCAAAGATAGTAATTCAACGGCAATTAGTCTCAACCACTTCTCTATGCTTCATCGCATAAAAGTAGAGGCTATTTTTTGAGGAAATCTCTACCACTCGCCGTTACCCGGTTTTGTTTGGACCCATATTTATCTATATCCTCATATCACCTATATTAAATCAATTGCGGCCTAAATCAGATGCCCTTTATAAAATGAATACCCAAATAATTTTACATCAATATATTTCGATATTTATTTCAAATAAAACGATTTCAAATCTGCTCCGCTTATCGTTAGTCTCATAAACGATTGTATAGCCACGCCCATGAATCGTTTCCCCACACTTGATTGTGACAGCACGATTTCAGAAATAGCAGGGTTCAAGTCACGCACATTGTTATGTTACAAAAAAAATGCTTTTACTTCCATTTAGTTAAGACCTTGGTGCGAAGGGTTTTAGGTGAATAAAAATTTGAATTGTCAACGTTCTTGAATAACCTGGAATTTGTTTCCTAAAGACCGGACACTAGCGAAAGTAAATTAAGGTGCAGTGTATAAATATCTAGTTTTGAGTATGCACTTCTGTTTATTAAAGAATTTTATTTTAAAATAGACTCTCGCGTTTGATTATTGTCTCAAACGTTTCATTAATTTTTTTTAGGATTCCGTTTTCCTTGCCTTCTCCAGCTGAAAAGCCAGTGTCTTGACGTCAACGCTCTAGACATCCGGGACTTCCAATATGGCGGCGACCAGTTAGCCAATGAGAAACGGCGATGTTTGTACGCTGGTTCCACACTTCTTAGCTTGAAGGTATCTCCTCCAAAGGATTGTTTAGAGCAGGAAAAGGAATCAAAACGTAGTAGTAGGCCAAGAAGAGGAAGCGATCTTCCCTCTTCCATCGGGAAATCGCCAATTTGCTATCCACACTTACCATGGACTCTGTGGAAGTAAGTAATGAGTAGAGATCACGTCAAGCATGCTGTTGTTGTCGTTACGTACGGCAAGCACTCGCCTCTGTGCAAACATACTCGCAGTCTTAGGCTTATTTCGTCGCCTTTTCATCTTTTATACTTCAGGCAAAAAGGCCAGGTATTAATCCTGCCCCTGCTACCAGTCATCCAGACCCATTTAATCGAAAGTCTGTGAGGAAACCGCAGAAAGCTCAACAGAAAAAGCAGCAAGGATCGTCAAGGTTTCGGTCTAAACCAAGCTTTGAAATTCAACCTCTTGGTGCTTTGAAAGGTGGGTGGCAAACTGACCGTAAAGCAGACCTCATTCCTCGTTGGTTAACTCTTACATATTTTAAATCTAAATTTTTATCCTAAATAACCGTTTTGTTTACAAACCAGACGCATCGCCAGCCGAGCAGCAGGAATTGTTCATCAAGAAACTACAGCAGTGCTGTGTAGTCTTCGATTTCATGGATCCAGTTAGTGATCTAAAGGGGAAAGAGATTAAGCGAGCATGTTTAAACGAACTTGTGGACTATATTGCATCGGGTCGTGGAGTCCTCACTGAGCCGGTGTATCCAAAAATAATCGAAATGGTGAGTGAGGGTCAAAAATAGCGATTTGTCTTAGTGCATTGTAGGAAACATCGGGGAGAGAGGATGGTTGTATGCCCACAGTTACACAGTGCAAGCTAAATTGGTTTGCGTCTATCTTGTGAAGGAGTAGGGCCCTTGAACTTTCATATGTCCAGCTCTCAGCAGTACATCTTTCTCTTATTGCATATATTCAATGTTTGGAATTATCCTTGCGCTTGAAAAAAGAAAAGAACTAGTGTACACCGTGAATGATAATCAGCATCCGTCGCTAGCCAATGTTGTTTTACGCAAGGCGTTAAACAAGTTAAGGAACTCACTTTTGACAAAAGATTCAGGAGTTGAAATTTATTGCACATACATCATTACCCGTCAAACTTTGTGAATGGAAATGAACTTTGGAAAATTCTAAAACGCTTCCGGACAGTTGCAGCAGAATGCTGATAAGTCCTCCACTTTCCTTGCCGGGGTATTAAATATGTCTCCCAATGTAAATATCATTCCCTGCAATGTTTGCTATGTACACTCAACTACGGCTAAAAGTGCATCTGTGAATTGTTCCTGTACATTCCCTCAGGTCTCCCTGCGAGAGCTCATTTTTTTCAGTCAGTCGAACAGTATTGATAAAGAGATCAGTTTACCTGATATTGCCGCAAACAAGGAATAACCTAGCGAACACGTCTTACGACCAGAGTGTTTGCCAAGTCATGTCTTGAACTTGTTATGATACAAATCCCTGAGTAATGAGACAAATTAAACACTTGGAAGTCACCTTTTTCTCTTTAAACCTCAATCATGCTTTTTACCTTTCGAGATTTTCTGATTTTTTCTTTACCTCTTTCAATCAACAAGTAAGATATTTACCGGCTGTGGATTAATATTTTTACATTCAATTCTTCGCGTGCTTTATTCTTGTGTTTTATTGTACTCTTGCAATTTCTCAAGCGAAGTAATTTGCTGCAGGGTATTAGTGGCATACTTCCTTATTTTCAGTTCTTAATTTCGAAGAAGTTTTGCAGACATAAGCGGAGAAACCATGACCAGTAGTGATTTTACACTTTCATAGTGAATTGCACTGGTTTGTTTACAAGTTACTTTATATGTGCAATTGAGAATGTTTTGAAGTTATGGTCATTTAATTTGTGTCAGTACAGATGTCCCTTTATCCAGAAATCAATTTTGGAGAAGAACATGTACCACAACAAGGCAACATAATTTATATCTTGCCCTGCATTGAGCAAATTTAAAATATCAGTGCGTATAAGCAATCAATATGCTACAAGATTGATTCTGAAAATCAGGTGTTTTCTCAAATTACAACTATCTAATGAAATTTATCTCCAAAACTACACTTGATGTAATCACTGCAAAAAGTCATGAATGAGTGAGGGATGTTTGAAGTGGAATAGATTATATCGGATGGAAATACAGACAGATCATTCAGAGTTAATACCTTCTGTCCATAGTAGGGCTTATCATGTACTCTGAGATCAACAAACATTTTCTCCACTGAAAACACTAAAATTTTGAAAAAAGATATTGGTAAATATTTATTTTGTCTTTCTTGACAGGAAGACCAATGTCTATAGGTGTTTTTTTCAGAGGATAATTGATTCCGTGAAATGAATTTGTTCACTTCTAAGTCTCCTGATTTTCAGAGTGATAAATTGTTGTTATGTTTCATAGCATTTTTTGGTGAAAACTTTAGTGTTAGAAACTCTCCATCAATACTTTGCACTTGAGGCAAATGGCTTCATTGAATTATATGCAAGTAAAATAATTATAATTGTCCAAAGTAGCTCACAGCTGGTGAACATATTGAATTGTTTGATATCACCCACTGCTTCTCTGCTAGGTTTTTATAAGTAGTAGCTGGTATTTGGAGTTTAGGTACTTTCAGTTGGCAGCCTGCTCCTTGAGAATTTCTAAGGAATTATGATAATATTCACAGAAATTATAATTGATTGGCTAGACAAAACCATGCAATTTTTGGTGCCTAATAGAAAACTGATCAAAAAGATCTTCATGAGAAAACCAATATTACTTTGTTAACATGTTCTTTTATCTTATGGGAAGAGCATCTAATTATTCAACTTGGCTCTGGACTGAGCCAAATCAATTCGAATCATCTTCAATAGGCATACAAATGGCTTTGTGTTTCTTCAGTTCTAGTTCAAATGTGTATCCTAGTGTTTATGTAACCTCTCCGACTTTGCTACTCTCACCATGCTGATCTCCCCCACATAAGTAAGGAAAGTGTTGTAGTTTATGATTTCGAACAACCTATGATGATCCTTAATACCAGAATTATTCTAGTAGGGAACCCTTTACTCAGGAATTACCTGCCTTCAGTACTTCCCATCAAGTGCTACTCCCTCAGTGCAGTATCTTGAGTCTCCAATGAGCAACCACTTCTCTCGATTTGTCTCTGGCACCAACTTGGTAACGAGATGTTCACTGCAACACAGATGTATCACCTTGATCTTGTAGAATTTTCATGAATAGGTGTATTCTTGAGTAAATTGTTTTGGCAGTATAGATGAAGTTTCTTTAAAGTCTTTGTATGGTAAGACTATAGTATATTGACATGTATGCCCCTTCTAGGCCCTGGTGGGTACTTAAGTGTGTGGCGACCTTGAGGATCTTTTTCTCTTAGATGTTTAGTGTTTTCTTACCACAATACAAGAATGAATTTCTTTTTTCCAAAGAATTTTTTATATGAGATTGCATGCACATTTACTTAGGTATTGAGTAAAGAGTTTTTATGATTTAAAGATAGATTAGTGTTTCAAGGGGGAAAACTAGGTGTGCTATGTTCTCTATTTCTATTTCCCCCTCTCCCTGACCAGGCCTGCCTTTCATTTTGACCTCTTGTATATAAACAACTGTCTGTTCTGTTTTTCTCTAGTGCCCACCTACAGTCGGATCAGTTGAAATGTACATAGAAAAATTGTGAAATTACCAAAAATGCACTAATACCTAAATTTCAGAGTAAAGAACAAAGAGCTTTTTAGAAGCACAAGCATTAGCTTACACTAAAATTATCAGCTGGTGATGTTCTTCACATCAGCTGTTCAGGTTATTTACCCTGTCATTTTATCGGCTGGTTCTTTTTGTTAGCCTGGATAAACATACATTATATTTTCACCTCCTGATTTTCCTTGGTCCCAAAACAAGTGATGTGTAATGCTTATTCTAAGAGTTTAATTTTTGAAGCTT